GGGGGGGGGGGAGAAAGAGAGAGGAGAGCATTCGGTCCCGATATCTGGGATCTAGATGATGCGGTAGTGGAGCAACCCTCTGGCATTGAGGTTAGGTTAGGTACGAATAGCAAGGGAGGCTTCGAGGGAGCCTGTCGGCCATATTCTTACCACGTGACACGGGCGTGGCGTGACGTCATCCCCGATCAATACCGCACAGAGCTCTCTCACCGCTCTAACGTTCTATACTCTCGTCCTTCTTCTTCTTCCTCCTGCTACCCTGCCTTCCTCGTTTCTCGGTAAACCTGCCTTGCATCTATTTTTCTGCCCTACTCCATTGCCTCCATTGCTTCTCGCGCTCATACACGTATATCCTCTACCGTGTATTATACAGGTACGCGCAATGCGTTTTTTTTAATCGCTTACACGTGCACATCCACTTGAAAAAGTACCACCGGTCGTACGAGTATCTGGAATTAATTTTTACATACTACAAAACGCATAAACACGGCAGCTATTTACCTTGTACCAAAAGACATTACAGCTATGTAAATTTATAAAGGACTCATAAAATTCACGTGGATGGAATTTCTTTCCGCCCTTAAAAATGAAAAAGCTACCATAACGATTCGCCAAGCTCCCAGAATATCTTTCTAGTTAACCTTCCACTGTGCACAGTCAAAGGAAGACGTTACCGCTTGGTGGGAAACCGCTCGTCCGTGATAACCAGGGCCCTCTATAATCTTTACGTATGTGTACCTTGACCGTACGGACGGGCCGAAGTAAAGATTCCGTCTACTCTACATATAAACGGTGGATGCTGCTGCCACGGTTCATGGATTTTTCAGTCTTCCATCTCTATATACCTGCCTCCGTGTATACAATCGTGTATCTATATGGTCGCGCAGTGCTTTCACGCTACCTGGTTTATATACAATCGATCGTCCCTTGTAGACACATTAGAGAGCTCCGGGTGCTCGGGTTACAGGTTTTATCTTATAAATATAACATATAATTATTTTTAGGCGGTAATTGGCAATTTAAAATTACGCTCGCTCGCTATTATTATTATTGAAACAAAGACATATATGCCGATCCTTGCTTAGATTTTTATAAATCCTGGCTCGTAGATCCGTTTGACTTTCCCAGTGTCGTCCTCCAAGAAGCAACTCGCCAAATGAACGACGAATCGATTACAGCGCAAGCTTAACGAGCCACTTGGCTAAGACGCCGTTCAGTCTGCATATCTGATAGCTATTCCCACGGCGATAGAGGCGAGATAGCTTTTGCATATCTAATATGCTGATTTACATAACGTGCTGATATCCTAGGAGAGATAATAAAGGGCATCGGATGCAGCAGGCCGTTGTACCAAGCGGGCATTTTATCAACTGGAATGATCGAGACTGAAGGAGGAGGTCAGAGGTCAATTATTTCTTGTAACGTTAATTGAAAATGATATATCTGCATGGAGTATTGGAATTTCATAAATAAATACTTTTTTTTTCGTGTAGATTAAATAATCAAATACACAATGTATTAATTGATATACGAAGAAATAAAAATTTGTTATCAATGGTCACTGTTGTCGTACGTCACCAAAGTCTTACTTACTATTTGGCGGAGTCGTTCAGCTGATACTCGTTGCTTCTGCCAAAACATTCCTGTACCCCGTTATCAGCCCAGAGCCTCTTCATGGCTGCCAAAAGTTCTTCGCTGAATGGTTCCGTGTCCTCCATTCGCTGAATCACGTCGAATACCATTTTCGCGTCCGTCTGAAAGAAGATCGAGAATTCGTAAACACGTGTCTTCGATGTTTACACGTTTCACACGTACTGAGGCGTTCGGTAAAAGCTTTTTTTTTTGTCCAACAATTTTACTTGCTAAATCACCGTCTTCTTTCTATGCCTCTTTTTGCAAAGTTATATTAACGTTAACCAAATACGCGCACGTGTGACATAGGTTACATACGTGATACATACGTGTGTAATATCAAATCCTACGTATCAAAATGACCAGATGTCATTGCGTGGGTTACAATCGCATTGCGATATTTGTCATTTCTTTTTCTGTTGTAGGTTGGCAACAATGCTCGAGTACGGAAACGCCATATGGAATCGCATTGCATTAGTGCGAAGAATACTTTGACAGAGGTTGTCATGTAAAAAATAAATATCAATAATTTTTTTTACGTTAATTCACCGTATCAGCATCTGTCAAGTGTCCGAGACATTTGACAGACGAGAGTGAGTTAACAGTTTATCAGGAAAGCCGGTCTTGTCATTGAATAATTTTATTGATCGATTAAATTTTTTAATCATTTTCCATCGAACCTCCCAGAAAATCACTTTTCGTGTACAAATTTATGATTCGCAACTTTTTCAATGAGCACGTAGCTTCGCATGATACATTACCGACTGTACCCGTCGTATGCAGGTGAAATTTCACAGCGAGCCTGTAAGACGATACTGGGCGTCGCGACGTCGTACCTGCGTGTAATGACGAATCTCAAGTATCCTTTGAAGCTTTGCCTATTTCTGTGTGAATCAGCGTTGAGAAATCGCATCTCACAGAGGATTCGAATGGCGAGGAAAGCGTGAGTCAAGCAGAGGTTCTCAAATGACTTATTGTCATTATGAATGAAAGGAGCGAGAAATTAATGAATCACGAATTTACAATGATTATACGTATACGTGACGTAACGCGCGTCAAAGCACCGTCGAATGTTTCATTCGCGAGATAATCAAACGCGACAAAAGAAATTCAGTTACATGTACACGGCGTTTCATACATAACGTGTCTCGGACTTTGAAAATGCAGCCTTGAAAAAACTGAATCATCAAAACTTCCACAGATCAAGGTTCGCTCGATGGACATAAATCCGAATAAAAATGTGTGAAAAACGTTATCGTGCAAAAAATCAATTAAAATTTTCACAGGACTTAAAAAGCCAAAGAAAAATGTTGCTTGATAAAGATTCAAAACGACGAATAGAAATTTTGAAAAAAGAAAAGCTCTTGATTATTTTTTGACTATACTACGTGTAAAGGCGAGTCGGCTGTGATGATGATATTTGATTAGACCTTTTTTTTTTTAATTAATGCATCATAAAGGGGATCAAAAGATTTGAGAATAAGGGTGGATGAAAGCCACTGGCCGGCCAAGAGGGATCAATCAGCTCGTATACGATACAAGGGTTCGCCTGGCTTGGCTTGGCTTTCCGTGCCTGTCGTTATTGGTTGCTACATAGATTACATATTACATAGATGGCAGGAGAGTGGAGGGGAGGTTGTTATGTACAAAAACTATTTACCCTCCAATATGTGCTGAAACACTCGGAAGTCTTGCGACCCACCCCCGACACCTGTGCGACGTTAATTATTTTCTCACCTGTTGCAAGTCGTGCAGTTGGCAGCACGTTGGCACGTGACTTGGAGTCAGTGAACGGGAAAAGTATTTTCCTTTTGATCAATTAAACGGAGAAGTTAAAAGGGTTATTGCCTACCTCTCTTTCATTGGTGGAAAAGCTAATACCCAAATTCGGCATCGCTCTCAATATGGCAACCAGCGATTGTATCGTGTTGCTGTAAACGACCGGCCTGTACTGCTTGAAGTCTTCGGGCGTGAAACCGCTCTCGTGAATGATCCTGAAATACGATAATAATGTATTTGAGAAACGGTCGATTTTCAAAGAAAAAAAAAAATCAAAATTTTTTTATCGTGATAATTATAACAGGTCTGGACGTGCCTTAATGGAATATCGAGTGAACGTTGATAATGACATAATTAACGGAACGAGCGATACGGTCAGTTAATGAAATTTCAACGAGCTGCCAGTTAACGTTCTATTGAACGAAGATGAATTTGCATGACTAAAAAAATATATATATTCCTCTAGCCGTACAAAATCAGTAAGGAAAAAAAAAGTCCAGAGACTGGACTTTACCCGTTCCTAATTTCGCTCACAACGAACCCTTTGTTAATGGGGCCCATGAAAGAGGGCCCATTCACGTGAAGTCGCAGAAGGCTAGAAAAAGAAGGAAAAAAAAAAAGAGAATATACAAGAGACTACACACGTCAAACGGATGAAAAATTCTTCCACGCCTGAGAGAAGCTTCTTCTTCAATAAAATTTCATAAAAACCTCAGTCGACCGTTTAACACTGTGTCGCATTCAGTATTGAATTTTATCGCGAAGCTATGATCGAGAAAGTTGGTTCGTGTCCGTACTAAAAGTCTAGTTTCGAACCAATAGACGCTTCTGTACATTGTACGTGATACTCGATATCAAATACGACACGTGTTGGATGACATTTGCCGTGTCAGAAATGTCTGTCAGAAAAAAGTCACCTTTGCAAGGATATTGAAAAATTCTGACACGTATTGAAAATTATTCGCCAAGGCCGTCGACAGATATGGACTTTAGCATGAGATTTTTCATTTGTTTTTCTTTCCCGCAATGTTTTGCATCCGATTGGCATATACCTTGCCATTTGCAAGCACGATGCTTTAAACAGTGGGCTGCAAGCCAAAAATATTACCAAGGAAACTGACTAACGCCAAGGATCTAAGTAACCGAGAAGTCATTTACTCCGCGGACTCCGCGGACACCCGATAGACCCACGTTTCACTGATGAATTTGTTTTCTTTTTCTCTGTCGCCGTAACAAAAATAATACTAAACGAAGTAGAGCCTCTCAGGTACTCGACCCTGAGACTCTTCCCAGCTATAATTAACCGTAACGTGCTATTACGCGAACGTTTGTTTTGATGTAAGCTCGTTCTCGTAACACAAAATTAAATAACGTTGTTTACTTGTTTCCGTCAATCTACTTAAGGATGGTCCAATTTCCTTTCTATTGAAGCCAAACGACACATTGCTTGTCTCCTGCGTCGCGTCGCGTTTTCGTAAAAAAAGGTTTTCTTTTTAAACGACAAAAAGTTATAATTAAAAGTAATAATTTTTTTTTTAATTTCTCCATTCACGTTAGCTTCAATTTCCATAGCACCAAGCAGTGCGAACTTTCGTCACAGACTCGTGAGGAAGTAACTATTTTTATTCCCTCCCGCCTTTTCTGTCTCTCTCAAAAGTGACAGCTGAGCAACTACTGCGTACAACAAAAGACGCGAACCCGACCATTCAGTTTTCGACATGGCCTTTACAAATTGACCTGCACGTACAACGTCGTCTCTCCATGAAATTCTAATAGCGTCTTGCATCTGTAAGTAGCTTAAATAATGCATCTCGTACAAGTTCTTTTTTTCTGTCGCTCCTCTTTCGCCTATGGTAAATACACTAATTGCATTGAACAAACGAAAGATATTCATTGGTCTCTACGTCTCGTTAACAAATAGTGACATATATATATATATATACACATATACATCGAGAACGAACCAACCGTTGCCAAAGAACATAACGGCGGCCATATTTAAATGGCATTATCAACGTCGCACATAGCACACAATGCTTGTACGTGTAAGGAAATAATAAAATGCAAATAATTAATATCCACTCACTTCATTTGTTTGACAATGGTACTTTTGCCGGACTCTCCCGCTCCTGCGAACAGAAAAAATGGCCGACACAGATTAGTATAAGATCGTACAATAATACGAGAGTCTACGTAAATTTTTATTAAAACAAACAAAATTTCGAATAAAGACCAAGTGAGAATAGGGTTATCAGTCCTCGTCGAAATATGCTGTTTTATAACCGGATGTGACGTACCCGGCGGAACTTGCTTTCCTGCTTACCGCAAGCTCTCCCCCTCTTTTAAAAGGTCTTTCAGCTAAGTAACCGCCTATAATGGCTACTCGCAGAGAGCGATCACAGTCATCACCCTATATCGCAATACAGGGTGACTAAAATAATGTAACCAGGGATTGACAATTTTCTTTTTAACAACAATGCTTTCCCTAACGACCAATAAGTTCCGCAAAGTGTTTATCAGGTAAAATAAAAAAAAAATTAATACCCACAAGCACTACCCGTTACGAATATTTACGTTTTGCCGTAAGCATAATTAAATTGTGAAATAATAAAATCGTCATCGTAAATTGACCGACGTCATTCCCTTAAATACCCTCGCCCGTAGCGTAAAATTGACTTTACCTCTAACTTGGGAAAATATCGAGCCTCAGGTCGACATCGAATTAAGCGTAGAAAGCGCATTTCACAAGACGCTGTTTCACGGCGGTCAAGATCGTCACAGATGAGGAGTAACGAGAGCGGCCATTTTTTTTGGGGGCAATTTTTAAATATTCGAAAATATGTAGTCAAAAAATATCTGCTCAAATATCGATAATCCTATCGCCTCGGTAGATCTTTAAATGAGTGAATAAGGTAATACAAAGATGGGGATAAGATTAATGAAAAATAAAAAATTAATATCCTTCAAAAATGCATTTCCAAAAACATTACTGTGGGATAAGAAAGAACACACTGTAGGTATAAATTCCGGGATCGTTTCCAGGGCAGAAATTTAAGATAATTGCAGTTTACGAAGAGCAGATGCACATACGGAAATGAGATAAGTGACGTCACATATACATATATATGTCTGTGTATATATATAGGCACCGTAAAAAGTCATAGGGAAGACATAATATAAAACTGACAAATATTTAAAGCAGAATATTATCGCTCTTTGCCCGAGCATAGGTGAAGCTTGTTCGCGGTCCTGTAATCTGTAGATTGCACGGACCAACAAAAAGGAACCGAGATACCGTTACGAGAAAACGAAAAAGACAATTATTTTTGGCTATACATTTTTTTTCTAAAATTATGTCGAATAAGGTATAGGAAAAAGGAGTATATATATAAAATACTTATATATATATATATATATAGACATAAACTTCGTATTAACACAGCCTCTTGAAATCAATCCTCCAGACATGACGTAGCTTTCCTGAGATCTAAAAGCTTGACTATCGTATTCAATCTCGTAAGTGATCCTTAATAATGATTGATCATGATCGATCAATTTTCTCAATAAATTTCAAGGGTTTGCAAATACCCATCATTACCATACAATACGTGACAGAGTTATTGTTATTATTGTTGTTTTTGTTATCATCCTCGTCATATGACGGCATCGTGTGAGTAATAAGACAATTGGACATAGCTGACGTCATACCAGTAGATAAGGTACGCCTCTTGTCAGCCAGGTGATTATCAGATGCCAAGTGGCGAGGTGAATAATGCGTCAGCCATTCGTGACTATAGTGCAATTTGCATTTAAGAAATTCAATTTTCCTATATATGCAAATGGTCAGTCGTATTTCTCGTGTAGATTTCAAGAAGACAGTGTAGCTACACGTATGGATTAAAGCGAATTTGCTTAGTACATAGAATATATATATATATATATATATATATATGTTTTTTATTCTGCAAAGATGCTGATACTCATCCGCTTGAACGTTGCATGTACCGGTGCATCGAATCTTACGTATTTTCAAGACGGCCTCCATTAAATACGGATAGAAATACTCGGGGCAGTCGGCACGCACAGTGCGGAGAATGACGTAAGTTGCAACAACAATAAACAGGACCCAGATTTTACGAAAATTCAAAATCCCTCGTAGGATCATTAAATTTTTCTAAGCATACATCAAAGACAATGTATCAGACATGGATATCCATAGGACGTTCGCGGGACATCTGTATGAAATCCGTTGTTACCAGTTAAATATCAGTGTCTGATCGATTTTAAAGTGGAAAAAATTATTATTCCGTAACTCCAAAGAAGAAAATTGTATACAAAAGTGAAATAGCGAAGGAATCAATAAATGAATGGTGTAAAAAAATTGATTTTGTTTAATTTACAAAGTACATACATTTCGTCAGTCCTAAAGTTTCCGACGAGCATCAACGATGAAATTAACCAGTCAGGAAGATGCTTGAATTAAAGCTGCTTCGATAAGAATGACGTGTCAATAAAACTAAAAATCAATTCGAACACCCAGAAAATCGATCGGCAATGGTTCGCACGGATGAACTGGACAACGACAAATATTCAATGCTCCTGGGTTGGTGAGGATCGAAGATCAACGAGCGTTTAGCGTTGCCAGGTAATCGCGTACCTAAAAGCCACAGTGAATTAACGCAATCGTAGGTAATGCAGGTGTACGAGTCGTGGTGCACGACGACCTTGATACGAGACTGAAATTTCGCAATGCTTTGTTCCATGAGGGACAAGAGATTACGAGAAAGAAAAAAAAGAGAAATAACGTCGAGAGCAGTAGAAAAGAAGAGGCGAAGTTGGTTCCAGCGGAAATGCACACGTGGGTAAAAACATTTTAACCCAGAGGACGTCAGCCAGCTAAAAACACATGGCAACAGCATGTGTCCCCCCCGGCATCGACGTCGTAACTCGCGTGCATTCGAATTCCCATAGAATACTTGGCATAGATAAAATTTCCAGCATTTCCCGTAGCTAGCAGCGATTTCCATGTGAATTATAAAAAATGAAATTTAAAAAAATCCATACGACACCCCCCATTACCGTATCTCGCGATCGCTCGATAACGTTACGATATAACGATCGAATATCGGATATAAATAAGGAATACAAAAAATTGACGCCATCCCGGCCGAAATTCCCTACCACGCACCGTTAAAACTTTGAATAACGATTTAATCGAACGACAAAGCATAAATATAGTAAAGTCAATAAACTCAAGTTTCATAATGACAAACTATCCACGTAATTAAAGATTGACGTTTGCAGAAGCTGCTACGATTGATCTCAGTAGCCGCGTCGGGTTTACATGACCAAGAAGTGATAAAGGCGTGACGCGCAATATTGTAATACGTTATACCTGGGACGGGTGCCGGATGGTAACCGTAAAGCACGGCTTTTATTTTTAGACCTTCCAGACACGTGTTTAGCGCCAATCGGCACGCCCTGCTGGCATCACCCGTTAAACGCGCGGGGCTTCCCTCAGAACCCTTTTCGAGGGACCAATCGTAATCGCGATTCCGTTGGAACCGTACGAAGAGCTAAAGAAAAAAAAAACTATCAATTTTGTATCAAAAATTAAAAACAAACCTAATAAAAAAGAATTACAAAAAATATCAATTAGAACTTACTCGCCAGTACGTAACGAACAAAGCATTACAGTCACGGACTTTGCGGTACTGTCAATTAAACAGTTCAATTAGGGCTACCCTTTAATTAATACCTAATTAATCGCAATAAAGCCCATGAGCATATATAAATGGGAAGACCAAAATTCTACCGACGCAAATAACGCTGTGGGATGATTTTCGAAAATACCCTCCAAATCGCTACTTGCAATACAAGCGTGAACGGATAATAGGCAAATTCGTTTGGGAGGATAGCCAAACGGAAAGGAGAATCCCTGCCACTTGACTCAGGGTTATCGAGAAGCACTCGATTAAATGATCGCGATGAAAGTAGGTACCCGAAAGTGCATCGTCGATGCACGTGGATATACGATATGGATGAGATGCATCTAACCAGTCGTCAAGTACCTGAGCCACCTGAAAGTCTATTATACACCTGTCGCGCGAGTTCACGATTATCTGTAAAAATTTCTTGAAAGCCGCCGACCCCGTTAACAGGCCGATCAATAGCGATAGAAGTCCTGAAGGGGTCCGAAGGGCTCAAAGGCGGCAGAGACTTCTGGCTACAACGAGGCGGATGGAATTTCAAGATGGTACAAGAAGACGAGCAAGTGCACGAAATTAATGATCCATATGCAAACGAGTGAAATATGAATATTAGTAATAATTAAACAAAACAAAATGTAGGTGAGAAAAACATATATAAACACGGGTCAAGGGGTTAGGGGCAACACCCCTCTCTTCTTGCAAATAGCTGCGACGACAAGGGAGTTCATACGGGTGAGATATAAAAATCTAAAAAAATTGTTGTCTTACATTTTTTGCCCCCCAACTTTTTGGAATGCAGCCAAAAATACGCGACCAACGAAAAGCCAAGAGTTATTGGCGTGCAGATGTCTGGGAGGAATAAAATAATCTTTTCGGGTCGTTTTATAGTTTTTCTTTTTTCTTTCGGAATTGTTATTGTTTGTCGTTTTATATGTACTGTTTGTTGTATATGTGGATACGGTGCGACGAATCGCGTGAATTTTTATTTGCAAATGTGTGTCGGCTGAGTAAGGCGAAAGCTAAGAGATTATTGGTGGTGGATGAAGGGGAGACGAGGTGGGATATCTTTGGTAACCTGGTAAAAGGATAGGATGGTGGGCGAGAGGGAGGAGATGAGGGAGGAGCGGGTGCGTCACTGAAAATAGAATCACGGAAAAATAGCTAACCACCCGCGAACGTATACATGGCATATAGAGATAGCTGGTATAGCAGCTGAAGTGGAACCATTTGGATTATCTGTCTACTATATCGTGCACCGTCAAATCGCACGAGATAGGCCGGAGATCGGTAAAGATTATTGGTGCGTTGTGAATTCCGTGCCATTTTGATTAATGCAATTCTTGGTTTTTAATTTGGTACGGAGTAATTTTTTTTTTGTTTTTCTCAATTTTGAATTTTCGATCGGACCGATGTTACGCGACAAGCTTCTTATATTGAACGACTACGGGAGACGATAAAAGAAATAATAAAGAACAGCGAAAGAGAATCGTTGACCGAGGGTTGGGCATTTTATATTTTTATAACCTTGACAGGAAAAAATAAATGCCTCTTAGCGAAGAAAACACTGGACCGAAGGATATTTGAAAATAAAATGCTTGTTTAGCCGCGACGAGTGTGTCTTGACGTATTTTCTGTCTTTGTCGAAAAAAAAAAAAAAAAAAAAAAAAAAAAAAAAAAAATTAACTTTATTCCCATCTCGTCGGTATAAGAATAAATCGCGAGGATGCTTTATTATGAAATCGGAAATTGGCGTCGTTACAAAAGTGAGGTCTGACACAGAGGTTAACAAAGTTATTCAGTTAATTGAAATTAGTCTGCGCTCATACGAAATTACAAGAATTGAAATGTTGGGAGGAACATCACGCACACGCGTAACTATGAGGTCATGCGTCCCCGCTATTTCCGGTCGTTTGTTTCACGATTGCAACGCCTTGCAATTTCATGGAAGCCGCGTCACTTTCGTTCTTCATTTGGATCTTTGAGCAGGAAGACGCAGGAGTCTCGTTCCGATTGTCAGTTTACGAAGTAAAATGACGACGAGACGATGGCGAAGGGATTTGATTCTAGGAATGTGAAAAAAAAAAGATTATTTGATAAAAAATTAATTTTCACTCACCAAGAAGCAGGAGCTTGATGTCCTTGGCAGCCTGGATACCATCCTCCTTTAAATTCTTCTCAATCTGCTTGCTGCGGGCCAGAGCGGCCCGCTCCTCCGCAGACATGGCACAGCCCATCTTGCTACACGTTGCTTTCACAAACGCCACCCCCGCCTTTTTGTTTTTCCTCCCGTGCGCGGGTTGGCAAAACACACTCCCGCACAAACACCCACCACCTCCACCTCACCACCACCACCGGCACGCAATCACACACCCTCCCGACTACCTCCGCACGCACCACCTCCTGACACCTCCGAGCGCCGCCACCCTTGCGCCGATTTCCTCACGAGTCTCAATCTGGAAAAAAAATATTTAATTCATTAAATTGTTTGATAATTAAATATCAAGAATATTATGGATTTTTAAGGTAACGCTTTATTTATTTTTTTTTTATTTAAATAACTATAGGCATAAGGGATTCAATTTTTATTCTTCTTTCAATTCTCAATCCACATGCGCTCCATTTGGCCGAATGCCAAGTTTTCCGTATCGCTGCGATCAGCTCCAATCGTAATGACCTTCTTCGCGTGCACTTTCGATTCTTATTCGTATTTTTCCCTCCAACAGCCGAACTCGTGTTAACGTTGAAACAAGAAGCAAGTAAGCATACAAGATGCAAGAGAAACTTGACCTCTGTATCTTGCATTGTCTTCTCTGTGTTATCGTTATGCAAGAGACTGACATGCTGTTTGAATCAGTGAACAGAGAGTATTGCATGTATATATATCTTTTTTACTTTTTATTATAGTTGTACGTAATTTTATTATCTACCAGTCTTAAATAATCTGGACTTTAAAAACTGTTGAGAGACACAAAATGGTTACGACCGATCAAACTTATGCAAAGGTTTGACCCCTGAACTCTTCTGTGGATTCAACTGTAATGTGTATGAAGCCACATCTAACAAACGCGTACTGTATATTATTTTTATATATTGCGTATAAATAATGTAGCAGGATGATTCACGCGCGAGGCGGACTTAAGTTTTTAGTTTTCCATTGCTGACATTTTCTCACCTAGCCGCAAGAGCCAAATATATTGGAATTAGAAGGACCGAAGGAAAATCGGAAAAGTTAGCCCTCATGACGTCACACGGCCAGAAGTAAAAAAACAACGTCCAAACATATCGCATCGTCCCGAATTTATAATATCCGAAAATATAGTGCGTGACGGTAATCGAAAATTCAAAAACACTTTCGAAAAAAAAACCTCTACCGAATCAATAGTTCAGTCGAGTCGATCGAACAATTATAATTGAGTCGGATTGTTAGAAGCTAATAAAAATGTTCATACAGAATAAGATCATTACTTTTATAATCTATTAAAACGATTAACAATATCAGAACAAATTGGCATGAATACTGAGTTTAAAAATTGAAAGAATCAATAATTTATATGAAACTAAAAAGGAAATCCAAGAATGGACTGTCCGGTGAGTTCGTGCGTCAATAAAAAAGTAATTTATCACCCAGAAACATTTGCCTAACAATCACCTATTATATCAATAATCAAGCAATAAATAAGGATTTTAAAAAAATCGAAATAATAAACATTTACTAAAACCCATCCAGCGAGAATAAAATTCTCTAAAAGTAACGCGCCACTAGCGCCTCTTTCTCTTTACGTTAAAACAGCCTGAAATTGCCGAATTTACTGGAGAAATTGTCAGGGACTTTTTGAAATAAAAATAATATTTAAAAGATACTAAGTATTATGATTTACTTACTATTGGAAAACCACCCTGTAAAGCCGTCTGCTAGGTGCCAGGGTAGTTTGCTGTATCTCCAGACGCAGACATACACACGTACAATTGACAATGTCGCAACACGAAAGGTTCCCTCTTTCCCAAATCCAACGAGTCCAAAATAGGGATCCCGTACGTAACTCTTGTATATGAAATACACACGTATCACTCGTTAAGTCACTATTTTTTTCCAATAAATATTTGATCGATATCCGTAGGTAAGCTCGAAACCGGCACAGCCCCGAGTTAACGCGGTGCCGTGTTGAGGGAATCTGCAGGGGGTCTTCAAAAAAAAAAGGAAGACAGAGAAAGGGAGAGAGAGAGTCACACACCGCACCCGAGCAAAGGATATCCTTTCCACTTTTCTCGTGTATTCACGTTGAATAATCGAAGCGTCGTATCACTCGCGATAAATACTTGAGCGTGGTACCGAACGCTCTGATAATAAAACGTTTTATATATTTCTATCCGTACACGATGTGTTCGCCTTTACCTGCCTGCGTTTGCTTAAAATTCGACAAACGAGGAGTCGGCACTTTTGACAGCGGCAAGCTGGACGCGTACTGGCGGAGCCCGACGATTAGGGCGCCCTCTCGCCCCGCCCGACGCCGACGCCGTCGCCCTCCAACGTCACAACCACCGTCGCCGTCCTCGTCGTCCACGCGCCGCTGCTGTTCGCCGTCGATCGATCTTTTCTTGGTTTACCCGGCGTCCCGGCTTCTTCTCCCAGACGCCACACATGTTTCATGGACATTAACGTCAGCGCCATCTCTCGACATATTTTCGTACCTTTTGTTGCCGTTAATATTACTTTTTTTAAAAGCTTTTATCTACCGTCGAACATTGATATTCGATATATATTCAATTTTCCTATTCTTTTCTCTATTATTTTACACTACGTGACACATGAGTTTTATTACCTCCTCATCGACTACCGATCATCGTTTCGTTATTTTGAATTTGCTCCTTCTTTCTTCCAATTCTCCAACGTTATTCTCTATTTAATTATTACCGCAGTACTTTTTATACAAATTTAAATGTACCATCAATTTCTTGTTGCTATTGATTTATTAATATTCGATTTTACATGCACGTGACATCCAATCTTTTTATTTCTTTCGAATATGGCGGCTGTCGCACCATATGGATATGCAAGTACGGAAAAATTAAAGAATTTACTGGAAATGCTACAACCAACGATATACATATTACTGAGAACCCAAAATAATGTTTATCTTTTATAGTGGAAGTATTATATTCATCTATATTGGAATAATAGACAATGGAGGAATTAACGAAGCGTCGTGGACAAGTTTTAAACATAAAATTTATTCATTATAATATATTTCGGTATCAAACGTCGTCCATTGTATTGTGTGGGCTGATTAGCAGATATCTGGGCGTAAAGCTATAATCAAAAATACAACTAGTGAACATTTTTCAATAAAACTATAAAGTACACGTTGACAATGAGGTCAAACGCGTGAATGAAAATTTCTAGTGACGTCCCTTCCGATTAAAAGACAAACGGCGAATACTGCTTAAGGCCATACAAATGAACGATAAGCTATTTGTACATTATACAATAAGATTAAAAATTTCATCTGCTTATTATTTCTACGACATATTAAATAGCAAGAAATTATTGCTCATACTTGTCCTTTCCTTTATGAGCTTATTCTGTCACCCCCAGTCTGCAGTATCTCGTAAAATAATCGCTACTGGATTCCCGTTAACTTTAAACTTACCGTAATGGCGGCAATTTTGAAAATTTATTCATATTCATATATATTGATACGTTATAATTCACAATGTATTTCCTACAATGTATTGCAACAGTTTGATTCGTAATAGACTATTAAAGTGTTTAATCACCCGTCAAAGTTTATCGATTTATCACATAATCGCTACTGACGTTGCATCTTTAATCGTCACCGTTTAATTAACGAATGAAGTAGAAGATAATTTCGTTATCAGATATTATTATCGCTTATCGTACAGTTTCTTTTCTATTCCTTTTTTTCTTCTTTCTGTAATAAATTCTACACGTAGACGAATACATAACATGCTCATGTAAACCGTATGGAATTAACTTTTGGTAGCTGCGTATTATTTGAAAATATTACATTACCGCACGTTGCCAGTTGCCGTTATTATTAATTAATAAAATCGTAATACACCTTATGTATTTACACGTGAGATTTCTATCACATAATTACATTTTTGAGTATTCAAAAGTGAGTTGGTCCGAAAGTTTATATATTTCTTTATCATTTATCCATGATATAATAATTCTATTTACCCGTATCGTGCATTCTCTGTTAACAGGGGATTATTTCGTAATTTTGTATATAATAACGCGTAAACATTGTCGTACATTAATTATGCGTAGAAGTCTGGATTCCCTTTTTTGTCCCTCTGTCGTTATATCAGTTGATCTTGTAAAGTGACATTTATCGCAAATAAAAAAAAAATTAATATTCGCGTAGGTAGAAATCGTAAAATTCTAATTTTTCTAATGCGTAACTTTCGGACCACCTTGTATATATCTTGTGTTTATATATATATCTTCATACACCTTGTCGCAGCACTACATGCATACGCTGACGCATTCATACGTACAGACAAGATAAATAATACTAAACATACGTATTAGAAATTCGGTGCATATAACGCAATATTACATTTTCTATTTTTTTTTCTCACTTTTTCATTATCATCAAATCACTGTATCAGTGTTAAGTATAAAAATAACATTGTTTAATCAATTACTTCGTCCGAATATATTCTATATCGTCGCTAATCTAGGTCTAAGTAAGGATCGTGAGTGGTAGTTATGTAAATACGTGAAATTCAAATGGATAAAAGTTTTTCGAGGTTAAACGCAAATTTACATTCATATAATATAAAGTCTTCTCGTAGGTATATATAGTTTTTGTATCTTCGCAAGGAGGCACATCGAGAGACAAGCGATAAAAATAAATAACGTGACGAATGTGCAACGAGAAGATGATACGATGAAATATGCAGCGTCTGCCAACTTAGTAACCTTATGAAGGATTTAAAGAATTAATTAAAAAACTTGATCGTTATCGTTATTAATTCTTTGATCGACACTACCATTGTCTCTAACAAAATTTGATTGGACGATTTTAATAACGGCCAACTCTAATTAATTATCCTTTCCGAAAATGCGATCTAATGCCATCGTATATCGGGCAAGAAGAGGTTAATGGTAAATGAGGTTATAATAATAATAAATATGAAAAAAAAAAATTTTTTGATCGGTATCGCAAATGGGGCCGGTAAAAAACTACACTTGCACAAATCACACTTGACTCGATGTATATGTGTATCCGTATGTTTACCTTGTGTACAGGACGTTCCAAGAATATCTCTCCGCATATAAGATTCTGCTTTCGGTTAAATTCCATTAAAACGGATCATTAAGTCGGATGGAATTTCAAACAGCGAGCAGCGCCATTTCAAATTCTGTTTACGTCACCTTTTTTCCCCTATCTTTTTTTTTTCATAACCGAGATTTATTAATATTGTTTATTAGCTACTACAAAGCGATACTTTTCGAGACACCCTTTGTGTGTCCTCGGAGATATTGGATATGCGAATTCTAGAATATTCCATTCTATTAATTGTCACCTTAATGCAACGACGACTTGACGAAAAAAAAGTACCAAAGGAGAAAGTATTATTGCAAAAATAATTAATCGCCGTGAGTATGATCAATTAACGTTCAGGAACGAATCTGCTGAAAATTATAATTAATAATTACATGAACGCAAATGCCTTAAACCCTATAAACATCATCGGCATTGTATACATGTTTAATAGCATCATTATACGATCGTTGTACAATTTTTGATCACATTATCGTAATTGGCAATATTGGAAAAAAAAAGAATTACAATCGTGTGAAATTTTGTTAATCAAACCTTTCGTGAGGTAAGTCGAGCAGCGTAAAAATTTTGACGGGTAAATAAAATTAATACAAAGTCTAAACAAACGTTATATATACATATATATTCATATATGTATCTATGTATATATTTTTGTAAGTAGCAATGATAAATACAGAAAAACTCAAGTAACGACAGGCTGACGTTTTACGAACTAAGAGTTTCGACGTGTACAAGAGGTACGGAATAATTAAATAATTCAAATTGATTGGAGCAATAAAGTCCAAGGACAGGAGAAAGTGAGGTTATACGAATACACGGCGTAACATGGAAGAGAATTAAAAAAGAAAAGAAAAACAAATCAGAATGTCCTGAGTGATGAATAAGTATTGGGCTTGGTGCACTGGAGGTGATCCAAGAATGGAATGATAACTGAATCATGTTGAATGGATATTTCCGCTTTTCACGAGAGAAGGGCTGATGTAAATTTTGGTTAGAAAAAAAAGAAAACAAAAATCATTGAATCATCTACATACAGCTGATAACAGAAGGTTAAAGGATCCTGAGAGAGTTGTTGTTGAGATGTTGTGCGACTGAAAATTCCAAAAAAAAATTTCAAAATTCTCTGTCTTCCATATCATTATTGTATTCGCTTGTATTCGTATTGTAGCTTTTATCTATAATACATAAAACATAACACTAGAAATTATTCGATTCGAGTAAACCTATTTAATTTATGTTTTTTTTTCTCTTGTATATATAGTAAATTATTGTATTTAAACGCACGCTTACTCCCAGCTGCATACGACTTCCTTTCTTCTTCTTCTTTTTCTTTTTTTTTTAATAATATATAATATAATAATATACTATGTCGCATATAAAAAACAATTACTTAGTATAGAGTACAAGATCGTTCCTTAGTTAAGTTTTTTGTTTTTTTTTTGTTTCTCAATATTATTTGTATAAACGTAAGACCTTGTCTATCTCTAAAAAAAATGTTCCCTCTATCCCAGAGTGACCTGGCGAATAACGAAGTTCTAGAGGACACGAAGAAGCTGGGTGGATGGGATTATTTTTGGTTAACCCTGGGAAATTGATGTCATTGACCCTTAGGCCGACAAAGATCGAAGCTAAAAAGATGTCGTAGTAAACAAAAATTTCCTAAGAACGTATTATCAAAAAAGAAAAGAAAGAAAACGTGATGCACTTTTCAGACTGAATGGTTTCAGAACAAAAAAATGCATTAATGTACTCATTACAATAACAATAGTGTCGACTCTGGTACAATAAGATACAATAATAGAAACCGCTCTCAGAAAGCACTGAGATGAATCTCTAGCGATCGAATTTTTCAAATCATTTTTGGAGACTAGTAATTAAGGTACAGAAACAAGAAACACAACAGCAGAAATATTAATAGAAATTTGCGCTATCGGCAATGACAATAGAAACGAGAGATTTGAAAGTATAACAAAGTAAAGAGACAATCCCAAAAAAAAGGAAAATTGGTAATAGCAAAAAGTGGGACACAAAGGATTCGACAGGCACCTGAGAGCAAAGGGATCAACAATATTGAACAACCGTTCGTCGCCATTATTTATTAATTCCAAAGTGACTGTTCTTCGAAAGTGAAGCTAAAAAAAGGGTCAATAGTCATTTTGGTTGACAGGTCAGACAGATTGTTGACACATCTGCCATGTGGTGTCTGTGATGTGAGATCAAGCCGAGTATCACCGAGAATTTCGGGTTGCTCTAGCTGAAGAGGCACGCGACATCGCGACGTTGCTGCGTCAACAGAATCATCTGCTCCACGTTCCGTCTCCGCATCCTAAAAGATCCTCCAATTGTGAAGATTATCCCGACGATGCGAACAGCCGGTGCGCCTCGCAGAGAGATTTGCAACGGCCCGAGTCAATCAAGAGAACCCTAGCCGTCTCTGATATCGTACCGATCGACGATTCAACTCACCCTGGTGAAAACCAAAGTACGGGAAACTGTATGGTGCCCGTTAGTTGAATCGCTAGTAGCGAATTAATTACAGACTCTACACGGATATGAATTTAATTGGCAAGTTGCCGAATCAAGCGAAGACTGAAGAATTGAAAAAAAAAAAAGAAAAAGGTAAGACTTACCACACTCGGGCAGGTAGAAGGGACGCTCGTGGCAGTAGAGGCAGGCACCGTCAATATTGAATAATGTTGTCTACGACCGCGAAGCCGCAGGCACCGAGTCCAGTACTGGACATCAAGCGCACTAGCTCCCTCGCGTGAGACACTGCGACCTCTAGTGGTGGTCGACGTGGCAGTTTACTCGATTCTATGAAAACAAGGGTTGATATGACATTAGAATTCAATCAAATTAACTTTAAGGATGATTTTTAAAAGCTTACCAAGTATGGCAGAGTTCAGTCGTGCGCAAACGGTTTCTCTTTGCTGCGGGTCAAGTTGCCAGCCGACAGGTGAATTCCAAGGATTCGAATAGGCCAAGAGACTGAAGGCATCCTGTAACATTTTCTTATTCCCTTCGTTCTTGCCGTGCTGCTGTCTCAGGTGTATCGATTGAGAGTAAAGTTGTCTACCGAATTCCAGCATCTTCTCAATAGCTTGCTTATTGCCGCCGCACAATTGCTTTTTACTACCTTTGTTTACGGCACCTTCACTGCTTACGCTACAGTTGCCATTTTGCTGCTGACTTTGATTGGTGTTGTCCACCTCTGCAAAGAAATAGGTTAGAAACTCGTTACTGAAACGACCATAGACATTTCGATGGACGAGGACACTTCAAGTTTAACGGAATTGCACCACTCGCTGCAGCCAATTTAAACGCGTAATTGTGAAATATTTGAACCGTTTAAGATGATCTGCCTGCAAAGTACATTGACGTCTCACCCATATCGACATCTTCGCTATTTTGACACTTGTACCCGTTCGAGCTCGGATTACCATTTTGGCAACCATTGCTGCTTTTTGTCCCGTTGACAACGCCTGTCGTGTTCTCCTCCATCTCCACGTCGTCCTCTATCTGTCCGTTTATTAGTTGCTGATCTCCACTTCCATTCAAAGTGTTGTTAAGGTTCATCTCCTCGACGTTCCCATTGGCTGAGGGCTTTGCGTACGTTTTTGTCGATTGTATAACACTTGTCTGATTTTCATTATTGTTTTGACAGACCTCAGAGTCACTGCCGTTTACCATCTCCACGAATTGCCGGCACTTTAATGCAAACATCAGATTAGGATCCTGCTCGAGGACTCCTGGATATAACCGACTCGTCAGATCTATCGCCTCTCCCATACGACCTGCCAAGACCAACTTTAAAATTTCTGTAAAGGAATGATACAATATAGTTTCTATTGTAATTATAAAATTACAATTTTTGTCCTTGCATGTGTTATAACTTACTTTGCCTATTTTTAATGGAGTTAAAGTCTTCCTCAAAGACCTGTCCTGTGCTACTAGCAAAGGCTTCGGCGGTAGCACAGTAGCCATGATGAACAAGATACGTAGACACCATCCTGTCAAGCACGTGTCTTAGGTTAATTATTAGCCTTTTTAATAAACGTGATTGTGAAAGAGTTCTTGCAAGTAGACTTCTCTACACTGTAGGATAACTAACTACAATGGTATCGGTAGATGGGTAGTGCCAAAGAAACAAGCTTTACCAACCCGAACCAACAACCCAACATGAAGCTTATAGTTAGATACTATATTCGCAAACGTATTCTCTTCAACTAATAAACCTGTATATTAATATTTACTTGTGTAAAACAGCTTGCCACTGGCCCTGACCATGATCCGGTGTCGGATAATTGATAATTTGCAATCTCGTTCGCACACGCAATTCGTTGATCATGTCGCCAATATCAAAGACGAAAGGAGCCTGCCCAAAATTCGCATCTACCACTTCACCAGGTGTTTGAAGTCCCACGGTAGGATAAAGATTTGGCTGAAAGAAGACGATAAAATTCACAAATTAAACAGATAAAAATAATCTAGAAACTCTCATCGAGAACTCTACTCCTCAAGGATCTTCACAAGTATAAGTCTAAGCTATGGATAACAAATTTCCTCAATCTTACAGGTAGATCTGTAAAGGCAATCCCTAGGTGATGTCCATTCTTCGTATAGAAAGCAGTGTTGTCAACAAGATTAACACCACAGCCTATTACGTCCCCAGTGGTGAACGTAGGCCCATAAGGTTGGCCTGTACCCGAAGAGCAGAAGCTATGGCCGTCGTCACCATGATATCCATATGAGTGTTTATCCCATCCAGGAAGTCTATTCACGTTAACGCCATGTGCTGAGAGACCGATCCCCATGTATCCATCACGTCCCTTACTGACGATTTTGACCTCAAAGTAGTACAGACCACAGGCAGCTGGGATGGAGTGTGTTGTGCGAACACTAGCAGCATCTTTATGAGTCTTCCCATATCCTGAGGATAAAAGTAAACATGTAATATAGGATAAATATTCAATAGTCTATAATTTATGTAGGTACAAAGTGAACCTTGAACAAACAATTGAAAAAGATCCACAATAGTTGAGAGCTTAATTATTTAATCAGTAAAACATAAGGCATGACGAGTATGGCCATGATATGTAAACGAGCCGGATGCCATGTTCAATCTTATACTAGGAGTGGCACATCTCAACTGGCAAGACTGAGATGCAATCTTTAGCTAACGTATGGGGTCATGCATTAATGTGTCCACGTAGTATTATCACTGAACAGTTGATTCCTATTTGTCAGTCTTATCCAAGTGCTACAGTCACTTTGTGACTACTGGAATTTGTATGCATTAACACCTCTATTGAGTATATAACGCATTTAAATATATGATAATAGACAGTGTCGTTGTAGAAATTAATATAGTAAATATGTGTTAACTTCCTTTGCGAATCAAGTCTGATGAAACCTTAATTATGATCAACGACATGTGGCACTGTTGCTAATGAACACTTGATTTTTTAACAAGGATCCTCTACTAGTCTTTATGAATTTTAACTTTAATGAGATATTTCAATGATAACATACTGCACAGTTTCCTTTTTAAGACCCTTGAGTTTGAAGGAGTATTACAAATTAGATAAGGGCAGTGGGAGCCCTACGTGAAGCTAGAATGCAACTAGGTCACTAGGTCATCTATCTACCTTTAAACTTGTTCTATGCTTGTGACAAATGAACTTTCCAATAAACCAAACGATACACGATATGCTCAATTAACGCATCAGCCCTGCTAATTGTTCATCGAATAAAACGTTTATCCTTGCTGTTCGCAAGAGCACTGAAAATATTTGAAGCCTCAGGCCATTATCACGATTATATATCTTGACACATGATTCTGAGTAACAAGCTGAGTTAGAATTCTTGGAAACTTGAAACTTCCTTCCAACACCTTGTCAATCTAAAGTGACCTACAATTATTAATCATAACTGTGAACCAAACCCATTATCGAACTTAACAATTTCAACTCTTAAGAATAGCTCAATAACTATTGATACTTCAATCAAAATCAATTCTACTTATAGCTACAAAATTATAATTGAACTGCAATCAACAAAACTATAATACTTCATCAAATCCATTTTTAGATTCATAATCATTATTCTCACAGGTCACTGACCTCCGTCATTCTATAACAAATTCAGTTTTAATAGCAAAGAAAACTTAATAGTGCATCTACACAGTATAACAAAAGCTATCAATCTTGCTATTTAAAACGCTAATCAATATGTAGCACTTAAAAATTTAATCTCTTCCAATTTTCTCAGATTTTGGTGCATCACAGGATGACATTGCATTTGACTGAAGCAGTTACTGTCTGTTACAATCTATAGGACATGTGTCCGCCAATAGAGTATATGTTTGTTGGCACACATGCTTGCAGTTTTCGTAGATGCTATTATTACTCGTCTTCTCAAATGTACACTGGTTATCGGCGAGCATACAGGCGTCCTACGATAAATGATGAAGAATATTGCCCGCAGTGATGTCGGTTGTTAAATCATGGAAATAAAAAGTTTATGCACTGAGTTAATGCTGATTCTTGTAGCTAGAAAGTAAAAGTGATTTTTACTATACAAGCTTGGCTACGGCTTTACATAAAAAATAAGCTTCTATTATCGCGTTTTACTCGCCAAGCATCGTCCTCGGTCAGGATCGATTTTCAATGTCGCAACGACAACTCTGATTAAAATACACTCAGTGCCAACTCCTTCGCTTATTGCTGATTCTTCATTATACATGAACTTATGACGTTGAATCAACACCTACAACATTGATCTGATTTACAATTGAATTACATTATTAAGAGTAGACATATCACTTCAGGGAATTATTTCTTTGTAATTTTCTACACCATCTTCGAGTATTAGGTGTATATATATACAACACTGTTTAAGGATCTCAATTTTGTATTCTTGTATAATAAGATTATACATATACGAGAGAAATGAAATGAACTTTGTTAATTAATTAAATTAGCGATTGTCTTTTGAAAATTATAAGTACATTAATATACTGCTCAGATGATATTAGGTATCTAATCAATGTTTCTAAATATGTACTGTTGTTAAAAATTTCAATTTCTCCCAGAGGTAGAATACAATGATCAAGAATGAAAAAAAAAATATACACGAGCCTTTACCAGTTTATACAATTTTATCCGATAATAGAAAATTACCTATAGTACATGATCAAAAACAACTGAGGGAAAACAATAGTCGCATCGCATTCCATAAATCAAAAAAGACTAACATATTCGGGTACATTCGGCTTTCTTCGATCGAATACCTTGACAAAAATCATCGAGCGTAGAACTTGGTGGAAAAATATGCTAGGCATTGATATAAAAAAATCTACAGATTTCAATTAAACGTAGAAACGGACAGCGGAGTCTTTCTGTGGTAAAAAAGACGAATAAAAATAGCTTGCGCAAATTATAAGCACCGAAGAGTGAAAGAATCAACATTTCAGTAGAAACCAGATACTCTCGAAGCTGTAGTATATTTAATAAAATACAAAATTTCTAAATACTCCCATTGTAATCCGCGAAAAATACTTTAATTGCACGATGCGTTTCTAGCGATGATTATCAAGCCATTGTAAAAAAAATCGGCATGCCGCGACGTTACCACTAGAAAGAGGGAAAGGATGAAAGAACAGAAGTGTAGTCTAAGAAAGAAAGAGAGCGAGAGAGAGAGAGAGAGAGAGCGAGAGAGAGAGAGAGAGAGAGAGAGAGAGAGAGAGAGAGAGAGAGAGGGAGTGAGAGAATGGAGACTTATCGATTGCGCAAATATCCTCTCTTGTAAAGTCCAACGGTGAAAAGTCGTATTGGAGAAAATCCCATGCACAGTGGATAGAGGCGAATAGAGGAATGCGTGTAAAACGATAATACGTTGGAATGAGGAGTGTGGCAGTATTAAAAAAATATATATACATACAATATATATGTGTATATGTTTAAATATAGTTAAGTTTAGAAGAGATATTCAAAAGAAATCATCGATATCTCGGTAAATAAAGCATTATTAAAAATATCGCAGAGCTTCCAGAAACGTGAGGGGAAACGAGTATATATTTACGTCAACGAAACGAACAGCTGTCATTGACATTGTGCGTTTCTCCACGCACTATTTCTTTCTTTTTTTTAAGCATGTTTTCACCTCGTGCGCTCGGCCGATAAAGTTAACATGCTCGCAGCAAGAGCAATGCTAAAATGGAGAAGTTTCGTTGGGCTTTATCGGGCGCAGCTCGATGATAGAACTTGAAAGAAAGAGCGAGAGCGAGAGCACGAGCGAGGGGCAGAGAGAGAATACGAGAAAATAAAAGGAAGAAACTGTCGAGTCGCGAGACGATGAAGAATAAGTCTTGAGCGTATGAAGGAAGGGCCAACATTGGCGCAGGCTACGTAGACCGATCAGCTGATTCCTTTGTTTAGGTCGCTGACACACGCGAAAAAGAGCTCTGCCATTTTCAATCGATATTTAACTCCCGTCCGGGAGATGCCTCAATATTCTATTTAATCGATGCTGTGGATTTTCATGAATTTTCAAAACGATGACATGGAAATGGATGGTTAATATATTGAGGGGAAGGTCAGGTCTTGAGCGCATCGCAGTACTGAGTCGGGAGGGCTTACGTACCTTTGTAATGAACGCGAAGATTATTTTGCGAAAGGCCTATGTAGCTGTACTTGTCCTTTGGGCTCCAGGAACGTGGCAGCGGAGTCTCTTCCTCGTTCACCATTGGATAGAGCATCTTCAAACGATCGACGCCGTGATTTTGCCCAGAATTTAACTTCGAAGGCTCCATAGCACTCCGTTCGTCGCTGGTAGCGGCCATCATTGTCATCCGCAACCCCACTCTGCTTCTCAAATTAATTTATACTGCGCATCTTCTTCGCGCACCACGCTATAGCGCCCTCTATGTGTTTTTTTAAGTAAACTGTACTTTCCGTCATTCTAGACCGACATGAATTATTCGATATCTAGATGTTTGACATTGTAGACTTAGTCAGGTTTAGTTGGCTTTCTGAGAAAGATTTGTAATATACCTTTTCTTCTACCTTATCGATATTACGGTTGAGTTTACAGTGAACGCGACAAGCGACAAATTATCGAAACGACTACCAATCACGAGGGCAATCTTCTGAAAACATATAACTGCATTTTATAAACCTTAACGTATTCTTTGTTGAAGATATTTGAATGATATTTTTGTAAGTGGTTATCATTTATTTTGAATCGTCACATTGAAGGTGAATAAATATTTGTGTGTAAAATTGGATTTATAATTGTTCATTGTCTTTGGCAATTTTTATTAGATCTTTATTGGACAGAAACTGCTGTTAAACAAATGTTGCTGATTTTTTCTTGATCGATTTACGAACTGCGACGAGAGTCACAAAGTTTAGAGCCGGTTATGTTAAACATTTTTTAATTTTTGAAAATTATATGTGTCAAATATTATAACATGCAAATTATTTTGAAGTTCTTCTACGTCTATTCTATAAAATAGTTTTTTTCAATCGATTGAGTAACTTTATTTTGAGCGGGCACTTTTTCCCCCAGAAGCTACAGCATTACTTGTTAGTACTTTGTTCATTTTTAGAGAATGTTTACGTAAAGTTAATAATTGTTTGGTCGTTTATTGAGCAACATGTGTATCTTTGTATATTTCATATATATTCTTTGTAAATACTGAATAAGATTTGAGGAATTCATGTAAACAGTTATTCTATTTCATTTTTCAGGTTAAGTTGACACTTTCTTTGGATTGTAGTCATGATCGAATTGAGATTATTTTGGCTATTTACGCATTAAAAGCATTCTCCAATTTCTTAAAGAAGGACGTAATATTTATTGTCTTTATTATACTTCAGGATCAGAATGGCAATCATCGTAAGTACCTGTGCAATGAAAATACTATCTTAAATTATCATTTATTACTTTTTTAATTTTTTAGATGGATATCTTGAAGGATTAATACTTTGTGGACTTACATATCCCTATTGAACGCTATTATTAGTTATGCATCATTATCTTTTAATTGTCCTTTGAAATAGTCAAACATTTCAATATAATTATATCTTACTATTTAGTTTATTCTTTTTCTTCACACAGGTGGATCTGTATCTTCAAAAGCAGCATTTACTCGTAATATTCTGAATGGATATAAAACAAAATCGGATTTTGAGATTACATCCTGTATCCGCTATTGCAACTAATTATGATGATATTCGATTTTCTGAAGAGAATTTTTGGGTGGGTTGATGAAGGAGGAAGAAAGCGTAAAAGCAGTAGCTCTTCAGGTTCGGAAGAGAGTAGTGTAAGATTAAAGAAGCGTCGTTGTAATCATGACATGGGGCATCGTCAAGAGAGTTTTGTTGAACCTGAGATTGATTCAGACGATGATGATATTGCAATGTTTGTGCATCACACCTGCACACCGACTCCAACCAACAAAATGTTTAACGGTACGCACAGGGATAAAAGCAAATCAAATCCGTTCTCTAACCCAAAATCATTCCTGAAGAATATTAAAATGAGATCGTCACCTCGCCGTAATATGTCCAAAGTGGACCGCAGCATGAGTTGCTCTGCGGAGTCATTTAACAGCAGATTGGACATGCCCTCTGATCACAATTGTTCTACTCTAGAGAAAACTCATCGGTTACGAGAGAAAAGGCAATATCGTGAGATGCTTCAGAGTTTTGTACCAAGTGGAATACAAGTACTAAACGCTACTGTAAACATGCATCATCGTCCTGCACGAGACGTAACAGAAATTATTGATTTGGAGAAGAGCGAACAACCATCATTCCTTCGTAAGGACCATGATTTGTCCAGGATAGCAGGAACATCAACACAGTCTCCCTGGGTGATGCAAAGAAAAAGAATAGAACAGCCTGCTTCACGCAAAGAAACCACTGATGACATGATCGAAAGGCTATTAGCCCAGTCCTTTCGTCGTACCAAAATAACATGGGATGACCGTAACATTTCCAAAGTATCACCAAGTACCAGTACTGAATTTATAACTACAAACACACTGAGAGACAAGCTTGCAGCACGTGCGGTGATGAAACAAGATTTCGTACCGGACGTCGCCAAAAGGTACAATGCACGTATCGAACAGCACTACAAAGAAGCCGAAGAGTTAAAACGTATGACTGGCGTTCTTTCAAAGCATAATCGTCTCGCACGAGAAGCAGCTTGGGAAGAACAGCTTGCAAAGTCAATGCGATATTGTGAAGCTGTTCTAGACGAACGAGAGGAACCTGAAGAACCACCACTTCCTGAATTAACATCTTCTATGCTAGAGGTAGTGAAGAATGCACTATTGCCACGTCCGCCTAACGAAGTTCTGGTGGAAGGTTTTGGTCTGAGAATAACACGAAAAGACATTCACACTTTGTCTGGTCTTAATTGGCTCAACGATGAAGTGATAAACTTTTACATGAACTTATTGATTGTTCGTGGCACGGAGAATGAAAAGCTTCCAAAAGTCCACGCAATGAATACATTTTTCTATCCAAAGTTAATAGCGAATGGACATGCTTCGCTTAAACGTTGGACAAGGAAAATTGACATCTTTGCCCAGGACATCGTTGTAGTGCCAGTACATCTTGGAATACACTGGTGCATGTCTATAATAGACTTTCGAGATAAATCTATTCGTTATTACGACAGTATGGGTGGCGCTAATTTGAAGTGTCTATCCGCCTTAAGGCAATATCTCGAGGAAGAGAGTCTGGACAAGAAAAAGAAACCGTTCGACACGAATGATTGGAAATTGGAGTGCGTCAAAAATATTCCTCAACAAATGAATGGAAGCGACTGTGGCGTTTTTTCGTGTATGTTCGCTGAACACATTTCTGCAAATAGAAAAATTAATTTCACGCAGCAGGAGATGCCTTACTTCAGGAACAAAATGGTTTTTGAAATATTGAAATCTAAACTTTTGTGATTCGGTGATTCATAATCATGGTTTTCTAACGAGTCGATTATGATTGAATATTTTGTGCAACACTCGAATTCCATTCGGTATTAGGACTTTAACGAATCAAGAATTTAATATGTTGCAGTTGTAAAACTCTGACTCGTCTCTCGCTGATTGCTTACATCTTAAGGACAAGGCGTCTAGCTGTTAGTAAAGTTAAATCCTATTTCGCAGTTTCATGAATGTTAGCCTAAGGAATGTATAGAATACGTTTATGTTCAATCATTTTATGTAAGAAAACCGTTTGATGCGTATAAAATTTTTATTATAAGGATAAATAATTTCAGTTCACTAAATAAAATTTGTAAATGTTTAGTTGATAACCTGAACGACCCTATCTATATATTTCAATAATTATCAAGGAAGCAAGGCTTAATCTGTTTTACTTTATTTCTATAAAAAAAAACTTTCCAATCTTCCATCCTTGTTATAATCTATATTTTTTGTTAGATTAGGCTCAAATTGAAATACTAATAAAAGATAAGTGTTTGGAATATTAAAGTAATTAATTAAATCAATAAAGTTAGATATTAACATTTACAAATCAGAAATCCTGGCCAAAAATGTTTAAAAGTACTGGAAGTTGACTTGGGGAGTGGGAGGAGCGCTGAAGGCAGTGCCCGGACTCGGAGAGTTCCTGCTTGCTCGAGACGGTCTCCTATACTGGTCTCTTGGAAGCACCCCTCTCATCCATTTCCAACCTTCTTTTTTATACTTATTTCTTTTTCACTTCCTTATATCTTTATCTTTCATTCTTTACCTTCTTATTTATCACCTTCTTTATTTATTCCGTAGCTTTATATCTCTATTTCTTACTTTTATATTTCTCAATTTCGTTATTTCTATGTTTTTTTTCTGTCAGAGGGGTCGGCTCAAGTTGTGGCTGCAACAGGATCCTTTAGGTATATTGACGATTTATCGGAACTAAGGAAAAACACGAAGAAAAATTTCAATCTCACGGAAAATTTGCTTGGTCATTCCAATTCTACTCAAATGAATATGCTCAATACGACCAAGGAAATAGGAAAAGTAAGACAAGCATAAAGAAGAGCAAGGGGGAACAGAACGGAAAAAGGAAGTAGAAAGAATGATAAAAATAAAGAAATATGGAGGTAGGAAAGTAAGGAAAGAGAGTAGAGAAGTAAACAAAATAAATGAAGAAAGAAATATATAAGACAGTAATGAAATATGTAAGTAAGAAAGTAAGAAATAGAAGTATAGAGGTAAATATATAGAAAGAAAGGGATGGCGACAGATAAGAGTGAAGCTTCCAAGAGACCGGCTATTGGAAGAATAAGCACTTCGTGCTCGGGTACTGTCTTAAATGCCCCCCCGTCATTCGCGGGTCGTGCGCTGCAAGTTTGCGCTTTGGCAAATTTTGCAACTTCCATTACTTCTGTGTTCCTTGTCACGGTTTCTGTCCTCTACGTATTAATACACAAATGTATTAAATTAATTAATTATTATAGTATTTCAATAATTGAATTTACATATTCGACAAGTTCACGAGTGATAGTTTCTTGTACACAGCTAGATACTTCCTTCTTTTTCTCACGGAATGTCCGACCAATTTTCATTCTTTTAACTTAGAACACTAATGTTACGAGTAGTAACAACTGACAGTACGAATTAGGACATAAGATTTGGGCCACTTTTAACTTCCTTCAAATGATGCTGCCATTCTCAGGAACAATTCGCCTGAAAAAAATAAAGGAGACATGACGTAAGGAAATAAGGAAATAAAAGAGTAAAAGAAAAATAGAGGTAAGGAAGTATCGGAATAAAGAATTAAGAGAGAAAATAGGGAAAGAAAGAAGGAAATACATGATTGAGACGGGAGTATTCAAGAATCCGATAGAAAAACTGACACTCGCAAGAATGGGAGCTATCTCAGCCTGTGCGCGTGCTTTTGTAGCTTCTCATTTCCTTTAACTATCCCCCCGAGCACGTAATTGCCTCCACCTTAACGGCAAATTTGTGAATTAGCTATTACTTAAACACAAGTTTTCATAAGACTGATTCTTGTCACTATTATGTCGTCGGTGTACCTGATTATCTGTGGTTTGGATAAGCTGTCCAGCACGACAAAAGTTGAATTTTAAATAAAGTTTCAGCGATCGCAGCTCCGCAGAGTAAGTGAACAAAAGTGGGAATGACTCATGTCAGACCACTTTCCGTGATCGGTAAAGTAGAAAGTTTGTTTTCTCCAGTCTCCTCCCTAATATTTTTTTGACACGATCACCCCATTAGCTCCGATCTGCTCCGATCTGATCATGCATTTTTTTGTGCTTTGTGCTTCTGACAAAACGTAATTCTTATTACTCTTTGTGACATTCTATGCAATTTTGACAGTCCTACGTAATGTTTAATAATTATTCTTTATAATGAATTGCCGGTGTATTATGATATTATTTCATATTTCCATTCTATAAAATCTATTGTACTTGGGGACAGTACAGTTCTAATCAGACTTAATAATAAATTAACTGACTTAACTATTCAACGAACAAGGAACATATTTTATTAATTTTAAATAATGTATAACAAAATAGCATAACATAATTTGTTATTTTTAGTGCTCACATCATCGGTGAATAACTCAGTGGATAGTAAAGCATCTTATAATTGCTCATTATGACTGCACACCTAAAAAGTATAAGATTTGCTTAAGTTAACGAGTATTGAATATAGTGTGTTTAGCAAAGGAAAGTACAATTATCATCAAGATGTTTGAATTTTTTGAACTGATTCTTAATAGTGCTATACTATGGGTATACCTTCAAGCAATAGTGCTTCTTCTTATCAGTGCACTTTATGACTTTGCTGTGCCATGGATTATTTGGGTTTCTTTTGTGCTTATGACAGCATTGTGTTTCGTTAGAAACCCATCGCCTCAGCCTAATATTACTGATAAAATACTTGGGTTGGACCCAATCAGTTTGGGAAAGAAGAATGATGTCAGTGACCTATGCAACAGCGACGGTAACAAGGAAGAGCCGTATTGCATGCGAGCAGTGGCTCACCGTGGTGGAGGATACGATTACCCTGAGAACAGTATATCAGCTTTTCGAAATGTACAATCAAAAATCTATCCCGCTTAGGCTTTTCTTTTATTATCTAAGTTATCATGATTACCTAGCATTTAACAAATTCTTTTTAATCTGACATCGTTCTTACGTGAAGTGATGAATCAAATGCATTGCTGAGAATATATAAATTAAAAAATTGGAAAATACAATATCACTTGTTAACACTAGAGGATAAGTAATTTTTTTTGTAGTGGTTAGGTGCTTAGTGTTAACAAGAATCTAATCTTACAGTTTGTATTGTATTTGAGCCTAATTATAATACATTAATTGGGCAAGCTTTTTTAACAAAATTCATAATCACAGATTATGATATATTAAATTAAAATTCTACCTGAATTATTATTCCTTTTTGTTAAATTGTTAACTCTTGTAAAAACATATTCTTTAACGTTTTTCTAGAGCAAACAAAAAGGATGCACCGCAGTAGAATTTGATGTGGCTTTGACCAAAGATAACATTCCAATAGTATACCATGATGTTACCATTGAAAGACTAACAGGTCAAATAGGAGTCATAAGAGAAATGACATGGGATCAATTAAAAGAACTAGATATTACATACAACCATCCCCTCAGGTATAAACACAGGATACATGCACCAGCAAAACATTAAATATTTCTCATATTTCCTTGTATCTGCAAGGTTTACATGCTATATGCATATTATATTAATATAACAATACTAATAAGATCTCATAATAGAGCATGTTCTACAGGGACAAATTTCGTAGTGGAGAAAAGATCGCTTTATTGGAGGACGTTCTTGAAGAATGCATAAAGAACGACCAGCGGATCTTCATGGACATAAAAGAAAAAAGTTTGGATATCGTGCAAATAATTTTAAATATGTACAAAAAGTATCCAAAACTTTTTGAAAGAGCAATAGTGACATCTTTCAATCCCATCGTCATATACATGGTGCGTTAAAATATATATGTTATGATACTTGAAATTTGTCACAAAAAATGTTATCATTAACTGAAACAATATTGTTTGTTCGTATATGCATGTTATTATTTAATAAGTACGTGAGATCGGTTGTTTAAGTTGTTTTTAGATAAGAAGGAAAGAGCCACGAGTAGTGTGCAGTCTTTCTTGGCGACCTTTCGTCTTCTCAAGAAAATCTTATAGCAGCCTGGATGGACCTGGTGCAGTACGTTTTAATAATCCATTAAAACATATTGCTGCCTGGACCCTTGATGTTATACATAGTTGGGCCTTACCGCGGTTTACCTACTATCTATTGGGCCTGTCCGTTATTTTGCTGCACAAGGATATTGTGAGCGCGTAAGTGAATCAGATTTATTTGGACGAAGATTTAATCCTTTACCTCATCGTAATATTTGTGTTGTCCAGTTTTTGCCGGTGTAGTCAAGGGTTAAATTAAACATATTTCTGTAATGTATATGTTATTTGGAATAATGGAAATATTATTAACATTTCAGTGAAGTGGTACGCCAATGGCACAAACGAGGAGTACGCGTTATAGTCTGGACAATTAATTTACCATCAGAAAAGTTACATTTTTCGCGACTTCTTAAAGTAACTTATCTGACGGATACGTTGTTGACAGAAAGTAATGGACACTTATGATTGAACGAACAATATTAAATATAAAGTATCATTGCACAAGCATGTATATCGTTAGAGAATGAAGAAGTTGGTAGTGAATTATTTATTTATTTGTGATATGCGAGAAAATTGTGAATCTCATATTTGTTTATAAAAATTCGTAACATTGATATGTTAATTGCTGAATGATTTTGATACAGCTATAGATAAATGTTATTAAAGTACAAATATGAAAATATCTCTGCAGGCTTATGTAGTACAACATGCTATAACCAATTTGTTAATCAACAATTTATCTTGGGTATACAGATTGCGTTATGTTGTAATACATACTATAGAAACAAGCTTTATCTTAGAGCAGCTATGAAACTATAATCAAATTTTATATTATTCAAGCGATGCGAAGTACATAGTTTTATTCAGTGATATTTTTTTTCACACTACATTTTATCGATGACTGCAACGAATAATAATTATTTAATCCTTAAAGACGCACTCTGAACATTCTGTTGTACAAAAGTATAAAAGGCCTACGTCAATAACTTACTGTTATAATCTCAAACGTTTACGTTTTAACAGTTAAATTGAACTAATAATTAATAAATTATTCAGAATGCACTCAAAAGAAAGATCATCGGAAGATACTAATTCTATTGACAGAAAAATCTTATAACTTAACGTAGTGGACCCAGTTGTCGACACTATTATTTGTGGACAATATAAGAAATATTTTTCTCTCTCTTGTGGACGTTGTACATCCATAAGAATTTCCACTGCTTGTACAATATTAACAACTAGACCCACTACCTTAAATATTTATTGATTGACAAGAGCAGATTTATTATGATGCATTTAGAATCCGTAATGTTATGACCATCACACTTACCTTTATTTACGCCCGTTAAAATTTTAAAATATCAGGAAAATAAATGTTTTAACAACTTCTTCCATTTATAAAGCTTAGGTGTTGCACTATTGATAATGAATCTAACAAAGGCCAGAGAGAAAGAGAATGTTTCATATGAACTCTCTAGAATACTGCACTTTTCTAATCAATGAAGGCTAATCTGCTTCATTAATGCTTTCTATTAATGGGCCTAATTAAATATAAAAGCGTGAATCGATTCAGTAGGACCAACTGATAAGTTAACTATGATTACCTAATGTAATGTATATTATCAACGTCCATATTCATATATATGTGGAATAGGACCTTTAACATTTCTTACTTCTAATCACACGCGCTGCCATTCTGCTACCAATATAATTTAACAGTCAGTATTATACAGTATCACAATTTAAATGTAATCATACACTGTATTTAATTCACGATTAAATATTTATATGCAATTTTTATTTTGATATTTCCTTCAAATTTTATTGATCGAATATCACTTTGACAATACCAATAAAAAACAAATACAATTATATTGTCTGTGACTAACTCTTAGACAGTTTAGATCACAATTAAACTTTGATAAGTTTGAGTGTGTGTTATGATGAATAAAAAATATTAAAAGTATCACGGTAAAATACGTATGTCGTGTATATTGAACGATTTCAAAGGCTAAATATTTAATCAAAAAAGTTTGTACTTTTTATACAAAATAAATGATATTAAAAAAGCTTTACACGTCCTGGCAGCATCACATGTGCAAGATTGCTCAAACTTTATTTTGCGATTAAACTGCCTTTAATTGATTTGTACTCCATTCGATGTGTAAGACAGTCTTAATCACAATAATGCAATTATTATACATAATTATAATATTATATATACGTCAAAGTTCCATAAGCATTATTTCATTAATCCTCTTAATATAAAAAAAACCGCGTCACAAGTAGATTTAAAAAATCTCAATATAAATCATCGATATTGATAATTTCATTTTTTCGCGCACGAAAATCGTTATAAACTAATTTTCACACAACAGTGGTGAGTTTACTTTTGCGTGATTCCATACCTTCAATCAATCCGGTCAATAGATCCTCCATTTCAGTTGCAGCTCGTTTCAGCTCGCAATTATCATCTGCGCTGAATGATTCTGAAAATGAAATTAATGCACCGCTATACTCACGAGCGAAATGAAAACAAAGAAACAATATCTTATACACGAATGCCAATTATTATGAATATAAAATTGTTATATAAACTTACCCTCAAGTAAACAATCATTGGCAACCATGTTTTGTAATCTATCAAGAATATCGTTGAGATCGCCTTGAATATTCTGAAGGCTGCTGTGTTGTGAATGCTTATCAGGGCGTTGAAGAGAAGAAGGTGTATTTTCTCGCAAAATACCATTAGGAGAATGTGAAACAACAGTTGCCAATGTTGTTGGAGAGTCAGAGTGAGAGCTACTTGTAGCTACAGGTTTTGTTGAATAATCATTGGCATCCCTGTTGTTGCTGCTACCAGATGCTAACCACTGTGAGAATCCACTATCAAAACGACCCAATCCAGTCCTATTGCCACCTACAAAATCAACTTTAATTATAGAAATTCTTGTATATAACAAGGGCTGCGTTTATCAAAAAAATTTGAAGTTTAAGACCAGACTCTTATTACTTTTAATGCCTATACTGATAAATGTATTTAAATTGACTGTAAAAATCTTATTATTCCTTAAAAGTTGTATATTCTTAAAACTTTACCTACCTCCTATCCACGTGCTCAATTCAATTCGAGTAAATTCGGAGACGTTGCTGAGCCTAGAACTAGTGTAAGTTCCATCGGCTTGTGCGTGAATGTCCGTTCGCATATTTTCGCTAACGTCAGAAATTTTCCCATTATTTGGCAATTTGTCCAATGAATATATATGAGTTGCAATTTTCGACTCCAACGTTCTAGAATTCTCTATGGTACCTTGTCTCACAATCGGACTCAATTCAAATTCTACGGGCAATGGAGTAACTCTTGAGTTGACTGGACGAAACATCGGTGTACTTTCCATTCGATTCATAATACGGGATGGCATTTCAGTGGTTTGAGCGAACAGATATTTCTGTTGATATATAAAAAAAAAATCAATTATTTGTATGAAATGATGAATTTTATATTCGAAAAAAGTTATTCTTTAATTTAGTATCTACTTTTTAATTGATTTTTAATGAGCTTCTCTCAGTGCAGGTTGTCACGTTCATTAATTTGTTTAATATATTACAAAATACCTTTAGTAATTTTAATCGTTGAAGCTGTGACTCAATGGTTAATCTGTGTCGTTGTAATCTGTGAGCTTTAGTACCACATATCTCTAATAATTCAGATTGTAACTGTTTGTTTTCTTCCTCGAGATGAGTAATTATGCTCTGTAACTCTTTTTGCGGATCATCAAGTACCTTTCGACGGACGGTACTTCTTAAGGAACCGACACTTGTTGAACCGGCTTCGTCGCTAGAAGAAATTGATTTACTGTATCAGTTAGATATATCATTTTCTCTCATTTTTTTTATCGAAGTATGATAAAAAAAGTGCAAAATCCTTAAAAAAAATTGCATATTGTCAGTCTCTCATTAGCAACTTACTCAATCTCTGCTAATGGTGATGCGTCTTCGAGATTAACAGGAATCGCGCGGGTAGGACATAATCTCAATTTATTTCTTATTAGTTCCACGATTAATTTTGTTATCTCTCTGTTGGATGTCTAAATGAAAAATTATACGTTAATAGAAAATGACGTATTTCATATTATAATAGAAAAGAAGAAAGGGTATTTAAGAATATCAGTAACTGCTGCAATCCAATGATTTTTCTCTATATAAATATTCATTTTGCGTTTGATATTTACCTTGATACAATATTCTCGTACCGGATGTTTACTTTTGTGCTTACGTGAAATTTTACCCAACAAAAAGCACGCTTGACATTGATGATATCCGGCACATCGTAAGCAGGAATAACGCGGTCCTTGCACAGGAGTCACTTTGCACGTTGAACATTTTATATTGTGCGTCACTGAGACAGATGTATTTCTTTGTTATTAGCGTCAATGTTAATTTGTATGTTGTTATATAGAAATCATAAAATCATATATACCATATTCTGCAGCTTGCATTCGATTTAACGTAGACATCCATGCAAGTAAAGGAGGCTCATGAGTGAGCCATGTTGCAAATTGAGTTTCACTGACTCCAAGTCCACCTTGCGACTGAGAAATTTATATGATTGTGCGTCTAACAATTACTTTATAAGAACAGGAAACTGATTCCTTTGAAATATGGATTTGCAGCAATAACATACCTCAATGAAACAACTGTCAACACTTGACTGTATCGCATGACTGCCATACGCCAAACTCTCCCCGAGTGTATCAATGACTTTGCAAATATTAGTTAACAATGTATGTAACGCAGCTCGCGATAAGCATGCATTGTGATCAGCTAATTGTTGATAAAGGTATCCATATTTATCTTGTAAACGATTAGCGCTGATCAACGTTAAGGCTAATTTCATTGCAAAAACTAAAACTTTGCCTTCACGTTTCCTGAAGTATGTAAAAAAGCATATTTAAAGTATATCTTTATATTCGATAATATTATATACATAATAGGAATAAAAGTATTACCTGTCAAATACTTTGAGAATATAATTTACACCGAGTTTCGTTGCAAGATCCACATTGATATTGGTATTAGCTTCTTTGCTTGCTGCAAAATAAATATCAGAAAGAACATCCTCCACTTCGCTTGAATCCAAAGTTACAGAATTTTCTGTAGCTGATAATCTGTGGCGTTCAAATACACCAGCTATCAACTCCAATCGAACATATTGCACTGAAACATATATTACACATACACATATATGCATTCTTATACTTAATTTCATAAAGAATATTAATACCAAAAACTATATGTATTTATAGACATTATTAATAACTATATATGCTTTATTTTGAACAGAAATCTTACTATTTAGTTCTCTGTGTAAAATTTGCATTTTCGCTGCTGTTCTATAAGAGGCATATCGTATTGCATTACATCCCTCAATAGATTGCATTATTTGTTGCATTTTTGGATGATCCCACTCTGTCTGCTTTGTTGTATGACTATAAGAAAAAAGAATATTATGAAATTTCTCAATAAATACCATCCTGCAATGTTATATTTACAATTGTAATTAAAATATCTTTTATGCAACACGAATTATATTTACTTGACATAATAGGGCATGCCCTTCTCCGTGGTTGCTTGTGTCCACCCATTCATATTATCTAAAAATCAGTAAAATTCTTTAAATACAGTAATATTCATGCATCGTAAATTTTATTTAAAAACAAAGATAATTTTATTATTTATTTATAGAAGCATTTATTTGTTTCTACTTGAAAAAAGATGCCTAACGAGAAACCTTTTAATTTAAACTATTATATTCTGTAAACTACTGAAAATATATAGGAAATTAAACTAAAAAATTGCATTGAATTTTTAATCTTGAATAAAGATTATTAAACATTTAGCAATTTTGATACATATTATAAAGTATGTAGAAACAAAATACAATAATGAAACAATAGGTTTGAATAATATATGATATTTGATTACGCAATATTATTAATAAAAAATAAAGTTTATCCATAAAATAACTACACAATTCATTGGTTTGTTAGCGCTAAACAATCATCATGAAATTTCATGACGTGTGCACGCGCATGTCAAAAATCACAAGCATTGAAAAGCAACAGGTGTCAAAAAATGGAAAAAAAAATATTTCTAATACAGTGAAACAAGCAAAATGAAACTCGCTAATTAACTATCAACTGATTTACAAAAAGAGATATTATAAATCATCTATTTAATTTGTCGGTAAATAAACTTCTTGTAGCCGATATTGTTAACACCCGATGCATTCACAGAACAATGCGCTCTGAGTTACTTAAAATATATCTTATAATATAAAAACCAACATAAACAACTATGAAGTCTTGTACCGAAATGCTTAAGATGCTTACCTTCAGTCATGATTAAATTTTACCAAAAATATACATCACCGAATTAAGGAGCACAGCACAACGATCTCCACACAAACAGTAAAACCAAACGTAGGGACGCCCAGTTGTAGGCAAACATATACTTGATACAAATGTTAACTAAAAAATTAAACTATATTATTGTTTTCACAAGATAGTTAATATCACGTTTCCCTAAAAAACTTAAGAATTAAATACGTTGTCTAGAGGAAATAAATGTATTTTTTGTACGATGGTGCGTCTTTTTATACATTTTAAAATACGTTTAGCAACCAACTAAACGTGCACGTTGATTTTTAATGCAGGAAATGTGATTGGCTCGAGTCCGCCATTGTAAACTGATGACGCTGTACTTGCTGTAAAACAATATATGAACAGTTGAAAATAGTTGAGCATAGTCATTCAGTCATCAACAGTCATTGGTTATTTGTTTATAACTGTATACATATAAAAGAGATTAAAGAGAAGAAGTAACAGTTACTTCTGATTTGAAGATCGGCGATATATTGTGTAATATATCTGTATGACTTCGGCTTGTCATAAATAAATCGTATTCATTACGTATTTTGTGTAACAGGTATTAGAGTTCAATTATGGCTGAATACGTTAAAGAAGGCAATAAAGTTCTTATTGTATCAAGTAGCAGTGATGCTGTTAATGATTTGAAAAATTTAGTCGATGAGGTTAAAGAAATCATCAAGGAAACTGGAGTTCTCTTGTTGGAAAATGTTATTATAAAGAAAAAAAGTATGTAATAATTGCTGGTTTTTTTAAATTGTGACTTAAGTTTTGGTATTTACGTGATATGATGTAATATTATTTAAACATCAAGTAATTGGATTAAGTTTGAACGTTTGGGTTTAGGTGATCAGGACACTTCGTCGATAGATGTTATTTATTCTGGTTTTGAACAAGCTTTTGTTCATGATGATTTACTGCTGGCTGAGTTTCTTCGCATTTTAAAACCAGGAGGAAAAGTACTGATACGTGAGCCTGTACAAGGCACACATACCGAAGAGAAGAATAGTCCTGTCACTCTAGCTTCTAAACTGAAATTAAATGGATTTTTAGTGAAAGACACAATAACAAATGACAATGTCCATGAAATTGTTGCTGAAAAACCATTCTTCGAGGTAAGCAAAGATAAGACCTATTTGAAAGTATCTTTGGCATCGTAGTTATTAACAAACATTACATGTTTTCATATATACTATGAACATAGAGTTAGTTTGAGAATTCTTTATGTTTAGATTGGATCGTCCATCACGCTTTCCTTTACAAATCCAAAAGCAAATGTATGGAAATTGGACAGTGCTGTAGATGATGATTTGATAAATGATAGTAATCTATTAGATGAAACAGATATTTTGAAGCCACAACCAGCTTCATTACGAGGTATGTTGACATAGGAGGCGTCATAGCACATAATACATCCCAGTAACAAAACTATGCATTTAGTTTTTAATTATGGATGAAAATATCATTTAAATAAAATTTTCTAGTATGCAGTACAACAGGAAAACGTAAAGCATGTAAAGATTGCTCATGTGGTTTAGCTGAAGAGCTGGCTGGAGATGTGTCAGAACAACGAACAGGAAAATCATCTTGTGGAAATGTATGTACAGTGAACACAAAATTTAGAAGTATATTAAGTATTTGTCCATATCAGTATTGCAAATTTTACTGCTTTCTACTATGTCATAATTTTATTCTGTTTCAGTGTTACTTAGGTGATGCTTTTAGATGTGCCAGCTGTCCTTATCTAGGAATGCCTGCTTTCAAACCTGGAGAGAAGGTTACTCTGCCAGATACCCAACTGACAGCAGATTCCTAAATTGAATTCCAATAAAGTATTAGTTCATATATCTGTAATCAGCTGTGCGTTTACATTTTATAATACATAGATAAATCTTTATTCCATACAATCAATTTCTATTATACAATAACCAGAAACTATAAACATTTATCTTGATCATGTAAAAAATAAAGTTTTCAAATTATGGCAGGAGTGTAAATGGAGTGTATAGACAATTACATAAAGACATTTTATTCTTTTATTACTCGATAATCATTACAATATAAATCGATAGCGTGAAATAGACCATCTGTTGCATTGTATATACACCAAATTCCTTCACGGCAGTTCTGACAAATTTTATAAAATGAAATAGCATACGATGTTTTACATTGCCTGTTTTCTTGAGGAAGTTCTTTATGATTTCCAACAGGATTTATTTCGATGCGTGTAATAGTGATGATAGGTCGATTCCATGATATGAATTGGGCTTCATACAATGCATCAGTACAGTATATAATAATTATTTGGGACCATATCCTTTTCACCATAAATTCACTATCCCATCTCTGGGGATGAGTGTCTGGGAGAGGGCTATTTTCCATTAGTGACTTACAACACTAAATTAATATTATGTAACTGTATAGCACAACTCTTCGCATACAAATTAGCTCTTCATACTATTATATTGAACTTCGATTCTTGTGCTTGTACGCAGCTGGAAAACATAGTTAACACTTACTCGTATCTGCACAAAATAGTAGCAAAGAATGTCTGTTGCGTAATATAAAAAAATATCTTTTACCATAAATTACCAAACACATTAAAAATTTTTCGAATACGTCTGACTAAAAGAAAATTGCATACAACATTGTGATTAAGTACGCCCTTCGTTAACCTTATAATTTTTCTCATTTATAAATTTTCTATCGATCGCCATTCAGGAAGATACCACAGTCCGCAAATATAGTATTCAAATTAAGTATTTTCACAATGCGCAGTGGCTTAAGTAACCAATCTTGTTGCTTGATTCGAGTTATACAAACTCCCAGTATCCTTTGCAATTCTGATATTTGGATTCTTATATATATCAAAGATGAATATATAAAGGATCAATGAAACGCAATAAGACATAACTGGCCACTATGCGTTTTTGGTCAAAAAAAGCAAACTGTTCGATCAAGAGCTTATAATAATTTGTTGTTAATATTACAGATGACGCTTGCATGTATAAAGAAACGCAGAAAAGTAGGTACGTGTAAATCGTACGTTCTTAAATAATATTTTCATTATCGCCTGCTTTCCCCTTTTTTCCACCCGCACTGTCAATAATAGGAACAACATTATCAGAGATATCATATAATGATACAAGCTGTCAATTCGCATTCCTTCAGTAATATATTTACACATGCACACGATTGTTCATTCATATAAGCGCGCAGCTTACCTTGCGTTTCATGGATCTTGTAGAAGAAACCAAAAAAACGTTTACAAGACACGCCCAAAATATCGCGTCCCACTTTACTTCACCTGGCAGCGATTCGGCCTAAATTTCTTTTTAACTATCATCGTTGACAGAACAACGAGAATTTTGTGTCATATTCGTTACATACATATATGTTTTAGCCAATGTACATTCTTCAAAATTGTATGGCCAAGAATGACACAAGGTATTTTTATAATTTTTTAAAAATAAAAATTAATCCACGTGGATAAATATATAAGAAATATTACCATGTTTTACCAATGATGAACTAATGCTTAATTGCTAAACTAATGTGTTCTATTGTTCGACTTGATCCACCGCGTACGAGATGTACAATTGAAGAAAAATTGTACAATTTGTACCTGACACAGGTATTACCGGTTAAATTAAATGTGAGCCTCGAAACTATAAATTTTGCAGCACTCGCGGAGCCCTCTAAGTAGAATAAATATTTTAATGGATGAATAGATAGAATAAATATTTTAGTGGATACTAAAGATTATAGAAATTGTGAAGTCTTCTAAACAATGAAACAATATTGTACAATTCCGCATGTGAACATTCGTTTCGTAATGATTGGATATTTTGACAGTATTGTACTACGAACAAAAAGTATTTACACTGTGCTACTTGAAATACAAATGACATTTCATACTTTTCTTTTTGGATTCTACTAGCAGATACAACGTCAGCACCGGTTTTAGGATACAACTGTATGCAAATTATTTTTTTTGGTTTTATCATAGCGTAACTAAATTTTTGTGATTCGAGTGCAGTTATTAAAACCAGTTCTATAACGGACTGGCTTCTAATACGAGCCACCGTATCTGATAGCTTATTTGTGTTAATGCTACTATCGTTGGTGCCGTTAATTTCTTTTTTAACGTTTGCTATTATTCTTCACATCATTGACGCTATTGTCCACTGTATATCGTGCCACTTTTGCAAGCAGTTCTACATAAGTATTTTATCATAATGTCATGACACCAATGACAATCAAAGTTATTTTTAAAATTCAATCCCTGCGCATTTTCTTGTGATACACCATGTCAATTGGTTACGATACCACTTCCACTTCACTGACAGCGATACCATTTTTAATTGTGAATATAGTGCGTACACTGATAAATCTATCGGATGGATCTTGTTAAATTTTTAAAATAACGCAAAGTGCCGCTTTTCAATGTGCTCATACAAAAATTTGACAATGATGTATAAAAGACATTAAGGGGGTACAGGACTATTGAAATAAAAAAATATATTTTTTTTTTAAATTACTGGATCTGAAAGCCTCGTCCCTTACGAGTATTACAAAAAAATTCGCGGATTGAAAAAAATTAAAAAATTTACGGAAGTGAGTGTTAATCGTAAGTGAGTGCGGAATAGAGTAACAGGCTCCTTGAGTGATATACGGTGTTTACAGGCCTGTGTGTCTTTCGTGAGGAACTTTAAAGTCATTTATCTCAAAGTTACACTTTTCAACATGTGGACATCATAACTCTTGAACGAATAATTATTTTCACTTGAAATTTAATTTTAATTTGCAAAATACCTTTCTCTACAACATGAAACTTCTTCAAGGGCACTGTATAAGTTGAAAAATAACTACAAATAATTGACAAGAATTTTTTTCGTAAAAATGAAAAAAAATTAGATATGTATGGAACTTAAAAAATTATCTTTGAAATTCGCCCAAAGAGTTCCATGTTCTAGTTTTGAGAATATAAATTACTCGTTTCAAAGCATTTTGCTTTCAGATAATTGGTTCACCTGAGATTACGTCCATAGATTGAAGGCTGCGAGCTACGCAGAGCAATATTCAGCACTTAGTAATTTGTATAACTTTGAATATATCAAAAACTTCTTTCTTTCAAAAGACACATGCACAATAAACTGTAAAAAGTACCGGTTCGATAATAATTTAGTTTCTAAGGAATTGAACTTGATGAAAAAGTCTATTTTTTTAAGTTTCATTAGTCCTTTACCCCCTTAAGACAGAGCAGTGATAGCGAGAAAAAGCAAAAAAAATGTTGACTATTCGATAATCTTATCAGTACAGAATTGAAAGTTTTTTGAAAGCCATTCGAACCACAAACATAATTGAGATGTTTGGCACAACCATTTTTTTAAATAACAGTAGATATTCAAACAAGTATTAAGCATTCACGCGTGTCATTGATGTCATTCCTTCAAAAGAATGAGCCTTGATTTTTAAAGTGCCACAACAAAATTCCGTTACGTTTTTTTCAAACGCAACATCATAGAACGGTTTAAAAATATTTTGGAGCAACTTCAAATAAAATATCAATTCCGCAAGTCTATGAATAGCCAAAAAGAAAATCATTGACGAATTAAACAGAACTCTCAATTAAATAATATATAATAATATTAATAAAAGTTTCTGTCATTTACACATCACTTTCAATAATAACGCATGAAAATCTTGGTGATTTCGCCTGCCTATTGTTTCATCAAAGTTGATCTTCCATGATATTAAATTGATTTAAGAGGAGTTGTTAACAGCAACGTATTCTGCTTTTAAAAAATTCTGAAGTGCTTGCACTCCAAAATAAAAAAGAAACAGTTGCAAGAGACAACCCTGAGATAACTCTGTAAAAAATTATACCGTAATAAAAGCTGTTTATCATCAACAGCTGTACGATACATGTATACTATAAGCACAGCCCTACGAGCATAAAATATAAGAATTAAGGCTTCGGTGTGGTGGCCGCCTTGTTTCTCATTCTATGCATTAACTAAAAATGACGGAGTTAAAAACTTTTGGCTCTTGTGCGTCTCCTGGAGACGCCAACATTACAAACTTAACAACAATACTAATGTCTCTCTCAACATGTAAGTATGTGTATTGAGTTTCAAGAACACAGTCTCCTTAAAGGCCCGAAACGGAGTCCGTGCATTCTTTGCACAGTTTATTATCATACGATTGTAGTATGACAATAGCTCGTGCTAGCACGAATCACCTTCCATGCTATCCAGCAAAGAGTTCTTCTCTTCCTTTTTGGTATTGACACTCTTGGTCGGCGCGCTTCGTAATTTTGGTTCAAAACATGGCTGCAACGAATAAACAAACGCTTATTGACAAGATTCCTGTCAAAGTGTCATGCTCAGCACCCCAATGAAAAAGGTAAGTTGCCCCTGAACGATTTACACATTAGCGCAGTCGATTTCTATGTGCTCTTTATCATTGCTTGCTTTTAATACGTAAAATAAGTTTTACAGGAATATAAAAAAAAAGTAATAAATAGCTTATGATTTCCCAGAACATTCACACCTAACTAATGAGTTAATTCACGTGAATTTGTGAGAGAGATTCCAATTAAAATTATCAAGCCACAATTAAAGTTAATGTGCCACAATTAGTTACCAGTGTAATATTTAGGAACGTACTTTCTAATCATTTGAGGACGATTTCATAAAATGTAAAGATTAAATGACATGTAGTGCTTAGAACAAAAAAAAAGATTTGAAGTTCACGGGCAACGTCTACTGACGTATATACGCCTCTAGAGACAGTCAAATACGGAATGAGGTAAAAGCGTTAAGTGGTAGGGTACCGGCATCCTTAATTGCCTGAGATTCCCTATGCGTACAAAATATGCCTTGCTCTTCGTTAACTAATCTCTCAACACCGCAAAATTTTTTCAACAAAAATACTAATAGCGTCTTGCAGTTCAAACAATAATTTAAATTTGTGATATAATATCGTTTTAGTATTTTACTTCCATTTCATGCAATTCGTTAAAAGGCGTTTTATAAAATTGCGGAGCTTGAAATTTGCAATTTGTCATTGCACTTCAAAATTATCCTAAGAGATCTCGTCGTATTTGATACGCAATAGTCGAAATATTATAAATTATTTTTTAGTATCATATTAAAATGCTATGTGAAATATCCATTACATGCAACGACGTGGATGCACGGTGCACAGGCAGATCTGATGCAGACGAAGTAAACTCAACAAATGAAAATTCAATGCCCAGGAAATGGTTCACTCACTGTTTCGCAGATGTTCATATTGCAGCAGTTTTCAATAGTGATCTCGCACTGGTCACTGGCCATTTGCGGTCGCGAAGTAAGTGGTGTCACACCGGTCTTGCTAACGACGAAACGCTTCTTGATGCGTGGACGTCGACGGAGTTTGTTCACGTAGATACTTAGAGTAATTACAAGAATAATAAGTACACCGATAAGAGTACCGAGAATCGGTAGTAATAAGTTGCGCTCCATTTTATATTCCTGAGATATAATAGTATCAGTCTGGTTACTTCGGGTACAACTGTAAAAAAAATGCATTATTTCATATAGCAAAGAACCACAATAATAAGTTTTGCATATCGGTTAATTGCTAGTCACTTACTTGCAAAGACTAGTATCGTAGTTCTTCAAAGCAGGTGGATTACTCTTGCAAAACAAAGTACATATTTCGTAAAAGTCATTGGTGTTTTCACAGCGTGGCCCTCTTGTGTTTTTACACTTGCAAGATGGTGCACCATTTTCTATGGTACAGACACCGTCGTTCAGGCAATAACCATCACAAAGATCCTTTTCACATCTACTCCCACTATAAGAACTTCCGCATTCACACTGAGCTACACCCAACTTGTTTATGGTACATAGTGTCCCATGCAGGCAGTAGTTGTAGCATACAGATGTTTCGCAAAGAGAACCATTAAATCTATAATCACAAATTACAATACTTATATTGTATCGAAACACTAGATTATAATTTAGCAAGTTGGGGTGAGTAATACAAAAAACTAATCACTCCGACATAAGTAAAAGCACTTTCTTGCTTCGTAAAGATTGTATAAGAATAATGTATAAAAATAGAGTCGAAACATCATTATTACCCTGATTTGCAAATGCAACTTCTGCTAAGTGGATTGTAGGTGGAATTGTTGAGGCATGATCCTTCAGACCTCTCAGTTGTCGAATCCATCTCTTCGGTACTGGTAGTAAGGTTGTTGTAAGATCTCGCTACAGTTTCCTGTGTAATTTTTCTTGCTGTGTTTTTCTGCAATGCACTTATCGCCTGGCAATTAATTTGATCAATATTATCGCGCGTTATTATACCAGCAGGGTCCGCGTCTACGCGTGACTCGTATGATTTGAACTTTTCGAATGTCTCGACAGATTTTTTGTCCTTTTTAATCATCCATATCGTCCTGGATACGGTATCCGACCAGTAAATTCGATCATGATCGACGGTAAGATATGTTGGCCGCTGGTGCCTATTGTTAACCAGCAATTCGCGTTCAGTTCCATCACTGTTGCTCCGCTCAATATGAAAGGAAATTCCTTCTACGTCATCGGCCCAGTACAATTTGCCGGTTTCGTGATCGACTGCTATGTCCATTGGTTCGTATAAATTGCGACTTATCACCACGGTTCTGTTGCTACCGTCGACCAGCGATCGTTCAATAGTAGGATTAGTGCGATTGCTGTTTGTCCAATACAAGAACCTGAAATTAAAGAAATGCCATAATAAGAAATTATTGCATACATTTAAAAGTCTTATGGCAGAATATGAGCATCAACGTGTTGCGTTGCTTCTGCGTTGCTTGACAGTACGCAAAATTTACTGGTACAACATCTACTCGCTCATTAATTCAAGGTCTTTTTTTTTTCTTAATTATATGTTTTGTTACATAGTCGTATACCTGTTGCAAATGTCCAAAGCTATGCCGCCTGGTATACTGTATTTTAGGTCGTGAAGTTTTTCTGGTTCTCCAAGATCGCCATTCAATGGTATATGCATTTTCATTATTGTTTGTACTTTAGCGTCTGTCCAAAATAAAGTACGCGATATCGGATCAAAAACCATTCCTACGATGTAAGTTATGTTGTCTGCTGCAATGGAATATTTCGATGTAGACGCTGCATTTATCCATTATCCCGTATTAGAAAACGACAAACTACATTATAATACTACACATGACAATGATTTATTGCTACGTAATATCGATCATTAAATCTTATCAATTAGCGCCTCTCAAAATTACACATATATATTTCTATAATAATTAATAACCAAGATTCTTATAACGGACATTTTAATTGACTGTAATAAATTGCCGTATTGTAAACAGTGCTCAAGTAAATTATAAAAAATTTAAAGTAAAATTAGGAGAAAAGCAATGAACGCTACGTGACACATTACGTGGATCAGAAAATTGGAACCACTTGTTGCCCAGTTATATCTATACGTCTAACATACATATTTACTCGTGAAATTTAGAATAATGTCGACGCAATCTCCTCAATCGAAGTTTCTATCGTCACTATTCTACTATCAATATTTATAATCTGCCGCCCGACAGACTAACCTTATAATACAAAATATTGATTTTTTACAAAAATTTATCGCAAATAAACGGCTAAGATTTCCAGACTAGCCTTGACTAAGGTTTAGAATTGCATTAGATCCTAACCCGTAGATACCCACAGAATTCTTTCAGCTATAAGATAACCGAAGCCCCGGGTCAAAGTCACGAATCGCATCATTCGCCGAAGCTAATCGCAATCGCTCGTTGCGCATTAAACATACACACTCTAAATGATTTTAAAACAGTCGTAAACTTCGTAAAAATAACAATATATGCGTGGTCATACTAACTTTTCAATAGCGACTTCGGTTTGAAATTCTTCACCGTCAGATCGTTACTGTATATCGATACGTTTTTGTTTCTTGTGTCGCTGAGAAACATTGTTCGGGTGGCATTGTCATACGCTAGAGCAGTTAGACTTCTGGCATCGGCAATTTCGGCATGTCCAGTGCGTGAGCCATTGTGTGCAAAAAAGTCGATTTCATGACCGATCGCCACCGCCAAATCTGAAAGTAAAAGAATATTTCTATTATTATCAACTGTCACTTTTCTCAGCGATAAATTATTCTTCTCAATTACTATTGAACCAAACAAACTGACAAATGATTGTCAATCCTGACACAACACACGATAGCATTTGACATTGATTAATAATTGTGAAAATACTTTCACCGTCTCTTGTAAACACGTTAAAAATATTCTAATATCAATAATAAAAAGTCTTAACTAAGTATTACGCAATCACGTTTACATAGACGACCGAGTTATCGCATGCTGTCACTTCGTGTATACATATTGTGTAAGTGCAGTATCTCGCCATCGTTAACCCTTCAACGGTTAGGTGGGGTCACTCTGACCCCAAGATTTTCACGTACACATTTTCCTGTTTACACCAGAGTGAAAAAGAAAACTTTTCAATCTGTCGTTTTATCAACGAAAATACAGATGTCGCCACTTTCTAAGTTGACGTGTCAGAGTGATCAAAAATATATGTACGCAATTTTTGGGTTTTAATCAAAATGATATTTGAGCTCCTTACAGTGGGCGGCTATTTTACCAATCTAATTCGTCAAAGGGTTAAGAAGCTATAATCAATGATTATTTCAGCAGAGCCTAAGACCCTCTAAGTGGTCGATTATTGAAACAATTGCTCCGCATTCATCTAATTCAGTTGGATCAACATGAATCAATGTTGTTTAGTATACATGCATTACTGTAGAATAAATTAAAATGGAAATTTTGTCAATGTAATATATATTTATACAGAATAATAAGAAATCACGTCTAGTTTTGTTAATGATAAAAATACAAATGACCTATATTACTTCCTTATATTGGCTAGGTTGTATCGATTTACAACTCCGTTATCGAACGTCTACTATAAATTGTCTACAAAAAACTTATAAATTTGCATTAAAAGAAAAATCAACTTTTTGTTTTCAAGTATCCTTAAACCTTCCCAAGTATTTAATCTGAAATTACGATTTTTTATTTTGTTGCATACACGTACGACTAACAATTTACTGACATCCAATGACGATGCGCAAATGCACAGACACAATAAATACGTTCAATACAAATATTACGTTCAAGTATTAATTATCAGTTTAATTAGTTGATTCCGATGGCAGAAAATTGATTATCAAGAGTTATCTGGCTTGAACATTTACGGAACGAACGATTGAAGTGCAAAAATTTTAAAAATCATCGAATTACCGATAGGTTACGTAAACTTGTATCGTTAACTACTAGAAGTTCTTTGAGAATTATTATGTCACACGAAATTCCGAACTAAATGTTTTCGGCTCATCTAATAAGATATAATTATTAATTCGTGGCATTTCCAGTTGATAACACGTGACATACAGTTTTTCGATCGATTTTTACCATACATACGTACAACTTACGATATACATATGTAAGGTGATATGCCATTTTGATTATTGTTAATATTCAAATTATAATTATCCGTTATCCCTCACGTCCAATCTGTAGATTATACTGATCAGAAGTTTTTCTTGTATCAGCAAAACTCAACACCCAGAATTACATAAATACATAGCACTGTCAAAGACAATAGATAATGCTTGGTTAAAACGAATTCACGGTAATGAAAACTAGCGAAACAATACTCAGCATACAGAATATGACAAAAGTAATTACATAGTCTTAAACTACAATTCCCTAAATAACTGTACGTACACAGTCTTCAAGAAAGCACATAAAGAATGAATAAAAACCAAACGAAAAAAAGAGCGTAGTCTCACATATCATATATGTCAGCAAAATACGTAATGGTATAATGAAAGCAGTACGTATGTGCAAATGCGTATGTGCGTAGACAATTGTACGTGAATTCGTTCTCATAAATAATTCGAGTCATTATTAAAAACAATATCCCTTTTTTACTCCAGCTGCGGAAACAGAGAGTGTAGCACACGAATAATTGCAATTGAAATATATTGAATGACTTGATAAGAACGAGCGTTTTTACTGACATAAAAGAAGAAGTATGAGTAAAAATGAATCATGTAATTAAAAATCAATTTATTACTGTTTAAATTAGTTTACTTTTATTATTTTTTCATCACCGGTACACAGATTATCTATCACCGTCAGCGATCACCATTGTCCATTGACATTCGTTACGTAAAACCGTACGAAATGAATATGGACCTGATCATTACAGGTCAAAAGGATATCGAGGTCTGTAATATAAAGCGTAACTGGAGATCAGTTACATTCAACTTTCGCAAGGATGATCCTAGTTAAATAGTCGCGCGAACTTCTGGTGTACGTGACGAGCTCTACCTCGTGCATGGAGACGGCGAGTGTATATCGATATCACTCGGGGTTCTATAACGTGCTATACGAGTTGGAGCCGGCACACATTTTTTTATAAATTAACTAAAACTTACCCCACGATCTGCCAGCGCTTGCTGCTGTTACAAATGTAACCATCAACAGCAACGTTATCTCTCGTAATTTATAAAAGGTCATGTTGATTTTTCATTCGAGAATTCCGAGGATCGAAATGTCTAGTATTACGCGAGAGGGCCGTACGGTATTGAATAGCTAAAACAAATGCTAAACCCGTCACAAGACTCCGCTATGTTCAACGGCGTCGGGCCAACTGATCAAACTGAGCTCGTTTCGCTCGAGTACACTTGCCGTCGTGAATGTTCGGTCAAACTCGGCTAAACTCGGATGCGTTCGTGACACGGGACATGAATTCTGCAAATCCGCTTGCCGCCACGAGAGGCGCTAGGTGGTGGGGATATAAGCCATCTTTGTTTATCTCATACGAAACGATTGCTGCTCTTAAATGTAATGACCAGAAAGCGGACGGTGCTTGGATTTAGGGTTCTGTTATCGGAATTTTGACTTTTTTAGACTTTCTTTAATTAAGTTTTGTCGTCCGACTATGCCCGTTTTCTCGGACGTTAATCGAAGTTTAAACTCTGGTTACCCTATCTTAAAACTATAATTAAGAAATCGAACCAGGTTTAAACGACTTCGGAGGAAACGAGCATAATGTGATCAATCTTCGGGTGATTTTCTTTTCGTATCTATTACACATTCATTTCATAACCTAGTTATCCCAAGAGATGTATTCCTGAAATATTTGTTTCATTAATGAGATTTAAATTTGTTGTTGGCTTTAATCGTATTTCATTATATGATACGAAAAGACGCTTTACACGTTGAATGCATGCTCCCCTTGCAACAATTTAAAATGATGTTTTATCCGTTACCTTGTTATCGACATCATCTTTATTTACTTGGTTTATCGTTCCACTTACGTATTTAATTATCCAACTAGTACTTGTACATTGTTTGGAATTATTGAAATAAATTAATTGAGTATCAATATACAATGATGTAGGACGAAAACATTTTATACAGTAAAACATTTCTCGCAGACTATATAACGTATCAGAAATCTATACTACTTTCAATATACACGGTCAACTTTGCGAAATGAGTATTTAATTATTTGATAGAATAAATAATGAACGTCTCTGCTCGTGGCTTCTTCGTAGAAATAGCACGTTGTCAGCTCCGCGTTTGAATCACAGTACTTATTAAAAAATGATATAATATTTGCATATTGGTAATTTTAAAAATTAACCAAAATCAATTTATAAGCAATAAATCACTCGGTGCTTTAGTTATAGAAACTGACAATTTAATTCTGCAATTAATACTTTCCGTATGTCGCACTTAAGGCTCTTGTTGCAATAATGGTATTACATTTGTTGTTTGATGATTTATAATAAGAGTACCTAGTAATTACATAATTTAATTTAATCCTCATTTGCATTATTATTCTTCTGTTCACTTGTAGATTATTATAGGATCATTATAGGATTTGTTTACGTATTTGTTATTATTTCTGTTTACTATATATTCTCATCCGCATTCTTCTTATTTTATATATATATGTACACATATATGTGTATCAATATTCAATAGCTATTAGGGATTTCCTTCTGAATTAACAATATCGACTATGAACCTTGAACGTGAACAGTAGCTCAATCTGGTTCAAGGAACGTGTCCCTTTCTCCATATGGAAATATATATACATTATATGTATATCTCATAACAGAAATATTATACGACTAAGAAGTCCCGATATTTGATTCACAAAGTGATGTTTTGCTAAAGTTACAAATACGGATATAAAGGAAAACGATGATAAATTTATTGAATTCTATTTTCCTTGATACTTGTTGTTGAGAAAGCTTTGACTTAAGTGTTTATCTGCAGTTTCCTGACATTTATCCTAAGTCCTGAAAAAGAATTAGGAAATAAAAATAGGATATTGTGCCTCGGATTCTGTTTTCAGAATAACATTTTCGCGAATATTTCTACGCATTTCTTTTACTTGTATTTCGCCTTTCGAAAGTGGAGAAAGCGATACGTAGATCGGAATCTTTGTTTTTATCAGACAATCGAAAAATCTAATCTCGTTCTTAATTCACTGCTAAAAAATCGGCATAAGGTAATCAGTAGTAACAGAGTTTAACGATTGCAATCAATAAAATCGTATTATATCAGAAAGAAATAATTAGCAGTAACATATATATTATGTGTGAATAAATCCTTTAAATATTTAAAAAGAGAACGAAATTTTAAACAGATAAAAACAAAAATTTATTATAATTTGCCAAGATGAAGTTTTACTTTTTCACATTAATTTATTGTATCCAACGTCTTACCAATGGTGATTAGAGTAGTTAGTCATTAAGATGCGGATGTTCAAAAGGTAACCATGACACAGTTATAGAATAATATTCTTAAAAATGACTTTCAAGGTTTTGTTATAAATCTGAAAGAATGTCCGTTTGAAATTAATTAATCATTCAATAGCTAGTTACGTTTTCTCAAGAATCATTCTGTAAGTCAATGGTACATTGTTCTACTATAATATTGAAATAAAATAATAATTAGTTCAAGCAATAATAATTATCAGGATATCATCTTCTGTCCAAAAAATATACTGAAATTATGTTATTTTTATTAGAGATAAGAATCTCACAAAATATTTACCAAAGAGATTTTTGCCACATTTTTTAATTTTACTTATATTCGATACAGAGCAACTGTCATACATTCTTGCGCAGTCAAATTGTTCCTATTTGCACGAATAGGTTTCTTGCCCGCTACCTGGTTACCTAGATAAAAATCAAATAGTTATTAATAAGTCTGATTCTACAAAAATTTCATATCCAAACCTTAAAAATTTGTATTCGAACTAACGCCACAAATTGCGCATGCTTTCAAGCTTAACACGTGCGTGATTGCGCAACGTAATATCAAAAAATTGTATCACGGGTTGCATAGCAACAGGCGTAACAAAACCATTGCACAATAGTCACGCGCACAAAACTACGTTATTCAAACAATATTAATGAGAGATCGTATGAAATTATGTTAAATTAATGTACATTGAATTTTATAGAGCAACAGTTCTTACATATTTACTACATAACTTACGCATGCTCCATAGCATTATATTAACTATAATCTCATTTATTGTGCAGCATTGAATGAATTTTATACAACACCTCCATATATATGTGTTATACTAAGAGTGCACAACCAAATATACAGAGCGATTCGACATTTTATCTCGTGGTAGTACGAAGGGTTCCCCATTGTTAGACGTTTAGATTTTCTTTCAACTACTAATGAACATTGCTTTTACTGCTCAACTCGGGATATAGCTAGTCCGTGACGTAACGCTTCGGAAGGCATATAGTCTTCATTCGAGGACGAACTATATAAGTGATATCTGTATCGTATTGCCGTGTTTCCCGAGCGACTTGCTGGCTTCCCGTAAGGTGACGAGATAAATATAGACATCGAGCGGAGGCATCTGTCGGTGTTCTCGAGTACGCTTCAAGTCACTTACTGTCAGCGGAATGCCGTTTTCTTCTCAGTATATCGCGTTTCTCCATACTGGCCCTTACTGCACTTCTCGTTCTACGATTAATTCATTATTATCTCTGTTATTCATTTGTTGTATTCACGAATTGTTGTGAGAGTGAATAGATTCTTGAGCGTCATAACGAACGACTGATGTACCGGTAAGTTTCACGGGCAGTTTCGTGTGTATTTTAGTTCGTTTGCTTCCGACGGTTATTCATCCCGTCATTTATATATATTAAGTTATTTTTTCAAAGGTATCAATGCCAACAAACTGTAGTTCTCTTTCGTTTTACGGTATCTGCTGGGGGTGGGGGGCATGTAAAATAACTCTGTTGCTGACGGCGGAGACGGACGCAGTTGAACAATTGAAATTTGTACACGTGAACAAGGAAGGACGAGTAAATTTTTGATTTTTACGGATTCTATTCTCTCTATATGTACTTTTGTGAAATTTAAGTTTTTTGTGGTTGTATTTGAAACGAAGAAGTGTTATGTTTCTTTTTATTCTTGTAATGCTGCTGTTATCGGGTTTAATTCGTCGACTCATTCTAAGCAAGAATTTATGTATTTTTTTCATACAGTTTGTCGTAAAGATGTGTATTAAATCGATGGCAATTGATTCTTGATGAATTTTTATTTTTGATTGGTATATTTTTGCTCAATTTTATTAAGTAATGCTCTATTGTTGTATGCTTGAACTTCCCGCGCTCTGCTGGACAGAAATATAACGTTGCTCCTAAAACGTGACGTCACTAAAGTAAATCAAGTGTTCCAGAATTGTCAGTTGAGTCATTAATAATAAGATCGAGGTTATCGAAGACCTCGGTAAAAGAGTACGTGCAGGATCGTGTTCTTTTTAGTGCCTTTTATATTCTGAGAATGTTAGTGATACATATGTTGTATGCCACTTGTGTATAGTTTTTATGGAAATATATATACTTTAAAGTATGTGGTATTTATACGTGCTCGCGGTAATGATTGTAATTGAGAGGACAGGGATTGTATGCTCTTGATTTTCACTTTTTCACGTATGTACTTAAGTGCGTACATACGGATTTTAGCCAGCAAATATTTGAAGACTGAATAGACAATCATTGAACATATATTGTTGCAGATATATTTTTAAGGTACTATTAATGTACGGTTCACGCTATATACATATATATTTTTGGCTTTTAGCAAATGAATTCAGAACTTATTTTGGAAACATCATATACTTGCAATTGAGTATTTAATACACTGTTACAGACTACTTGCAAAACAAATAGTCTCATGTATAGATTTATATCGAACGATATACAGAGTTTTTATATAAATTAGAACGTTTACTAGGTCAAAAGATTTATAGATCCACTGTCATCTAAGTGGAACAGTGTCATTGTAGCGATAGTGATGTATTAGGATGATACGATTAAAAATATTTATATTATTACTTTACAAGAAGAAATTTGTAATATATTCATAACATTATTATGATTTTAACTAATTATCACATTGGTGTTAATTTAATATTAGAAATTAATTACCAAGAATATTTACTATGCCTCATCGTATTTGATTTTGTTTTGGATAAATCACATTTAACGTGTTACAGATTTATTAACTGGCAAGAGGAAAGAAGTATTATTTCCAATGGAGAAGTGGCGAAGCAAAGGAAAAAGCAACGTAACGACAGATAGTCTTTTACCACCAACACGTCGTTTTCCAAATACAAGTGCAATACAACCAGATAAGAAAAAAGAGAGGAAATGGTCCATCGGTGGTTTTCTTAAGAGAATATCAGCGACTAGAGACAGTGATAGTACATCAAGTGGAGACAATACTGGACATCCTGAGAAGCATACAACTTCAAGACACTCTCGAACAGCTTCTAAAGCAAAGGTTAAAAATGCTCCTAATGCTAAACTTGCATATGCTACCGATAAACATTCACCATCACCTGGAAATAAGAAAAGTGATAATCTTGATAAAAAAGAACCAGTGGTTATAATTGAAGGAAACAATGATATGGAGTCACAGGTCACACGTTCCCAGGATTCTATTCATGCATGTCGAGATTCCATGCATTCACGTAGTAGTGATGGATCGTTAGACTGTGTAAGTAAAAAATTACGTAAAGAGAAAATAAAAGCGCGCGTAGAAGCGCGAAGGGATCAACTATGCGGCGATAGCAGCTCAGATGAAGGTTTATCTAAATCAAATAATTCGCTAGAAACTTTTCGTAGCGACGAGAGTATTACGAACGTACATAGAAATGATTCATGTAACCGGAAGTCACGTGCTTCGAGAACTGAACGTTACATAAAGCGTTTATCAAGGGAGGATTGTAGTAACGGAAATAACAGTAATTGCGTAAAATCACTTGCAACGGAACTTGCACTGCCGCACGAGGATGCAACTGTTTATCATGCAGCTAATGAAAAATGTCGACCACCAATGCATCCACGTGTTACAAGTGTTCAAACAAAGAGTCAAGCTGTCACTACTTTTCCAAGAAGAAGCACTGCCAGTGTCGATCCGTTTGACAGCACAACAGCGTCCAATTATCATCCACGTTCTTTTTGCAGTGAAACTTGTTTAACGGGCCAATCACAATCAAGTTATGATCCATTCGCTAAAAGAACATTGGAATTCTGCACGGATTTCAATCAGAACAATAATTACGCCAAAGAGAAGAAGCCATCGAAGATGTTTCGCGACGAGCATAGACGTCAAACTGATTTAGGTGGCGTTGTTCCTGCTGTAAAAAATTACGCTTCAATTCAACCGGTCGGTTGTTGGCAATCGTCACGACGTCAATTATCAACTCCACCAGAGCCTCCACCACGAGATCCACAGCGTCGCGTATTTTCATTTGGTTCATCAGACGTTTCCGCCAGACCATCATCCAGTTCATTCGACAATAACAACAGATCGGAAGGTCTTGGTAAAATCGGTAATGAAAGCTTATCCATTAATAATAAAAAATTGTCTCGAAATGATACAAAGAATTCTCATCAATATAATTCTAACGATGAAGTTACTTGGGTAGAAACGAATATTTCTGTGAGACCTAGACCATCATCGGTAAACTCAACGTTCATCACTACGCCACCCTGGAAGTGCAATAAAGCTGGTTATCCAATAAATCGGTATCATTGTAGCGACGAGGAAAATTCTCTAAATTCATCGTGTAATTCCAAAAGTAGAAAACAAAAGGTTGAAAATTGTAGTGAATCAGAAACATCCAGTGTGAGTCGAGGTTTGATAATACCAAATTCATCGCCTGGTCAAATACAACCAATAGATCCCAACATGGATCGGCTTACTTTACAGAAGGATGTCTCTCCAATTATGGATAAAAATGTTAAAAACACTGCTGGCGATTTCGGGAAATCTTCATTAGACGTTACTGGAGAATTATCTCAGCAATATGCCAATCGAAAGTCACAGTCGCCACCGAATCCACCGATACGTCGATCTTCATACGTGGGCTCACTAAACACTACGAACGTGACTAACACCGCTGACACTGAAATGGCCGATCGAAAGAGGAATTCGAGAAACCTTGAGGAAGCCTTGTCGGAGCTAGAGGCGATTTACAATAGCTTGCGTTTAGGAGATGAAGATCTGCTTGAACGAGCTGAGCGACGTAGCATGGAAGAATTTGCACGTAAGGATCCTAAACTTGGGGAATCTTTGACAAATTCGTCAAGTGGTGCATCTGATAAATCGTCACTGGATGGAAAATCAACTGAAGATCATTCGTCGAAACCGGAAGTACCAGACAGATTAAAGGATGACATGGCTTACAGGAGGATGAATCCAAAGGAACGTCCAGCATCATTAGACAGTCAAACATCTTTATCAAAAATCAGTTATTTATTTGTGTCGCCAGTTCTATCGCGCAAGGAACTCGATTACAACGTGGATGCCCGCAAGATTCAAAGAGAGGAACCAGATATAACGCGAGATGATGTTGTATTCCGGAGCATAAATCATGCCAACAACATGTTAAGAATTGTTGAGCCTCAACCACCTTTTGGAATACCATTAGGCCCAGTCACCTCAGCTACTGACAGTGATTATTTACACAGTATACCAATCAAACCCGAGCAACCTCGATCATCGTACATACCAAAAGTGGAGCCTGATATTGTTACTGATGATTTGGCTTTTCGAAATCTTCGTAAGGATTCCCACAAGGATGCAACCACCTTTCATGACATTGGCGAGAAGAATGATCGTGAGCTAATAAATAAAGGCAGTCGAATTGGTACAAATTCAGCGTTTGGAATGAAGAAAAATCGTGCCGTCCGATCCTTGTCTGCTAATCTTTATGGTTTAATCAATAAGCAAGTTAATTCCTATAATGTTTATGATCAAACACGTATACCAACGAATTTTCAAGATGCCCTGAACAAGGGTAATACCAGTTTTAGGGGCAAATACGATTTCGCGTATGACAGTGATGCTTCACGTGGTCAGAACGTGAGGCACGTTATGAGTGATACCGAATCATCGGAGATTGGCTCACGTTGGTTCAGATCAATTGATAGTGACGTTGACGTTAATGGAAATCGATCCAAAGGCATTTTTAGACGTAAACTTCAAGTGCACGTTCCTCCGCCTAAGGATACCAATTCGTACGATCAAGATTCTGCGAATAAATTGCCTGATTCTTCATATGGAGCACGAACAGCATCCCCTACATTCTTTTCATCCAGTGACAAATTGTTTATTGGTAAGACTAGTAGTTTGCCAGCGAGCTCTGTTGTTTCTCCAATCCGTGCAAAGCAGGTTGAGCCATTTACTGAATTGGAGATAGCGAAATATAAGAAGCTGTGTGAAGATTTAGAGAATTTAGTGCATCTGGCTAAAGGGGGAAATGCGGTTTTAAATACCACCGAAAATTTTTCGAATAATTTTATTACCAAAGATGATAAATTGAATGATAGCAGGGCGAATGATAGGATGATGAGTAACGAGGCTAAAGAGATATCAGAAAATTTGTCGAATCTAGTCGATTTGGCGAATAATGAATTACTAACGGAGAATGAAAAAAAAGAAAAATCTAATAAATTTGTACAAGCATGCAAGTCAACAATGGATGCAGTTTCGGATATATCTAGTGTACAAAAAGTTCGAGAAAACAACAAAGATTCTTCAACGTTAGATACTTCCGTGCCAGAAAACGATAATGTAATAAATGGCAACAAAAATACTGCCAATAATGTATGTATTGAAACAAAAACCGGTGATACTTGTGATAAAAAAATGAATCAAAGTGAAGAGAGCGAATCGTCGGCAGCGAGAAAAGATGAGTTTATTGATAAAATAAAAGTGGAAAACAATAACGAAAGTAAATCACCGAGAACTGCTTTCGATGATGAAAAAGAAGTTAAAATATCTCAATCAACTTCTGATTCTCAAGGATTAGCCAACGATAAAGAGACTGTCGTAGATTCTTCTGTGTTAATTGTTCCTGATAATGAAGAGCCTGTCAATATTGTCACTGACAGTGAAGAGTGTGATTTCTCAAGTGAAGAACATCTCCTGTTCAATTTTGAAAAGCTAAGCTACAGTTCAAATCGAGATGGAACCTCGACGTCCACTTCACTAGAAATTGTTAATCCTGATGATGACATTGAGAATGTTGATGATGAAGACGATGATGACGATGACAATCAATATGATGATGGCAGCCATAACAATGACAGCAATTTCAAGTATCACCATGAGAAAGAGATGCGAAGTGATTCAACTCTTGACTCACAGGGTGGCTGCGAAGGTGAGAATACAGAATGTGATTGCGATTGCAAAATTTCTAAAATTTGCCTTCAAAAAATTGCTAGTGAAAATGTTCGTCTCATTACTAACTATATACTGGCCGATCCTGTTGCCTTGCTTGCTCTATTCCTTGCACTATTCATTGTGGCAGTTACGGTTGTGCTATGAGAGCCTTTTTTATCTTTGAGCAATACGAATGCACGTTTTACTTTAAGAGTTGAATCTCGCAGTGATGATTTCGAAAAGGCGAAAAATTATTATAATCGTTTGGATAAGAATTTGGCGAATTATGTAGGTACGACATATTATGAAGCTGTTATCAATTTCATTTAATAGCCCTAATAAGATAATCCATCGATTCTATACATTCACTTCTACGTTGTCAGAGTTTGTACGTTTAAAAATTTGTAGCTTTTGATGTTTAAAGTTTTACATTTATATTGGTGTTATGAAATGATCTGTTATTTTGAATATTTATTTATTTTCATTACATAACTTATTCAACCTAGTGTTAGTATCTATTAGTCTTAATTAGGTTGTCATCTTGAACACTGCTTCTAAAAATGTATATGAAAATATTGGCACAGACTGTGGAACATTGTCATTAGAGTTGTTCAAGACGTGATTGAAACTTATATTTTTTTTTAATACACATACCCATAATTCTATACAACGATGTAAAAATAGAAGGTTCATGGTTTTTATGGTACTACTTTTTATATTATGTGGTAACAATTTTTCTATAAATTTGGAATCATTTTTAACAAGGAAGCCTAAATATAATAAGCACAATAGACTTACAGTCATTAACAATTGTCTGTTATTTTATTAAAACTTTTTTAATTATAATAATTTTTTTTTGATAGTGTTAGGATCATTGTGAAATTTATACGAAATCAAATTGTGCACTCTTCACAAACACGTGCTAATCAACCACCAAACTTGGATATGTTTTTCGTCCAATAAAAATCACAGACGCGTTTGATAAGGTGCCAATATTTTTTATAACGGATACATTGTATGTTATTATTATTATTATGGCATTAAAACTTTATACAATTTTGCGGTAGGTTCACTATTTTAGTACTTACTACGAGAATATTTATTATACGTTGAAAATTATATTAATCAATGTAATATTTACATATACGGAATATATATTTTTGTATTAACGTAGTAAGTATCATCACTTTAAACTAATAGTCGGTTATGTTACATTAAATTATTTGTATAATCCGTTGTATATTTTCTAGAGTGACACGTGTATATAAATTTGCGTACTACAACCAAAGGTCAGGAATATTATTTATTTGTTAAATTATTTATGACTGTATGGCACTGCGTTTATAATAACTAAATGTCTATTTCGGAAATGAATAATACATTTCCACAATTGAAAAATCAAAAGTGAATATAAGATTGGGTGTAAAGGTGGTTGGTCAATTTTATAGACATTCATTAAAACAAACAGTGAACAGTTAACTAAAAATCGCCAATCATTATCTATTAGTTCTCATAATCATGCTTGCTTCTGTAATCTCTTTTCTCTTTTGCATTTCATATAATCGATAAGCAAATAAATATAATTATACCGTTCAGAAATATGGAACGTAAGTATTTTCTTAAAATCAAAAAATTATTTTCTTTATCTATACTACCTGTCGTACCTTCAATAAAAAAATATCAAATGGTCTGCGAAAAACAAAAACATTTTTACTGAAACGTCATTCGTATAATCATATAGAATTGAATACTACTGCTCTTCGTTGCTCTTGTAACACACGACGCATTGTCACTAAAGGCTTTATAAAAATTGTATTCTATAATAGTATTGTTCTTTATATCTCCACTTTGTTGCTACAAAGAGAGTGTTTCTTGTTTGAAAAAGAAAACGATGCAAAAAGTAAAATAAATGTGTTGACAGGATATATTAATTATATTTCAAATAATGAAATAAAAATGTTCTAGTCCGGGTGAAATAAAGTCAACGTTGGAATACTTTGATTGCAAACGTCGCTCGCGGGACGTTTAAAGTTCGGATTAGCTTTAGAGTTTCTTGAGACAGTGTAAATGTGAACATTGTATTTTTTCACAGCGAACAATGAATCCAGTCTCGAATGGGCGTCATCGTCTCGAGTTGTGAATTCCTGAAGCAAATAATTGAAGCCGCAAGTACAACGATCGATCCTCCCTGTCGCATCGTACAGAAGGAATAACAAGGAACAAGAACTTCGAAAATGATTCTATTTATTTATTTAATCGATTTATCTATCCTTTTTACAATCAATTAGAAACGCTCTCATTGATTTACTGTCAAATTATGCAAAGTGTTTGTGCATTCTACAGCAACATACGCTATACTTATCTTTGCTATACGCTTTTGTCTTCGAGTAGATGTATTTTATTGTTGTTCAGTTTACGCTTCTTTACAATGACTTTTTGTCAAAACTATATCTAAATATCAACGTTATATTGTAACTGTTTTTTCGATTCACTTTACCAGTTGCCATCTTATTGATGTGTCGTATACAACTCTACAACTCATACAGAAGCGTGAACAACGAACGAAAGAAAGTATTTATTTTATCCTTATATGGTTGAGAAGTGATTGTTGTAAATATCCTATTTTATTATGCCTGTTAATTGTGGGCAGCTATGATCTATAATTAAATAAACAGAATATATTTATGGAATTGTACCGTAGATGTTCTTTAAATATACAACGTTGTGCAATGCAAGCGCTATTTTCAAATCATTTTTTTCTTTAATTAATTATATACCGGGATAAGATGCTTTTAAATTTTCACTTATATTTGATTGAAGGTATAGCACAAATTGTAATCATAGTCGGCAATTGTCTAAAGAGTGAACAATAATTGATTGTTGATAAGTAATCATCACACTGAAACAATTTATGAGGTATTTAAAATATGAAACATTAATTTGATTATCCACCTATATAATTTAATCGTAATAATGTTTTATGTCACAGTGAACTTACCCAAGGATGTATTTGAACTAATTGCAAGAATTGTGCTTGTTTTGTGCTTAAACTATTTATTGAGTTAAGTAGACAATATACTTTTGTGGTTGAATTTGTATCTGTAATTAAAATATTGAGTAGTTTCGACATTGAAGTGTTTGTGTTCTGCTGAACTATAGTAAATACTTAACAGAAAATAAAATTACTGTTTAATTTGAAGGGGGTAGTATTTCCGAAGCAGCAAAGCTGTTCTATGTATTTATGTTTTTGTTTTATATTACTCAAAAAAATCAGATAGCAGAGTGCAGGGTTGCGGCCGTTACTTATCTAATGCTTTTTACTGCCGGAAAAACAGACAGCATTGTGCTCCAAAAATTGTAGTAATTCCAAAGGATAATTAGATTGACGAGGACGAGTTAGTTATATGAAAGTAAATTATTCCTGTTGCTCACTGTAATATAAACTGTTAATGTTTGAATTGTATTGTGCAAAACGGTTCGAAAGTAGTAGAAAATAATAACTCTCCCCACCCTCGTAATTCTGAGCAACGCTAGTGGGGGTTAGTTCACTCGGCTCACAAGCCGACGTTTGTTGATGCTTAGGATGATTAGGACTAATACTTTTATAGGGTAAGTAGGATACTTATACAGTATGCTTAAAAATAATTTAAACGTCCTAAGAATCATGAGTGAAATAAACAATCATACATATACAGCATTGTAATCCGGTACCGTATAGAGGGTTATGTCTGACCACATGTTAAAAACGTAAAAAATCAATATAACATTATTTTTTTTAAATTGAACCTTCCATTTTTTCGCAACTTTTCGCAAAAACATTTAAGCAAGTGAAGAAATTACGTTCTTCAGTAACATGTGCGTCATGAAATTGTTTACCACATGCTAGAACAATAATTTGACATTTAGAAGCCATGAAATTATTCTGTTATGATAAACCATGGTTAACAACGTGTACAAAATTTCTGCCATCTATTGGTAACGCTTAGAAAAACACATTGCGAAAATTCTAATTACATTGAGATCGACTAATCTAATTAAAAATAAAATTGAATATCATGAAAATTATAGTCGTTTGATTGAATCATTAATTTTCTATATATTTGTTTAATTTTAGGCTTTTGTTATTTATAATATCTGGATTTTCCATCTCTAAGTGGCGCCATCTTCTCGCCAATTTGTTAACCAATGGGCACAAATTCGCACTAGTTGAAAATAGCAGCACGATAACGTGTGTTTCACGTGTTTCATGGATGACGTCTTCCGGAAACGGCAAAAAGTGGCAACTGACAAGTGTCAGAAGGGAAATTGTGATGAGACGGTGATAGCGTTCCTTTGGTTTCTCTTGAAACAGGATTCTGATAATTTGCTGAAAATCACAATTATCATAACGAATCCGAAATCGTTTATCGAAATACCTAATCGCGTTTATACTTTGGTGCTTTAAAGAGTATTAGTGTTTAATAATTATAGCTGTGATAACAACCCACTTATGATATGTAATATTATTTGCGTTCCTGGTTGATCAGTTTGTTGTCAGTGATTTGATACTATGATCGCAAGTTAAATATACGTTTCTTCGGTGAGTTCAAATTTTTAAATTTTCTCTTGCATTACTTTTTCTTATATTTTTATTTCACTCCGTGACGCATCTCATATCACACGAAATCTGCCTATCATATCTCATGTGTCGAAGATATGTACAAGAAATAATATTATTCAGGTATGGTAAAATATCGTTTCACCGACCTGCGGGATTTTATGTTCGTATTCTTTTTTTTATGGAACTTTAACTTTGTTATGGCTAAAATAGTAATATCTGAACTTTGAAATATATTGTGATTCCATTTATATATTTGGAACAGAGTATTATGGTCAGTGAAATATTTATGCAGTGACTCAGTGTCAGTATCTTCCATCTTACTTTATTCTTGAATAATTCAAATCTTATTTTATGGCTAAACATGTATAGGCCTTGAAAGTATTTTTAGAAATAGCTGGAAACGATTTTTTATATTGTAATTCAAATGTTTCTTTTTAATCTCTTATCTATTTAATTCCTTGCTTTCTAAACTTGATGTTACAATATTATAGGATGGATGACGGAAACATATGTTTTCAGGTTTTTACAATGGGCAAAAATGAAGTTATTTAAAGTTTTGAAAAGATATTTATGTCTTTTTTTTCAAGAATCTAATTCATTTTGTTAGAAGAAATAGGTGTACAAAAATATATCAGTTGTTATATTTGCTTTTAATTAATTTTATATAAATACAATGTCATCTATATTTCTTTCTAAATACAATTGATGGCTTTAACTGAAATTGGTATACCAAAAGTGCGTATGATCAATGTCTGATACAATTTTTGATTTATAATGAAAAATCTCTTAAATATGTTAAAGTACAATCATTGTATGTAAGTTGAATTAAAGATTTTTCATTAGTAGATTATATAATTTCTATATACCATATAGATCTGTGCTACACATATACATATAATGATAACAGTAGACTTTGTCCTAACGTATTTGACAATTATCTAAATGATGTTCATATGGGTTTGTCAGAGGCTTGAAATTATTTTTTTTATTGTATCATTATTTAAACTGCAACATCTTTTTTTAGAAAGCGTATCAACTGATAATTATTTTACAACTTTTCAATATGTTTAGTAATGGTAGCTGCTGGAGCAACATCGCTGATGGCAGCTAGAGAGGGGAACCCTACAAATGGAACTGAAAGTCGTTTGGTGCAACGTGAAAACCAAAGTACAGCATCTCGCTACCATGAGGCACAGAACTGCCAGCAGAATGCAGAATGTAACACTAAGAAGACTGCTGTTACCTCTTCATTGAATAGCAATGGTAAGAAGTTTTTAAAAGTCCCCACATACCGCATGTTCCAATAACAACATTTCATAATATTCTTATATGTTGTTCAAAGTTTTTAGTTATATCTCTCACTTAACAAGAAAAGCATATACCATTTTTGCTGCCAGGCTAATGTATAAGTTAGAAATTATTTTTTTTTTCAGAAAGTTTAATACAGAGTAGATATTTTTTCAAATTTACAGATACAAATATAAAATTGTTCATGATGTGAGTTATTTTAAGGTCCAGTCTGATACTCTGTAAACATTTAAACTATGTGGGATCAGTGTTTCATCTTGAATCTCTAGAGACCCAACCTAGTCTAAGGAAGGTGCATAAGCATGTTTCCTTATGGTCAGCGTGCATTAATCTACAGTTAGGTTCGTGTTGCACGCGTTCGAGTCATCGTAGAAGATGGGAAGACAGGAAGACAGGACAGTTGTGTTTGGCTGACAAGATAAATAGTACACTTATCCAATGTTTTGCGTTGCTCATTATTCTTTTGCGTAAAAGTTTAACAACCCGAAAAACACGTATTGTTGCGAAAAAGTCTTTAATATTCAAGACCTCTTTCTCTCTCTCAACATTTATAAAGTTCAATAGAAAATTAACTGCTGTATGTTGGAAGTTGTTGTGGTTAGTCACCACACAATCACATAACATTGGAATTGATATTGTTATTTTTTTACGATTACACAAAATATTCAGTAATATTGATTTGTATGTGATAAAAGTTTTGATTAAGTTTGTGGCATAGCATGTGATACACTCTCTTAAACGTTAAAACAATTTTTTAAGCGTGTTGAGCGTCGAGCAAACGTGTATCTTGGGTTATTTTGCGATTCGTAGCGCACGGCGTTTCACTTACTGCTGAAAATAGAACCAATGTGAGTAAATAGGAATGCGCGAAATCACTTTTTACAATACGTGAAATCTGGCTCATTGTCATAAAAGCATTGGTGGATTCATTGGCTGATTTTCGTTATATGAGATAACCATTTTCTTTGTTATATCTTTTCTTTTTTTTTGTATTTTCCCTTTTAGCGGTTACAAGAATTTATCACGTCTGAATTCCATAGTGAAGTGTACTTTGAAATTCGACAGTGGTAAATTTTCGTGTCCTCTTACAGAGAGTTGTTTTTAAAATATTAACTGAAATACGTCATTGTATTTGTCGACTAATTTTAATGGTAAAGACAATTGTAAACGGGTTATAATCTAGGGTGTGAACAATCAGGTATACTTTAGAATTACTAATAATCAACAATGCTGGTAGCAGTGATGGGCAATATACCGTTATTTTACTGTCAAAACAGAGCATAAGAACGGACCACCACAGTTAGAAAAGACCAATAATCGTCTTGCCTCAAGAATAGAAAGTAGAGAGGGCTCGAAAAGTCCATCATCCAGTAAAACAACAGCAATTCGCGAAACTAAAGCTTCGAGACTGCGTGCAGCCTCCATCGTATCGCCGAATGGTGAGTTTTTATTTAGCATTATGGTATAATCATCACAAAAGATTTATAATAACAGTAAGATTGGCTCACATGGTTAGCGTTGATTAAATATATTTAACCATATTTTCTAAATTTGTTAATAAATTATTTATTGTTAATAATTTTTTAATGAATAATTAAACGGTAGTGCCTGTATCATTGCATGTCAGAATGAACGTGATATGTTGCCTACTATAATTGTGGGGGGGGGGGATTGTGTAGAAAGCATAAAAGTAGATAACAATATGTTGATTTCACTTTTTGCACACAATGAACAAAGCCGATAAAGAGCGTAAGGGTTATCATTATTTTCTAAAAGACTGTAAAATACCATAAAGTACGCTTCGTATTAGTTAAATTCAAGTTAGTGAAAAGAAAAGTAACAAATTTGACAATACGCGTTAACAATACATGTTTAATACTATTTGCAGGTAGCAGCGGAGCAACCTCAATATCCAGACGATCTGGAGTCACAGAATCGTCGTCACCTTGGCGACTTCAGTCAAACATTACTCTACGTTCGAAACAAGTAAGGATAGAAAGTTATTTTTAATTCCTTCATCAGAAACCCTATTTTTATTAATTGTATGCGATCTATTTTATACGTCTTGTTACTTAAGCGTCTTGTATTTTTTAATTACAGAAAAGTCCAATGTCATCGGACAGTAGCAGTACCCCAAATACAATTAGAGAACGTGACAAAAGCTACAAACGAAAATCTTTTTTGAATCGATCATTAAACGCCGAGGAAGTGCTGCCGGATCGTTCTATCAATCAATGTAAGTTGGAAGAGTGTAATTTAAAAAAAATAAGACCCAGTTATTCAACAAATTTGTGGTTTCCTATCTAATTAAGGATATTCGAATTTATACGAATATTGCCTCTCTCGAAGATTCATTCAATTATATCGAATCTATTGAGAAGTTGGTTGAAATTGAAGAAAAACATATTTGTTTTTGCAGATGACACCTCTGGCAGAAGAGGACGCAGAATGACTACCAGCAAAAGAAATCAAAATACCGACACATTGTCGTCTTCGGATTCTACAACTTCTCGTCAGAGTCCGTCGAATCCGGTGAAGAGATCAATGGAGTCGAAGGAGACGACGCCTCGTAGAACGACCAATCAACAAGACACGGGTCGTCCTAACGATGCAGGTCGTCCTAAGAATCACGCATCACCTTCTACTGCAGCTTCTATTGCTTCCTCTTCTTCTGGCATGAAATCCTCCAGCACGCAGCGCACTAGGTACAATATATTGATTCGATATCTTTCTATAGTCAATACTTACATTTTAGAGGTAGGACTGGCATACTTACAATTTTTAGCCGTATCAAACTAACCCAATTTAATCTCACCTTTTATAAATGAAAACTTTAAACTACTTCATCAAATATTGTTTGTCGATATTGCTCATTGAGTTCCTTAATACGAATTTTGTTTGTGTTTTGGATTGTTGTATGTGCATGTTTATATATAAGTCTACCTTCTGCACGTGCATGTTCAGTATTTTTTAAAAGGGCTATAATGTCTCGATACTTCCTGAATTATTGTGACGAATGGATTGAATGCAATTGGATGCAGGGTGCATGATTATTCCTCAACGAAGGAAGATCGCTTTGTGATGGAACATACAAAATGTATTATTTTATCTGTTAAAAAAATGTAATTGCAATAAGCAATATAAGCGAATGAATGCTTTATGGCGAGAGTGTAAATGGAAACGACTGTTCGATGTCAATTCGATTAAGAGAATCTTATCAAGTATTTTCGTTTAAACTTTTTTGGTTTCCTGGAGTTCGTCATTCAAGTGCATATATTTGTTAAAAGCGCATCATTAAGCACTCAATTCTAGCACGAGTAAATGGGTATTAATAGAATTCTATGTTAATAAAGACTTGAAACATTCTTGTGTAATCAGTCAGTACGTAAACGATGAATGTAATGTAGAAAATGTAATGTTTGTATATGAGTGGAAGAATTTTGCAATTTTATTACGGTTAATGGTTATCACATGTAAGATTATACACTATGGTAAAACTTTATAGCATGGTACAGAATGGCACGTTTGCGACGCGACAGAAGAGTTTGATGCGATTTTTATTATTTCAAAGTACAAGTTGACGTCAACGGTAACTGCAATACGTTCCTTATGTTTCCACGTTTGATACAAAAATTCTTTGATGCGCCGTTTGCATGAATAATCATAAGTATCTTTAAGTGTAATTTAAGAAGCATCACTCTATCAAATCGTGGAATGAGGTTCGATTGAAATTATTAGAAATCTAAGAGCAAGTTAAAACGGACAGTCAGCAATTTCACGGCTATTTTGACAATTGTAAGAAATAACTGATATCTACCTATACATTTCCTAGCATATATGAAACGGTATCGATGAAGAAGGTAGTACGTTTGAAAGTGATATTTGAATTTTTGTAGTGGTGGTGGGCATGATGTCTCGGAAGTTTCACGAAGGGTCGATGCATTGACAGCACTTACAAGAGCTACGATGGAGCGTGTCGAAAGGCTCACAGCAAACGCCAGTCCACCTGTTGTCAACGCAAGATCGCGAACTGTCTTGCCAGAGGCACATGCGACCTCTACGAGTAACGGAAGTCGTCACGCTTCATCATCGGATCCTGCGACTACTGCACTTCGTCCGTCATCCGGTTTGTCAACAAGGTCATGCAGATTGACACCGTGGAATGGAGAGGGTTCAGTGAATTCTGAAAAGGTGACGGGTGCTGCTGCAACATCAGCTTCAACAACAGAAACTGGCTCGACGTCCACCGAGATAACGACAAGAACGACGATGCCAGTGGGAACTACAGCAGCTGCTACGATGACAACGATGTTATTGGCCGGGTCGACGACAACTGTACCGACGTTGCGACATCAAGTTCCGGTTTCTATTCTCAAGCATAAAACGGCCGAGAGCGACGCTGGCCAATCCTCATCATGTTCCTCGCATGTTACCCTACCTGTTACTTTCTCACCATCCGTGGTGGAACCGTTGTCCAAAAGGCATGGGATTCTGAAGAAGCGCAGCAGTCTGGATGAGAACGAAATTCTCCGACGTCGCAGCTGTTCACCTGATGTATCCTTTGGTGATAGTGGTTTCCTTGAGTTTAGGCCGATTCTCAAGAACCAGAGAAGATCATCCTTGGATGAGATCATCAGGAGAGCACAGAGTCCAGATCCTCATCCAACGTCGATATTGAAACGTAAATCGTCGAGGGAAGATGACGGAGAGGATCGTCAGGTTGGTTCACCGGAACCCCAGGGTATTCTTAAACGGAAGTCTGTCTCAAGCGGAAACGGAATTGCAAATACGTCTCATCACGTGAGTATTACAGCAGCTGTTATAAAAGCTGCAGCCAGCGTAGCTGAATTCGCCGACGGTTCCGAGGTGCGTCCCATCCTGAAGAAAAAGCACAGTCGGGAAGAGTCTTCGTCGAGCGATCCATCCTCCTTGGAGCCACGGCCTATCCTGAAGAAGAAGTCGAGCACAGAGTCAGAAGAGCACGAGGATAAACCAAAGAAGACGATTTTGAAGTGTTCTCGAAAAAGCTCACAAGAAGATTCCCATGTAGAACCTGCGACGGCCTCGCCGAAGAAGCTCTCCGTACTTCGAAATCGCTTGCCCCAGTGCAGAACTGTGATGGGTATTCCTGACGGTGAAGTGGTTCGGCCCATATTGAAACAACAGTCGTTCTCAATACGCGACGGTGCGTCGCGCGCTCGATTAAATTTCTACGAGAACTCCGCGACCGTCGACGAAGAACGCGACGACGACGATGACTCCCACGTTCCTGCCTGGTTTCTTCGGAAGAGGGCGCAATCGGTTGGCCACGTTCAATCACCGGAGAATTTTGAAGAATTCTCAACGATCGTTCACAACCGGAAATCATTAGGATCGGCCTCTCTTGTTGACGTGCGTCAGGAGAGATCCTTTCTCTCAAGACTTGCGAGTCTGGCAAGTTCCTCGGCTGGAAATCGTAGTGCGATTATGCCCGGAACTTGTGATTCCGATACTTCCTTGGCCTCATCTACGATCTCCATCGAGTTTCCCGACAGGTGAGTAATCGTTGTCGATACGAGAAACATCCACGGGACTGAAATTGTTCCTCGTGCCTTGACGAAGCATGGATCGTTCAGGCGCGTCTTTAATCAGAAAATTCTTTAAGTTGCGCGAACCAGAGGAACTGCTAGGCGATCTCAAAGAGTGACTGGTAGCTTGAGTAATTAATTGTTCAATTTTAAAACCATCCGGCTGGTGATTTTGTAATTTTTTTTCTTCATCAGTTGTAGAAAAATTAGCTTTCTTCTAATTGAGATAGGAATTTAAAGAAAGTTCTCATAGACTGTGTAAATGTTTTCTTTTTGGCTCTTGTGGTTTGTGTGTTATGTTCTTATGTCTTCAATGATAATTATGCATCTCGTACTTGCGGTTTTCATGAAACCGAGATTAGCATAATACACTTCATTAAATATTTAATACTTTTCCACTCTATTTCACGCTGACTTTTTTTTTTAATAGTAGGCATTCTCGATTCTCACAACTTGCTAACTGATGTATAAGAAGTGTCCAGGGCTTTCTATTTTCAATGAGTTGTAAGATGCGTGTCTGATCATTTCATTCGTTTAAAGTATTTCTAAGCCAATATTTTTTTTCATACAATATTTCAGGTACGCCGGTGCGCACTCATGTTGACGTTGTATGGTTGATCATCGCTTTCTCTCCAACACTTAGGTCGCTTAGCATTAATCATGTACACGTACACATTCCCTTAACATAGATTTATTATCGTCAGAGACTTTTAATTCCTGAAATATTTAAAAGCTGTATTAATTTTGAAACGCATTGCACGTTTGTGTAATTTCTCCAGTTCCGAAGTAATTTTCAAAATATTTGTGCATCCTTTGACTCTTTACAAATTCAATTGCACAGTGTACATAGCATCCTGTAAATGTAGCCGTATGTCTTTTTTAATCTTTGAACGAAAATATTTCAATTGACTTGTAAAATAATTTTTGGACATATCACAAATGTCAGGATACGTCAGCAACAAGTGGTTGCTTGCGAGAAAAAGAAAGCGTTTCTGTCTTCTTAGCAGCTGCGTACTAATTCCGTCATGATCTTTAGAGTTTTCTTGAAAATTCGCGTTAGCCTTCCCGGTTCGACGTGCAGATTTGTTTATGTCTCTGGCTGTGGTGGTAATCCGTAAGTTTGGTGAGGACTTGATTCTCTGCCAAGTTTAATTATAGATCACCTAGTAATCCTCACAGCAACGGAGAATCGGAGATAGTTGCATGCATTTAACAACCTTGCTTGCTTCCTACTTGCTGTACAAATTTACTGAAGGTTGTTGTGGTGTTTGAAAAATCCCCGTGGTGATTCGATTGAAAACCTAGCTGAACATTTAACTACAACAGGACTGATAATGTATATTTGTTAAAACGCGTTGTTCTTATCTAGAAGTTTAAACTCCGTAAAGTCTCTGCGTTGAAACAACGTCAGTGTCCTGAGAGCCCTGGAACGGTATCTGTCAGTTTTAATGTTATCGCAACAAATACTTTACTTCTTTCATTCAGAGGCCATTATCAGATTTGCAATATTAAGGAAATCAAGTCCCAGTTGAAATTGAAAAAGAATCTATAGAAGAATTTAAAAATAATAAATATCACCTGTTATTGAAACGATAGAATGAAAGAATAATGAATGATATTTATAAGCATATTATCTATACTTTAAAATGAATATTGAATAATACAATTAAAATCTTTATCTTGTTCACAGCACTGGAACAAAAGTCACGTTGAACAACGAGTCAAGTGCCAGAGTTAAAACGACAAGATCAAGAATTGAGCAGCCATCGCAGAAGCACTTGGCAAAGGATATTGATATGTCTGAAAGAAGTGATTCAACGCCAGAGCCAGAAGATGTACTGGAACAAGACAGTGAGGAGGAAAGAAACAAAACCACAACATGTAAATCTGTTGATTCGAACAATGAACAATCAAAGGGGAATAACGATGGGACAGTTATCGAATCTCCAAGTGCTCAGGGAAAGGACGACGATGTGGATGCTTCGAACGCGTTTGATGCTCAAGAAAGAAATATAGTACAACGTAGTAATAGCGTCTCGAAAATGGCTTCGCATTTCAAAGCCCTGGAGGAGCAGGTCAAAGCTGACGCTGAGAAAAGTGTGAAACGACGCGCAGTGCAAAAGGGTTCACGTGGTATTCAACGTTACAGAGAACGAAAGCAACAAGGTATCGACAGGTTCAATACGCAACCGATAACTTATCAGGAGGTGCAAGAAGCAGTATTACAGAACCAGCGGAACACTGCCACGAACAATTCCACTAGTGAGACTCCTGGTCGCTCGGAGAAGGAGAACGACGCCGCGACGACCACAGACGATGAATTCGATCCATCTAAATTGAGTCTTGCCGATCGTGTACGACTGTTCAATCAAAAAATAGCGACGGAAAGTGTTCCGCTTGCGGGTGGACTCATGCCACGCGAAACATCTCAGAAAAGAAGACCGGCGAATAGATACAAAACACAGCCGATCACTTCTGAAGAAGTGGAGGTGGCTTGTCGCATATCTCCTTTAAACGTGAATTACTTTCATGAATCACCACTTGATGCATTTGGTATGTATAACGCTGTTTGAATTTCTGTACTATTTATGCGCTAGAATTTTTTTTTGTTCTAATTGAACTGGAGTAAAAGGCCAGAGGATAACGTTAAGTATCAGTGGTGCATTTATCTGCGTGTATCTATTATATGCAAGTATGGTAATAAAGTGCAAGTATTATTAGATAATACCGTGCAGCTAGGTAAGATATGAGGGTACATGGTGTGGTGTACGCACGGCCATGTACGTATTAGATGAACGTATTATCTTATCTGCTTGTAGCTAAGATAATGAGATACTTATAGCTCTGCCTTTGACAGATGGGAAATTGCTCATCGCCTAACCTAGTTTGTCCTCGACATTCTACAGGCACGCATCACAGCTCTACGCGATCGGCTGGCTCGCAGGGACTTTCGAAGTCTTCCATGTCGCTGCATCCTGAATTGCCAAAGAGCATCCTTAAATCATCAGGTCTACAGACGTCGGAAGTGTCACGACCTAGAACACCGGAGCTCGAGGGATTTAGTCTACTGAAATCTGTACTTAAAAAGGAATCCGAGGAGCAGCATCAGACTGTCGAGAATTCGGATCTTCATCCAAGCTCGATATTGAAGAGTGATTCTCTGTCAAAATGCGATGAATGCTCTTCAGCGAGGGCTGGAAATGTCAGTGTTGCTGATAAAATTTCATTGAAGAGTAATGCGACTTCTAATTCAGAACTTTTCAAGGCTCCGTCTGGTGCAGAGCCTTTTTTAAATGTAAATCTTCAAGAAAAAGATTTACTACTGTCGGACGATACTGAATCCGAGGACGTGCAATATGCTGGCACAGAAAAGAGTAGCAGTTTGTCCGGTTTTAAGAATCCAGTCATTCAGAGACAGTTGCATGCGCTTGGGGCAACAGGCGAACACGTTGCGGACGTTACTGATCTGAATCTGTGCAAAAACTTAAGGTCTACATCCAAAAGTGCCAAGCATTTACAATCGTCAACGGAAACTTTACATACTTCTGACGATGAGACTTCTTCTTCCGGTGGACGTGAAATACGCAGTATTATACAAAACGAACTCGACTATTGGAGACATCAGGACGCTGTAGCTGGACAAACAAAGTAAGTAAACAGAATAACGTGAACCAACCTAAGTATACATGACATGTACGATTTAAGTTGTTTAACAGATTGTACTTTTGTTAGAGTATTTTTGTTCATTCAACTGACGTGTACAGTTCTCTTGATTCTTATCTTTGTACTACAAGGACTGGTTGTAGTATAGTTGTTGTGCAACGTAGAAAGGGGGCTCATGTTAATGGATAGTATTTTCTGAGAACGTTAATCATTTGTAAGATAAATGCACGATAAATCGAATGACTCATTCGAACGCGAGTAACTTTCAGTGTCATTGGCTAAGTGTGCGGTCTTAACCAGGACCTTGTTTTCAAATTTCTTTTTTGATATGACGACTATTTTATTTTCATTATTTGAATTGAAAAGTTTGCTGGTGTTTAATTATTCATTGAAGTGCTCTTACCATGTTGTTGGAGTGAACGATTGGATATTGATTAGACTGGCATCGCGTGTGTCCAATACTATTATAGTGTTTATAGTGTAGCATAAGATGCTGTATAGGTGATAATAGTATTAGCACCGGCTAGTGAAATCAGTTAGACATTCACTACTCCATGGCAAGGACGATTTAAGAATTTATTTAAAAAAAATAGTTATTTTAGTTTTTAGAATTTTTTCTTTAAAAGAATATTACAAATTTTGTGCAACGTACATTTGATTTGTCAACTGAACTTTTTATTGTTAAATTTTAATTATGATTTACTGTTTATTTCAGGACGAGCCCAGTGTCAGCATTATCGAAAAGTGCTAGCCATCATATGCTCAGCCGTGAAGTAACAAGAAATACAAAGTTGATGGACACGGCAACTATGACAACAACAACAACAACAACAGAAAAGCGTTTGGGTATTCCACTTCCTGGACTGTGTCGCAGTGCTACGCAACCGATGCCAGTGTCGGAATCTAACAACGTTCCAGGCACGAGTATCGCCGAACGGTTGGCGGCACTTCAACGAAGTGGAACAACGAATTGGAAGAAGCGTGTACCATGCGAACCTGATCCACTTCTTGTTTCAAAATTATGCGATAACGTACGTATACAATATTATATAAAAATAATATATACAGCATATGTCACGCTAATTACAATTAGTTAAATGAATTACACTGGTGGCGAAATGAATAACTATTTTTAACGTGGTTAGGATTCCGTAACTGATGGTGCTTCAAGCAAGGACGATTCGGTTATTAGACAAGGCGTGCTTGCCGATCGACTTGGAAAATTGGAATCTGCCGCGGAAGGATGGCGGAAGAGAGTGGCGATGCCGGATGCCGTGAAATTTTCAGTTGCTGGTAAAATGAAAGTCGAACAATTTGAAGGTTCGAATTCGGAGTTGTTATCGCCACTCGTTGAAACTACCAGAAATGGTTGTAACAGGAAGAAGGTACCACGGCCTGAAAGATTTCGAAGTCGAAAAGGTATGAGATTAGTTAAAATATTTGTTTAATTATGGAAATACAATTATTAGTTGTGTTACAAATTTTTTATTATACAATCTTTTTTACAGGAAATGTTAAGGATGCTTCGTCTACGCCTAGCAGTCCGAGTAAGGAAGCAACAATTACGTTCCAACGTAGTTTTTCGGAACCTGTAACGGACGATAGTGGTGAGTTTGTTAATTTAATAAATAATGATATTACTTTTAATATTTTTGATTGATAATTTATCATTTTAAATCACCTCTGCTTATTCTTCTTATAGGAGAAGACAGTGCATCATCAAATAAGGTTGCTCCAACAGTTTCAATTCCGCGAGCGGATGACGAGACGTTTACTGCATTTTTCAAGGGCGTTTCATCGGAAAAATGTGAATCGGAAACTCTTGAGCTAAACTCTAGCGATTTTGATCTCGTGACGTCCTACTCGGAGTTGTGAGTTTTCAAAATGAATTATACTTATTCGAGTATCTACTGTACGAAGAACAAAAATCGAAAAAAAAAACAGACACCTAATTTTCTTTTTTTACTAAAAGTCAAATAATTTTACGCTAATGTTATAGGCTTGTTCAGAAACGTATTGTTCGAACGCAACGACGCCGATTGGCTTCGAAAAATCCTCTGCGCGCTTTGGCAGCCCGTACAGATCTCAAGACTGAATACACAGAAATCAAAACGGGAGTGGCAGAGAAAGTTATGCGGAGTCTGAATATAGAAAAACGTGAGTAAAGAATGAAAATATTTTTTGAATATATTTGTTTACTATATGGATCCGGACAGTTCATTATATATTCATTTCGTACGAAGTGATAACACGTTACACGATGAAGCAATGATGGTTAACGTTATTTTATCATACCGCTAGATTTGACAATGTCACTTTGGTCTTTGACGTTGGTTTCGTAGTCGAATTGAAACTACACTAGTACACTATTTTATCTCAATAGAAGTAATAATTTCAACGGTTCTGTGGAAAATATAATTTGTATCAGTATCAAGCTTGAAGTGAGTTGTTCTTCTTTTTCTTGTATTTATCAGAAGGCATGTAACGATAGAGTTGATAGGTGTTGCACTAAAAAGACTTAGATTTTACACAGTAAGGTGACAATGATATATTTTTTGTTCTTGTACAGTGGCGAAAAGTTCATCATTTGCTGTTGAAGCTTTGGCAGGTTTGGCGTCCACCGAAAATTTCAGTGCTGTAACATTGAAAACTCTCAGCGGAGACGCAATTGGACATGCGAATAAATTGTGTGCATACAAAGATTTGATGTTAATTTTAGTAAAGGGTCGTCGACATGTTCAAGTTCGTTTAGTGGAACCCATCGCTGCCAGTGTTAATAGTGGTGACAATTATATTCTTGTGACAAAAACAGAAGTAAGATGTAGCAATGCTATATATTTTCATAATAATAATGTAAATTGTAATATTGCAAAGTCCTTCAGTTGTTTAATTAATATTACAGATTTACAATTATGTAGGGAAGTACAGTAATGTTATAGAGAGAGCTCGTGCTGTGGAAATTGCACAGCGAATTCAACAGACCAAGGATTTAGGCTCGCAGGCTTCAGAAATTATAACAATTAGCGAAGACAAACCAACTTGCAGTAGAAGTCATGTCTTGAACTTTTGGAATCATCTTGGTGTTCAGGATAATGACGTAGAAGGTGAGACATACTTTAATATTTTTGTTAGAATTATGCTTATCTAAATATTTGTCTTTTCTGTAGCCATAGAAGCTGGTCATCCGGATGAGGATGAATTGTATGAATCTGCAGTGATTGACACAAACATGGTATATGAAATTACTGGTGAGGAACTTGTGCCGTTTGAAAAATATTGGGGTTCGATACCAAAGATAGAGATGCTTGATCCAAGCAAGGTAACAATGTGGTTAATTATCATAGCGTAATTTGTAAAAATATTAACTGCTTTTGTTTCATATTCTTATTTATTTAATCCGACAGATTCTGGTCTTTGATTTTGGAAGTGAGATGTACATATGGAACGGTAAAACAGCTTCAATGGATAAAAGAAAAGTGGCAACACGTTTAACTAAAGAGTTGTGGGAGGAAGGTTACGATTATGAAGAGTGTGCAATCTGTCCAATCAATGCCGCATTGACAATCGGTAGACGTGCCAAAATTGAGACTCTTGATAAAAAGGGTTCGGAGAGACCATCCTGGTGCTTATTTGGGAAATTAACCCAGCATATGGAGACAATACTGTTTCGTGAAAAGTTCCTCGATTGGCCAGACTTTTCTCGCGTGATACGAACGAAGGATAACAACGTCAAGGAGCAAGTAGATGGAAGTATTGTTGTTGAACCTTCGAACATCGATACGATGATCCAGCCTAATACAACTTTAGTAGATTTTGTACTTGAGGGAACTCACTTAGGTAGAGGAACTGGATGGTACGATGAGGAGGTAACCCATTTTACAAAAGCTTATATTTTTCAAAGTAAAGTGAATCCGAAACAATTATTCTAACTGGTTTTATTAACTTTTAGTTGATGAGACATCACGAAATCTCTACGACCAATGTCACTGTTTGGCACGTCGATGAATTCTCATATACACTTTTAAGTGATAGTTCAGTTGGCCAATTTTTTTCCAGTGACAGCTACATCGTTCGTTGGATGTTCACCATAACTATTACTGGTTAGTATACTGATGTTTAACCAATTCTAATATTATAGAAAAGGCTGACTCGCTTGCATCAACTTTTGTATATATATATTTTATAGTTACTTCTTTAAATATTCGTATATTGTATATACAGTATGTAACAGGTTAATTATATTGTATATTATTCAGGCAGAGAACTCAGTGGACAACCATCGAAGCATTCTGTAATTGGTAGAGATCGATGTGTATATTTTATTTGGCAAGGTAAAAATGCATCTTTGAACGAACAAGGGACCGCTGCTTTATTGACTGTTGAATTAGACCGTGAAGAAGGACGACAGGTATGATCGAATCAGAAAAAATAGGTTGAGATATTAGATATACACATATTTTGAACCATAATTGAAACTTTAAATCCTTCGGTTTAGCATATCTGTTGTAATACGCAGTATCAATTGTAACTTTTGAAGTAACATTCGTGTTTTAAAACCAAAATCTTTAATATATTGTCCCGCTAGGTTCGCGTAGTTCAAGGCTTTGAACCGGCTGTGTTCCTGAACCTGTTCTCTGGAAGAATGGTTGTAAATAATGGAAAGCGTATGGAGAAAAGGACAGATTCCAAATGGAGAATGTACATTTGTCGTGGTACTCTTGAGTCTGAAACGTCACTCGTCGAAGTACCATGTAGCGCCCGACAATTAAGAAGTCGCGGTTCCATCTTGTTGCTTGGTGCAACTGATGAAGAGTTGTACGTATGGCACGGATCTAATACACTGCCACATATTAGACAGGTACAAATTGAACAACCACACAGATTAGGGAAATGAATGTATTGTGTGACTTTTATTAACCAACACATTTTCGTTTATTAAGAATGCTCTAAACGCAGCAAATTTATTGAAGAAAAATCGTCCAGAAGAAGTAGGATTGACAGCGGATAGTAACATAAATATTTGTGAAATAAACGAAGGCGAGGAACCGAAAGAATTTTTTACTGGTAAGCTTGCTTGCGTTTTATAAAATGTAATATATCTTTCTAATAGTATATTGTTGTTCGAAATATAAAAAATCAATAATTCCATGTTTTCAAATATGACGTGACATAAAGTGAGAAATTATTTACATATAAACAAATGTTTCAGCATTGGGTGGTATGAAGAAAAAACTTTATGTGTCACTTACAAACGCAGAAGTAAAGGATCACACGCCAAGGCTCTTCCACTTTTCAAGCCTTCACGGTGTTTTTACACCAACCGAATTGCTTTGCGCACATAGGGCTGAACTTGCTACGCCTTTTCCTTTTCTCCAAGAAGAACTTTACCAAGTTAACCAACCAGGTATATATATTTGAACAAGTCATATTATGGTACACAGTACACTATCAAGAAATTTATTGATCTTATTCTTTCAGCTCTTTTTTTACTGGACAACAGGGACGAACTTTGGGTGTGGCAGGGTTGGTGGCCTGACACCGGTGACAAAGATCAAACTGGTAGTGGTGCTGTAAGATGGCAGGCTGAGAGAAGAGCTCTAATGAATATGGCAATACAGTATTGGAAAATAACTCATCCAGAAGCAACAGACTGTCCTGTGTATTTGGTTTGGGCTGGCCTCGAACCACTTCAGTTTACAAATTTATTTCCTATTTGGGTTTATCATGATGACGTCGCTGAAATTAATATAAGAGTGAGCATTTCATTATTCAAGTTGAGACGATCAATATTGGAATTTTAAATATTTATTCTTTTAATAGGATGGCCGTAAGCCGGGTGAGGTACTAAGCGTTGAAGCTGAACTTGCGCGCCTAACAAAAAGCACATATCCTCCTGCTCAATTGCTGCAGCGACCGTTACCAGAAGGTGTTGATCCAACATGCCTTGAATTGTATTTATCACCACAGCACTTCAAAGTGAGTTTCTAGTTAGATAATTTTGTTACTCGCAGCTATAAATGATTTATTAGGAATACTTCTTGATTGGATAATTTATTTAATATTCTATTGATGATGAAATCGGAGAAGGTTATAATATATCTAAGTTTATTATCGTTATTGCAGGAGTTGCTAGGTATGACAAAAGAAGTATTTCAGAAACTGCCAATTTGGAAGCAACTGAAATTAAAGAAGAACATAGGACTTTTCTAATGAATAACATGTTTCGACAGAATCAACAGAAACAGTTTTCGCAACACGTTAATAAAATCTGCATTAACTGTAAATGATTCGTAATTATATGTCGAAATGTTTAACCTCTAGGTGTGTCATTTGTGTGGAAACATGCCTAAAGTTGGCATCTGGCCGAAGAGTATAAACTGTAATGCGGTTTTGGTTACTTATTGCGTAACCTCTAAAATGTAATTATATGCAGAGTGAAAGAGCGAGGATAATGAAGTTATTTCTTATTTAAGAGAACGCATAATCTGTTTAATTTTTTTACCTCGACGTGTATTGAAACGAAATCAATTTTATCATCTCAAATTTCTGATTGCTTTGACATCGTATATTATTTAACGACTTCTGTTGTAAGATTGAACAAATTGTTGTTTAGAGAATTAATTGACACGTACTTCCTTGATTATCAATAATTTTTATTGTTTATCCTCGCTGCCCCACTCAGTATATAAATGTATAATTATATTTTTCATACGCGCCAAACGTTACATAGCTTGCGAATATCTCCTTTATATTTGTATGGGCTTTATAATTATCATTAATAAAATGTCCCCACCCAGGACATTTATATTATCTATTTGGAATGACAATATTTATGTGCAATGTTCAGTCTGCTAATTGCTCCGGCATTAATTGTTCCAGTGTGAAAAATCCGATTTCTCGCGAAATATAGAATTGATAAGAAATTTCCACTTTCTAATACCAGTGTAGATAGTATCGGAGTTATGAATAGAATTATTGCTACAAAAGTTGTTCTCCGTAATATACTTTATTATGTATTTTTGCAAAAGCTCTGTGTCCAAAATTTCTAAATTTACGTTTTTCATTTTTCCATATTGCGTCGCAAAACTCTTATAAGTTGCTAGTAAAATGATTTTTCTTTCTGCACTGCCGTTGAAAATATCTTAATAATAATTACAAGTGCGATTGTAGATACGAATCGAAGGATATGAGGTACACATTTTCAACTGCGAGACTAAAAACTTCCATTGCGTTACATTTTGGCGTGATATATATATGGTCCATTGTATGTACATACTAATGTTTTCGATATATATTTCCATGCTTTTCTATATTCGCCGTAAAATATAATTGGCAATTTTGCCGAACTGTTAAAAGGAATTTGTTAATTATTTACAACTAATAAGATAAAGGCAGCTTAACATTCCCGATATACTTTCTCTACATTGAAATTTTGTATGTTTTTCAAACTGTGTCCGTTTTATCCCAATGGATTGTTTTTATTTAAATCCCATTATATTACTAATACTTGCTTAAAATACAACACAATTGTTACATTCATAGAAGTGACAATAATGATTGGAGTTTTAGAGAATTGGTTAAGAACAAAATGCAATAATGAAAGAGAAAGGATTACAGCCGTGGGCTTACAGTAAAGATGGAAACGTCATCAGAAAAGATGGCGTAGCCCGCGGTTTTGGCAGGTTGCAGGCAGTGCAATAACAGAGTTATTTTTTATATTTTCGTGATAACAGTAAAATGTCAAACCGCGATCCGGACAATTTAATGACGACGAGCGATGAGAATTTTGACTATTTGTTTAAAATTGTTCTTATCGGGGACTGTGGCACTGGAAAAACGTGTGTTGTTCAAAGATTTAAATCGGGCACTTTCATCGAAAGGCACGGAAGCACGATAGGAGTTGATTTTTCAATGAAAACTGTGGTGGTAGATGGAAAACGGGTGAAGGTGACTCATTTGCATTGTTTTATACGTATAAATAATTGCATAAATCTGTTTTTTGTATCCTAACCTTGAATAATGCACGCAAGTCATTATATAAAAATGTGCATACAGCAATAATTTTATCATAATGATTACTAATGAGTCATTTAAAAACAATGTGGGATAAATGTTTGGCTTTCACTGCCCGTCGTTTCATTTCACATTATCTGTTTGATAACAATTCTATTAATAAAGTTGGGAGGTCTAATCTTGAATGACCAAAGCAATTTTTACTCCATTGCTAAGTTGACAAGTGGCACTTCTAAATCAGATAACACAATTCATTAGGAGACATGCTTCTCCACCACCTAGAATTTATCCCCTCTTTTTCGTACACATTTGTCAATTGGAACAAATTGCACAGGGCTATAGACCGATTGGCTCCAAAATATTGAATGTTGCTTAATATTATTGAAGGCTTCAAATGTATTATTTATGTCATGCGTGCTTTGTTAACTTTATTTTAGCATAAGTTTTCTGTAAGTTCAATTATTTATGTTTAAAGATAGTGAGTTTTAAGGTAGTCTTTATAATCTTGCATGAGTATTTAAATACTTCATATCATTAAATACTTTATTTTATTTTAGCTCCAAATATGGGATACTGCAGGACAAGAAAGATTTCGTACTATAACGCAAAGTTATTATAGATCAGCGAATGGAGTCATTGTAGGTAAATATTACTCTTAGTTCAGAAAATGCAATTATTCTTGTAAACACGTATTTCACTTATTTATTTTTGTTATGCTTATACATTGCGCAAGTAAGTAGATTTATGTATATTCCTTATTGCTGCATTTAATGAATAACGTTTTTGATGGTTAAAAATTGTTTCAACTGTCTGTAAACATTATTGGTTAATTTCAATATCACTTTTGCTAGTTATTTCTGAAATCGTGATGTCGAATATGCAGCAATCGCGGCATTAATGGATTTTTAATATCACAGTCCATGTTGCTGTGACGCTGTTTCATTTCAGTTTACGACATCACAAAACGATCAACTTTTCTCAGCTTGCAGAGATGGGTTGAAGAAGTGCGGAGGTACACATCATCACATGTTATGTTGGTTTTAGTTGGTATGTCTCTTGAAATGTACTCTACAAATTGAAGGAAATGTTATGTCAAATAGCTATTAATTTATTGACAAGCATCCTAATTGTAGGAAACAAATGCGACTTAGAAAGCTTACGAGAAGTTGAAAAAGGAGAAGCTGATGCAGTATGTAAATACTTGCCAGAAGTTTTGCATGTCGTAGAAACTTCAGCCAAAGAGAACACCAATATCGATGCAGTTTTCTTTTACTTGGCGTCTGAGCTTAAAGTAATTACAAACTGTGAAACACAGTATATGTTGAAAACAAATGGTCTAAATTATTTAAAAAGTAATGAACTATTCCTATATTTTTTTTAGAGGCGCCATGAAAATCGTCAATTCGACCCAAGTCAGGATGAAGTTGTTAAGCTCGGAACAGGTCGAGAATTATCTTCTTGCTCAGGTTGCTCCTACAAAATATTCTGAAGGAAGGTTTTTTATTTATTAACAATTACGTAAGCTCATTTAAAAGCTAATGAAGATCACACAAGAATCTTAGTATTTATAAAGGTCTGAATTCATATTTTTTATTGATCTTCATATGCTTAATTAGTCTATTAGTCTTAATTAGTGCTATTTTTATACACCGTCCAATTGCAAAATGGTGAAATTATGCGACTTTCTTCCACAATTTTTTTCTAACTTATACATTAATATTACAATTTTAAATACTCAGTGCCTTTCAAAGTTTTGCAAGCTCCATGACCACTCATTGTATTTAAACACTATACGCTATCGTGAAGGAATTAATACAAAATAGTTGAAAATGAATGTATAATAAGTGAAATGATGTATGAAACAGTTAACGCCGTAAACGAATCTTAGATACATAAATATCTTGTTAACGAATCTTTATTACGCTATAAAATCTCATTTTGAGTTATACCGTGAAGCATGAAATGATATTCTAAAATTATATATTTAATATATTTATATTTTATATAACATAAATTATTGTAACTTAGAGTAACTTTACCATAGCCAATTGTTACTTGTTATACATTTACATAAAATTGGATTTGGAGATTTCTACTGAAAACTAAATATCAAATTAAGGATGAAATCTGACGTGTTCACAATAACTTTAACAATGAAATTCAATATACAGTTGTTATTATACTCTTGTACTAAATGTTATTTGCTCAATTCATACCTATTTTATAAGGTAATTCTACATAATAATATGCACTGGATTTTATTCTATCCGTCAACCCCGTGAAACCTTCTGGATACTTATTTGCTCACGTTGGAGTTTCAGCTTCATATAACAAGAAAACTAAACACTCCGTTCAAGTTTTATATTATTGTGGAATAAATTTTGTTACCTTCTAAAATCAACTTGAAGGTACATGTTACGATTGTTGTCTTCTGGAAGCTAAAATTTACGGAGATAATTGGACAATAACAACTTGAATATAAAATGTTTGTTAATCAGTTCATGATCAATATTTTTATTCAAGAGATGGTACAGCTGTTGATAAAATTTTTATAAATAGACAAATACAAAATATGCTCAACTGTAACCAGTGTAATCATAAAATCTGTAATCAGATTCATCAAAAGGAACGTGTATAGGATTATTAAGATCTATTTGAAAAGGTAACAATTCCGTTCTATAGGAACCAGAGAAATTAAGGTGCCAGATAATACTATCCAATTCTCGTTGATTGAGATGAGACAAGATGGTTGTTCTGTCCAATTCCAAATTTCTTCGTTTTCTCAACAATGTCACATTCCTACTAAAATTCCTAACATTTTCCGAATATTTTTTTAAATTTCGATTTATCGCACTTTCATCAATGGAAGCTGTGCGTTTGTTTCGCGATAATAAAGGAAGTGCGAAGATACTCTCGTGCAATGGAGTATCGTCTTCTCCAAATTCTAAACATTTTCCAGCTACGCAAAATGATTTATGATTGCGTTTGCTACAGGAAGTTCCAAAAGGGAACCAGCCATTTTCTCCGTTTACTAAATAGAATCTGTGTGACACGGTTTCATCTTGGCAGGCAACACGGCAGGGTCTGTCAGGATCCTCTAGTTTGGTAAAAAAAAAAAAGATTTTTGAATATATCGTTAAAAATAATTATAAGCGTTAATGAGAACTGCCTTACCGATCGATGGTGATATTTGCATTCCTAAACCAGAAAGTTGTCTCACTCGAAATTTATATTTCTTACAAATATTCGTGGCGAATTGATAAGGACTCTTTAGTTTCTCGCATCTCTAACAATAAAGAAAAATTTAACTATACCGAATAACAAAGGTAATACAATAAACGTATGAAATTCTTACGTTCGAATCTGGATCACAAAGTTGAATACTGGTTTCGTTTCTTCCAGGACGAATTTTACTAACTAGTCGTATACCAATTCCTGGCGCCAGACAGTTAAAGTGACAATCGCTAGAGACAATCCAGTTGTCCTTCGTTTTTTCAGGATTCAAATTTTGACTAAGTAGAGCAATATCATCCTTTCTGTCCACATGGTTGACATTCAGACCAGAACACCTCTCTGGTGAGTTTAAAAATTTATATTCATCCGGTCCAGAGCATCGAAATTCCTAAACGTAAAACAGTGCCAGAAAACAATATTACCAAAACTTTCATAAAATCTCTAGCTACAATATTAACACACAAAATTATTATCCCAAACCTCGCAACGACCAGCGATGCAGTAAGATGTCCTATAAAAATCATTCCTTCGCGTCCGACACTTTGTACCATCTGGAAATATCCATCCTCTACTTTTAGCACCTTTGTTTCTAGTATGGCACCAGACGGTGCAAGCTTCTTCAGCTAGAAAAGGCATAAAAACATTTCGCATTTTTACTAAATAAATCAAACTTAATTTGTTCATAGTTTATTGTTGTTTCTCAAAATTCTCTATTGTATACAAATAATTCTTTGACTCACGATCAGACGAAATTCTTTGTAATCCCGTTCCCATCAAATCATTGTCAACCTCTCGTGCTCGGGTACAAATTTGATCAGCAAATTCGCTTATAGTAGTACGTGATATTTTCATGCACTGTGTTGCCTTACAAGCCACATATCGCTTACGTGGACCGACACATTTTTCACCACCATTCTGTGGACTAAGATCGAAGAATTGTCAGTAAAAAAAAATATTGTATTATCTCTCCGAACCACGTCGACACTTTTTTACTTTGTACCTTGGATTAGTACAGGTACGCATTATTACTCTAATGCCTGTGCTATCGATACTTCCGTCGTCCCTGTCTTCGGATAGACAACCGGAAGCGCACTCTGAAATGTGCCATCCGCTCCAAGATCCTGCAATTTTTTCATTGCTTCCGCCTGTTCTTGATCTTCCATTTCTATTCACGCATCTACCACTCCGGCACCACTGTCACGACATAATATATATGTATATATTATTAACGATCATGGTTCAATAGTTATAATAATGAATGAAAAAAATTCCTCGATTTGGTAAATTTCAAAAATCTTATTTTATCTTGTAAAATTACTTTATCTTCACCGCAGTACGTTCCTTCGAGAGCAGGATGTGACGTCCACGTATATCTTTCTCTCTCACAGTGTATATCTCTGCAAATATCTTCCAGTGGCTGTTGCGTCGAGTGTCTACTGCCAAAACCATATTTCAACATGCACTGATGATCCGAATCGAATCTTTCACCAGGTAAAATACCTTCTGCGCTATGATCAAGTTGACCGCCGCTGCTACCATGATCAAGAAGACATCTGGACTGTGCCGTTCTGTAAAACGAAAAATCTTCAAGATTTATTGCGATAGTGATTTTGTTACTTGAAAAAAAATGTCATTCAGACATTGTTACCTTAAAAAATTCTTGAGGTAATTTCTGCTGCAGTGTGACCAAGTGATCTTGCCAGAACCCAAAGTCGGACTCATTATGTAACTCGTTGGATCACAGTCGTTGTCAGACGTTCCGCCGTCGTGTCTCATACCCAGACTGAAGAGAATAATTATTCGTAACAATAGAAATCAGAAGCAATTTTTGTTGTAATTTTGACTTATTCGTATTTTATCTCACTTATGACCAATTTCGTGCGCCACAACGTAAACACTTTCAAAGTGTCTACCCTCGTTCACGGTGCAGCTGCTTGTCTTTGTGCACATTCCCGCAACTGGTGCCAGTCCTGTTGTTCGTTATTTTCAGTTTTGTTGTTAAGAACAATAAAATTCCTTGACTCACCTACAACTTGCGAACTGACTTTTCCACGCTTGTTCACCACGTACAAATCTAATCCAGTCAACATCAGTGCGTGATCCCAATGATTCTTGTCTTGATCGGTGCCTGGATTTTCTCTTCCTTGCCATTGACAAAAGCTACTTAGATATTTATCTATATCGTGGGGTCTGTGAAGATCAATTGGATCAGCGTGTAAAATTTCTAATCGTTTCAGAACAAAATTTACTATCTGTCCCAATGACGGATCGTGATAAAGCAGTTGCACCTGAAAATTGTCAGTTCTTAATGCCGGGTGGGGTTTCATGATTTTTTTTAATAGACAATATATATTTTCAAAGAAACAAAATTTTCTTATCATTACCGCATTAATCATTGCCAAAACAAATCTTATTAATTCTCTTTCAGTGTCTTTTGGATAATTTCGTGACATGTGCTTATATAAGTCTCTGTCAACGAACACTGCCGTTTCCACAAAGATCGGACCGCTATTAGTGCTGTCTCGAAACCCGCGTTTCCTTCTCTTTGTCGATTTTTCATTTTTGCTTTTTTCCTCTTCCAAAAATCCGGCTCTTCCACTATCGAGAATGTTATTATCGTGGATCTCAGCATCCCGGTCCTTGGTCTCGAGATTTATCGAAGGATCGAAAAAATTAATAATTCTTTTTTCACTATGATTTTCAAAGTCGCTTTCGTTATTTGAATTAAAATATTTCGGCAGTATCCTTTTCGATATAAGATGTGGCATCTCGTCAGAAATCTCGTTATAAAATCGATCAGGTAATGGACGAATTATATAATAACTCGAATCGTTTCCGGCAATGATACCTCTCTGTAAAATAAAAAATATCCATGAACAACAACAACAATAATAATGAACAATATAATTAAGACAGAAATTAATTTTTCAACAGTTACAATCCCATTGCATATCGATACCGCAATGTCGTCGCCTCTGTAATAACACGAGTACTCCTCTCTGTGTTTCTCCGTAATATCCTCCGTTCCATTTTCGTGTCTTTTGAGTAAAATGAATTCCCGCGAGAGTATAGAGTCGCTCGGTGATATTGCACGAAACCAAACGCGACCTGGACCGGAAATCGAGATCGCGTGTTCCCTCGGAGACCGACGCAATCTGCGAACTCTCGGATCTACGATCTCGTAATCCGTCTCTGTAATGTGCAATAAAAAAAATTGTATAAATATATATTTTCTGTAAAATAGATAATATATTAATAAAATACATTTTTTTTTGGTAATATTGTTTATTAATTTTTATACGACTCCTTAAATTAATACATTCAATTGTATCGACCCATATGAAAATGAACAATAAGTAAGTTAACGTGCCGACGGTGGTAGATTGACGATAAGAATCTAAAAGTGAAAAAGAAAGTAACACCAGACGTTCCTTGTGGGAACGGGATGTGTTGTGTTATGAGATCCCATATTTTTACATGTGATATTTAATTATCGTCATGCCGCGTGAAATGTTAATTTATGCGTATTACCGGTACTAGTTGCAATAGCGGTGTTGTTGTTGTGTATGATTGACGTTGCAAAAGTGCAAATGTGAAATTTGCAATGTAATCTTCAACTTTGATGATTCAATTAGCAGATGCAACATATATATATATATATATATATATTGCAAATCATTTGTTAAAAAACAACAACGTTCATTACATAATTGTTGTTTTTGTTGTTGTTGGTGACAAAATGACTGTATTAAAAAAATACCTGGTGTTGATCCAATCAATGATTGCCATTCCGTGTCCGATAAGAGTTGTCTAATGTTGTCTTTCGTCACCTGTGAAACAACAACACTACTTTCGTACAACATAATTAATAACGTAAAATTAATGATTGGGCAACAATAATTTTACCTGTCAGCATAGAACAATAGTAAATTTATACTACAACAACATTAAACATCTATGTACTGTACACATAATTTGTATTAAAGTAAAAGCAATTCTCTTGGCTAAGAGACCAAAGAGATTCACTTTCACGCGTGTTGTATGCTCGACTTATAGAATTCAACAGTTTTTTAATCGCATCCTGAGTAAATGTATGTTAATCTCAAGCCGTAAGTTCTTAAACATTCAATGGTCAATTTTTGGAAACAACATTGAGAGGTCCTAAAAAAATTATTTAAAAAAGCTCATCCATAAAATATGTCATTTCAAAAATTTTCAAGCATATCCATCCATTCATTTATCTATTCGGATGAATTGATCCGATTACAAAAATCTTTGTCGACTTCTTTAGGTTGATTATCCATAACCTCTTGACCGGAAGACGTAAATTTACATCGACGTGCATTAAGCGTGACCATCTGGAGGCCAATGCCTTCCGACTTCCAGCTACGTGTATTTTCTCGGCTACTTCATGGCATAAAAGTGAATTTCACTTTGGTTTCAGATACGTGCATGAGCACAAGTAATAAGTCTTTGAATGAGATATGAAAAAAAAATTTTGTAACATAGGATAGCTAATTATTATTTTGTTTATTATCATACGTTGCATTATTTATTATACTTCATAGAAATACATTACAAATTAATCCTACACGTGTGTATATTGCAGGATAAATGCAAATCGAAAAATGCGAGCTGAACAAATCCTTGTGACATTTCGATGATCTCACGTTAAAAAATTTTCGAGATAAAATTAATATTTTTTGTTTTTCATATTTGAACATTGCAACATCGAAATGTTATTAGGATTTTTTTAGATCGCGTTTACGACATGTAGGGTATGTCCAAGTAACATATGAGACTTGTGGGATATTACGCGTAGGACTTGTAACACGTAATATTTATGATTTTACGTATCGATCGATAACTAACTTAATTTTTGAAATTCTTTTCCAAAATTTTTCACACATAAAATTCAAATTTAGGATGAACGTTTATTTCGTCTCGGCGGTCATCTATTCCACGTTACCAGCGGAAGTCATTGTCGTACAAAACAGGGAGCATCCAGCGTGACCATTTTGTGGAGGCCAATGTCTTCGCCTCTCTCTGACATAAAGTCGACCGGGAGCTGACGTTTTCTTCGAGACTTTTTTTTTACCCAAAAAGTTTGCCTCATTGGACAATGAAAAACCAATGATGCCGAATCATCCGACGATACCGGTACTGCGGTCTTTACAAAATTACGCCATTGATTAATTAGAAGGTCGATTCGTTGCAGGTTCGACGTACCGTCATCCGATGGTACGTAAGAACAATAATTTTGGTAGTTCACAAAATTTTGTTGTATTACTTTATGATAGCAGATCACTAATGTTGTTGATCGACCCATAGTATTCGTTGTATCGCGTGCAAAACTTTGCTGCGCAAAGTTTTAGTTTTTGTACGTGTTGGGTGCAGATGCCAAAATAGTAGTTGTACTTCAATCCAGTTCGCAAAAGGACTCGAACGTTTATCACAGTTAGTAACTAGAGCAGCATAAGTAAGAACTATGGCAAGTAGGTAAATGCGCTCTTGACGCATATTTATGGCGTTCCACCTGCATTTTCCTTTTGTTCATTGTTTTATCGCGTGACTGAACGCGAGCGAAATATTGTGAAAGCATCATTGAATCTTTCAGTTCATCGAAAGCTGTATAAATATATGTATATATATATATTTTTGCTTTTCTTCCAGATATAAATAATCGATGATGCGGAACGACGTGATCTCAATTCACAAAAAAAAAGTTGTTCAAGGTCGTTACGATAAGAATCGGTACTTGAACTTGCCACTGCTTACGAAACTGAGTGACAACTTCCTTTTGATCACAGGTGTGAAAATCTGTAATCGATCTGGTAAAATCACTGAAACTTCATTCGCTATACCGGAAGACCGTATATCCGGCGTCGTATCTTGGCTTTCGTCGTATCTTTTCTCACATCTTCCGGCAGTTGTTTGGCGTGCTTCAATTATTTTTTAAGATTTGCACGGTTTACGTACTTTTTGCGAAATTTGCCTGTATGCGAATTTTTTTATCTTACGTGCGAATCTTTTAATTTGATCGTGTTCGTTAACATGATTTTATGTAAATTTTTTTTTCAAACTTTGCAAAAGCACTGAAATTTTGTCTCTCAGATTGACATCGTGTGAAAATCCTTTCGTATTTGTACGTGACATGAAGATTATCCTTCTGAGACCTTGAAATCGAGGTTGTTACGTTTGCTTCGCGTGAGAGCAAAAACGCTCCGTTTGTGAAAAAAAATTATTCTGGTATCACAATTTCTGTTAGTCGTGTGTCAATCTTACGAATTTTATGCTTCGCGATTTTTTTGGTATTATGGAGCGTAATTTCGAAAGTCATTTTTTTACATAAATTCATCATTCGTTATGAATACAGGTAATTAGATAGCTGAGGTATTATTTGATTTCTACGATGAAATGATTATTGCAATGACGAAATGGCAATTAAAAAAAAGGAAACTTTACCCTTTCGAAATCATCGAAAATAAGATACTGAATCGTTAAGATTTTACACGGATCGGGTAATCTAATGAATATCCAAGCTTTGTGGTTTTTTCGGGGGAAATCTGCTTTGCGATCTCTTAAACGTCACTGCACGGGTAGAGGTCGCACAGGTTGTTCAGGATAATTATCATCTGACACCGGAAGTCAATTACCCATAAAATAACCACGTGTCGAATATGACATTAAGCAGTTTACAATTAAAACTTATGACACCGAAGCAAAGAAGATAACTGCATATAAATTGTAAAATATAAAAATTTTAATTATCTCAATTATTATTAATTATACAGCAATCATTTGTTGGTACTAAATTTTCCATAACAAAATGTTGTACGTTTCTAAAATTTTAACCGTCACAACAATGTTGTATCCGAAGTGTATCCATGCATACTGCACGTGTTGAAATCTGTCGTAAAGCATATATACAACAACACACTTCCGAATGTTCCAAAATGATTCTAACGACGGACAACACTTTTCAATGGTCGGATATGTAAATCGTGCTTGTGCAAAGGTCATTTTAACAATGAAAATACAGGATCGACAATGGTGTTGTATGTAATGGTTTGGAACCGAAAGACTTTCAGACGAGTTGTACTAATTTGGAATTACAGCACAATACAAATTTGGAAATAATGATAAGTATTGAAAAAAAATTATAACTATTTTTATCACAAAAGAACGACAAAAAGTAATTTATCAGATTTCATTTTTAATATTCGGATGCTGTGACCAACTAGTATTGTCAAGATACCTTTAATGACAGTCAAGTAGCGTGGTGGCTCATAACAAAGCATAGCAAAGGCTACGTTTCCGTAGTATCCAAAATGTTCCAGTGTTATTTTCTTAACGCAGTTATTAGAACGTGGCAGTAAAAGCTAACTGTTTTAGCACCGTATAGAATTATTAAGTCTTGTAACAACTGGGTTGGTTCGAGGCCAAATGTGTTAAAATAAAAAAATTCATAAAATTTTTTTTTTTTAGAATACAATAACGCACAAATATAATTTCTCTGATATATCTTGTTATTTGCGATTCCAGTATATCTCGCCATCGTAGTACGATTACGAATTATAAATAATAAACTGTCATTTTTTGACGTTTTCATACATTTTTTTTTTACTCATTTTTAACAGTCTATAGGATTTTCAATTTGGTAAAAATGCGACATTGAAAAACATATGTGTAATTCTGTGCATAGATGTGCACGCGTGTGATTCTTCGTACTTGTGTCGCGAAACGGACATAGGAACCACTCCAATTATAACGCACAACAGCGTTAGACTATTCAGGGTTCGATTCAGCTTCATTCGTTACCTCATTACATTTCACTACAATTATTTGACACGTTTTTGTACGCGCACGATGTGCCAAGGCTGTTTCGCCCGGTTCGACAAACAATAGAAGTTGTGTGGCCATTTTGACTGTTAGCTTCAGATTGGATTTAATATGGTTGCGATTAAAAATGAAAACGGAAATTTCGAAATTGAAAGTCAAGGAAATATGATTGATTTTATATAAAGGTCCAAACTTTTTCTATCACCCACTATATAATTTACGTATAATCAATCAAATTGGTACAGCTAGTATTGTTGTACAATAGCATTGTACCGTTGTTGTTTTTGTTTAATAAATACCAAAGAGACTATCGACAGGGTTGAGCGATCGTGACCGATCATGGTGAAAATGAACTTCAACTAATTGGACACGGTTGACTAAAAAATTGTTTCAACAAATTTTTATGTACGGTTGTTCTTGCTGGATGAAAATTCGAAAATGATTCAGGTTTTATTGATTTAATGGATTCATCATAATAATTTATTTATAACGTATACCTAATGACCATATATTATATGTATATTATATTTTATTCACCTGTGTACTGTCTCCCTGGCAGATTATAATGTAGACAAGAAATAGTTCAATATTTAATGCCCACTTCATGTCATTACTGATAGATAAATATTTTATTATTTTATTTATTTTTATTAAACTTTATTTCACTTTTTCCTATTTATGGTCTTTCGAATGTTTGAATGCGAATGTATTTTTTATCGCGAAGAACAAAATTTATTCGCGGTTTTCTAATTTCAATGTTTAGACTAAAAATGTATGTGAAACGGCGAGAAAGGATTTTGCTTTACGCGGAATGTTGCGGATGGCGAACCAGCTGGCTACTGAATGTGTTACAGTTTGGATGAGGTAACTCCCACTCGTAGAGAAGAAGAGTCCCCCTTCCTGTTCTTCCAGTAAATTATTTATGCATGTGCACCAGCTGCCATTTTCTTTACTGCCAATTTTATTAACAATTTGGACAGTATGATGAAGGTGTTGCTCCAATTGTATAATAGTGTTGAGTAATGAAGTATTTGATTAATTGTAATTAAATTTGGACTAAAATAACAATATTAGGATCTTAATATTTAATAAACATTTTTGTTATTTACATAAGCATACTTATCGATGAATTATAATCCACATAGTATTTAATATCGAATAGGTAATTCAGCGAGGTAAAATTTAATAATTGTAAAATTTTTGTAAAGTTTTTTGATTAAAAAGAATTATTAGGTCGTCGGGTCCTTTTGGGATACAAGTATATTAGTGACAATTATAAATTGTAATAATTTAGTGACGTGGGTTCACAAAGTTGATTAAAACGCGTTTATCGTCTGTTAATTAAACGTTGAACGCTGTGACAGGTGCTTTACGGTTATAGACAATTTTAATAAATATGTAATAGTACAGATGTATGTATATACAGAAAATTCCTTATATCAGTAACAATGACTCGTGAGGAGATGCGATTCGTTGTTGATGGACAAGTCAAAAAAATGATTGGATAAAATATTTTTTTGAGACTCAAGTATCGAATCTGAAAGAAATGAATCAAACTTGTATTTGCATACATAATAATTTGCATACTCGAAATACATATTTTATTGTACAAGTGATTTTTGGGAATATAAAAAATTGTCTGTGCTTACTCTTCTGGAAAAAACTCTTTTGGATGCATAAAACTCTTTCGCAATGAGATCCCAGAAAGTCTTTGGTCCACGGGTTCCCGTGTATCGTAGAGACTCGGGGCCTGACAGATGATGCCCAAAGTGCCCCCAAAGCAAGCGATTGTAAAAACCCAGAGAAAGAATCTGTCGAGGACCATAGCCACGAATTTCCAATCTTCTATAACCTAAAAAAAAATTGGATTGACATCTAAAAAAAAATCTGACAACCCATACAAATATTTTTGCAAAATACAAGAATTATGAATATCATCAAAATCAATTGACTCTTATAAAATGGTCACCTCGTTATCCTTGTCAGCATCCTTAATATGTTGAGCAATGAAACGGACGCCTTCAAGAGCCGACATGACTTCCGGTGATAAATGTCTTGGCATTGTGTTCTCGCTGTCAGTTACTATATTATATTTAAACGTAAAATATATTAATGTATTAATATATTAATATATTTCGTATATCACGTACACTGAGTATCGACAATGCTTAGAAGTGGGGACCATAGCCAAGAACCAATTCGCCAGCATCCCCATTCCAGATCATCAATATATTTATAAATATTTATATATTTATATATTTATATGTCAGTCGATATAATAAAATATTAAATTCAAATATAAATGCTCACTTGACGCATGGGGCATGTGTCGATGTTCGTCGTCCCGTATGCTTTTGTAAGCGGAAGTGACGCTTTCAAAACCGTCTGGGCTTCCCTTCAATTCGGACGGGTAATCGCTCACGCTGTCCCGGAAACTGCATACGCAATCGTGATTCCAGATATCGATACTGCATTAGGTTTTTTTTTTTTCACTCAAACGAACAAAAACGAAGCGAAACCTGGAGTCTAGTAACTTACCTAAAATCCACCTCGTTCGTATAACCACTATCCATATATGTATCATCGTACTCAGGTGTGGAATATGGGGTGCGACGCATCATTAAAATTCGTGGCATCCAATTTAAAAAAACTTGTTTTACCCAGGGTGACATATTATGAGTAGACGGTGACCTGGTGTTAAGTGAAAACAATTTATATTCGAAAAATCAAAGTTCAATAAATTTTTTTAGGATACTTACCGGAAGTGAACGTTTAGAACGCAAACAGTTATCCATATGGATAAAGTTACTAGGATCATTGTAAATAATAAATATTTCCCTAGCAGTGGTATGGCCAATGACGTTGGCGGAATGATTTCTGCCAGAAGTAAAAAGAACACTGTCAACGACAGTAAGATGGAGGAACACAATGAGACCTGTGGAATTTGAAAATTTTCTAATAAATTTCTTTAAAGATTAATTTTCAAATTTTTATCCACTCCGATTTGACTATTGATAATAATTAAATTACCTTTTCCCCTGAATCACTTGGTAGATAAAACACCAGTACGGTTAGGAATGTGATGCCCACACACGGTATTATAAGATTTACGGTGTAGAATAAAGTTTTTCTTCTCATGGTAATGTTGAATGTGATATCTGTACAGTTAAGTATACTTTTGTTGCACCGTGACAGTCATTAAGTCTTAATTAGTAGACGTCGAGAGTATTAACTGTTGTTCGAGATATTATTATCTTATCAGTCTTTTGTACGTACAATTTTACTATTTAAATCAAATAAATTTAAATATCACGCTCAGTTCCTGCTATATATTTTTTTTACGTATAATTATTTCGCGATTGTTATATGAACGCATACAAAAAAGTGCTATAGTCATTTTTTTAATTTGACCTTTTTTCTTTACCTGAATAAGGTTCCGTACAACAAGGGTAGTACTCCTCGTTACGTGCTGCTGGTACTTCGAGTATATCCCATTCGACGGACAAATAAAAGTCGCTCAAGTCAATTCCAACGGGCACCAAATTGCTGCCAGCTACTTGTTCCATATGCTTAAGGTCTACCTGTGTTGTATAATTTGTTTTTGTTATACAATATTGCACAAAGCTTGTCAATGTTCATTCCGACAACCGACCTGCGCGCCATTGTACGTCCAAGAACCAAATTTCATGATGCAGGATTGTTCGTCAAACGGAAAATACTCGACGTTTATCTCGCAAGACGATTTATAAATAGCTGGCGGTTTCCATGCAACTTCGCCAGTGTACTTCAAAGTTGCTTTGGTCATCAGCGTCACCTCGTAATTGCCATCAGCACTGATGAACAAGAAAAATAATTTCATTATATTTTTGTAAAGTTTCAAAACTTTTTTTTACTTCAGACAATTATGATACGTATACAACATTTTTTTTCTGTTCTACGTCTTACTTGTTGTACAGGACGATGTCGGGCAGCCATATGTTTTCCGAAGGTACATACAACATCTCAATACCTCCGTATTCATTCGGATCCCAACGTAGTTTGTAATCGAACCATTTCTGCGTAAACGTGTAATCAGATGTGTTATGGGTAAATATTAATTAATAATTATAGGAGATTGTTTAAATAAATGTTATTGTTACGTCGAATTTTTTCATTGAAAGGTTCTCACCTGCTCTACCCATACGTTAGTTGTCATGACCTGATTTTTTAAATTCTGTAAAAAATCATACTATTAAATTGTTTATTATATTGATTGTGGTTGATTTTACAACACCTAGTTAGATTTTATTAGATTGGATGTTGATAAATTTAAAATGTCACATCAATATAAATATATATTACCATTTCAATCAATTGCGACAACTTCAACCCCAACCAAACGGTTAATGTTTCTGTGTTGTTGATGACTGGTCGAATTAATCTGTTGTAGTTCGACAATAAATCATCATAAAGCCTTTTCGTGTCGGGATTTGCTTCGAAATGTTTTATATGGATAATACCTGTGATATAAGCATTGTTTATTTATTTATTTTAAAAAAAATGTATGAAGCATATAGAGTAGTTAGCTACAACTTGCTAGTAATTAATAATCGAAACAAACAACAAAGGGGGTTCGCACTTGTATTAATAAAATATATTTGTCAAAAAGGGAGAAACAACAACAAATTTTGTATTGAAGTATTTGACATGTTGCATTTGTATGGGTGTTTCGAAAGGGTGTATCCAATGGAAACAAGAAGGGTTGTTGTCCAGACTTACCTTGTACGATGCTAAAAAAAGCAAAGAAGAATATTAATTTAACTCGCATGTTGAAAATCTTGTACGACAAAAGCAATTAAAAACGATTGAAGCTACGAAAACTTTAGATATGATAAGAACACGGCAGTGGTGATACTGCGGCCATTAGAACGTTGAGGCGCAGCATCCCTCTGGTTTAAGGTCGATATTCGACGCTGGCGCCGCGACGCTCATATTCAGTTTTTTGAATTTTCAAAACATATTTTCACAAATTTTTTCTTATATTTATTCAAAGTCACAAGAGAGACCGTTTATCTATAACAGTTCTGGAAAATGTTGATAAATTATTATCTTTCATCAATAATTACCCTGATACTTAAATAATTCCAAGAACACTCTAAGATAAGTCATTTATCTAGAAATACAGTCAAGGAATATAATTTATCTATAAATTTATTGTATTTCAAATATAATTTTTTTTTTCAAACTACTGCGCAGGTAATGTAATTTCTTTACCGACAAAACTGAGCATGGTTTCGTTTAGTTTGCACAGGAGTCACTGATGGCAGCACACGCCCTTACGTTCAATATAACGAAAATACATTATTAATATTATCTTCGAAATTCCAAATAACAATCGATTAATAAATCCAATAAATAAAATTATTTCATAACTGGTGAAATGCAGTGCATTTGATTTCCATTTTCAACCACACAACACGTCTCATCGTTGAAAAATAGTAAGTTTAAGTATTTATCACGCTTTCAAATGACAGAAAAATAAAACGTCATCTCAAGTCTGACATCTTCCTTTATATAGGACCATAGTGAGAAATGTCGCCTCACTTTCTTCTTCACAATACCCATGTTTATCTCCTTTGAATTTTGAGATGAATGGAAGTTCGACCTGAAGTTGTTTCACCCCCTGTGACGTAGTTGCGTATAAAAAAGTTTGCGAAATAATAAACCCCTTCACGCCACAGTCTCGCTGAACGTATACGTCCTTATTGTGCGAATATAATGCAGCCAACGTGGCGGGGTGATTTTTATTAAGTCAGTGCTTCTCAATTTTGAATAAGATTATATCCTGCATAAAATATTAATATTTTTATCAAATTTCATATCCAATTATTATAATTCCCAGGTAGTAAACAAATTTCGCTGCAACTGACATTGTACAAACAAACAACACAATCGGCATTCATTAGCACAGCTTTGATTTAATTTGAAATTATAATGATTATTGATTACTAAATTTATCATAGCTATTAGGTAATAAATTAAATTATATAAAAACGTAAATAGTCACTAATTTATAATTACCTTTAACCTGTCAATTAAAAATAATTACTTCCAAACAACTGTAACAACTTGCTATATAAATTACCCCAAAAAGCAATAATCAGCCTTGGTTACCTATAATGATGAGCAAGTTGAAATATACAAAATTAATTGCAATTTAAATTACAGCTGGATCATAAAAAAGATCTCTGAAGTATACTACTTGTAATAAAAGACAGTTATAGAGTGTTCAATTTAGTATTTTTGTTTTTAATTCACTTACCAAGTTAAGCCAATCGTAATCACTTCCGAGCTCGATGAAAATTTACAAACTCACATGAGATCAGGATATGCAAACTGTAATCGATAAATAAGGAAAGGAATTCGAGTGTTCAGCCGTGTTCAGTATTTCGCTTGTATCGATTGACTTTCAAATTTATTGATAGTCAATTAAAATTCCACCTTTCTCATGGATCGACTGAACTTATTGACAGGACCCACCGGGTTCTCCATAAAGACGTATAAATACATATGTATGACTAGAAAAGAAGGTTTATACGTGGGACGAACCAATTTGTCTTTAAAATTATTAAAGAAATATAATTTATGCCTGACAGAGTCACCCTAATGATATCCTCGTTATACGATGCATACATGATCCATATGAAACGACCTTTAGCTACGGTGAACGATCCTCCTCAAGATTAGGACTGGAAGTTAATAGGGCCCAATGGCGATCGAATGTTGACAGCCGGATCATCATCGTTTCAGGACTGGCAGCAGCCCGGTAGGTATATTGCAAGGAATGATAAACGAGCACATATGTACATGTATATCTATTTATCATGTATATCTAGTTATAATACATAAATAAATATATTGGTCATATATAAAAGTGCATATAAATATACGAGGTCATTTTACCAATCAACACCATAAGTATCGTTTTATCACGATTTTCATGAATTTTCTTCGACGAATTGACATATACACAAAAAAAGGAAGTATTTCGAAAAAACAAATTTTTTACATAATTTTTGACTCCTCATTTTTCTCGGTCGAAAGGTAACAGTTTTTTTTTTTTTTTTCGAAGTACAGTCGCACGAGAAAGTTCAGGCTAAAATTGATAATTTTTTTGTCCCAACTGATTTTCATCTCCGAACACGACGGAAGCACCGTTCTGGCATTGTCGACATTTTGTCATTGCCAGATCAAGACAATGAACAAAGAAATGCCGACTGTACACTTCGCAGATAAGGCTGCAGCCACTGCATCTTCCCAAGTGCAACGATACTGATGATAATTCAGAAAGAAGAAGCCACCATATTTCTTAGAAGCTCCACGCATTTACATTTCTTGTACATTTAGATTGAGGTGCGACGGTGGGAGGATTTCGAAAAAAAGTGTCGCTCACGATAGAATTATGTTAATACGAAAAGCGTCTATTTTATCTTCTACTTAAGTTATGGTAACAACGACAGTGAGCTGAAGCTATTAACGTTAATGGTGTCATTTACTATCGAATCTTCCTAACGAAATTATGATAACGGCACTGGAATTATATTAACGATAAGAAATTTTTTCTTACGTTGTTTTACCTGTTACGTAACTGCCATGAGACAGGAGTAATTATTCATGTATATATATATGTATATATATATATATATTTATCCAGCATAAATTCATAGAATCCTACAACCGTCCGTCTTGTATATGATTGATCGTGAAATTATAGATATAATTTATTGGTGCAAAATCGATTGTAAATAATAATACGATAAATTACGAAGTTTCGTCTAGTAAAGAATTATAAATTAACTGTACCTGGTAGCGGAGTGCATTTATCACTGAAAATTACAGTGATTAAATTTATTAAGTGTAATGCAAGTCGATTCATTATCACAGCAGTTAATTCATATCGGTACGATGATATCGTAGATCCTTCTTGTAGATCTTACTTATAGATCAACGTAGATCTAGAGGTACATTGGTACTTGTTCCTCACAGCAGGTTCATCATTCACTCTCATGCCATTAATACTTGTTAGGTTAGCATTGTGGGTTTCAAATATGGCGCCATCTTGTATGGGTTACCGAAGAAATTTCGTGAAATTAAATTTATCTGATATTTTTTATTTGAAAATATTTTTGTTCTTTTGTTCCTACGAGAAAAATATTTATTTAATTAAATCAAATTGAATAACGCAGATTAGTTGATATTTTGCTTGATAAGAAATTTTGGTTTTCATCGTTTGAAGGTTTTAATTGATAATTGTGAGTGCACTTGTGGAAATGTCAATTAATTAATTCACATAATTAATATTTATTTCAAGACAAGAATGTACTTTGTTAAATTTGAGATTTTCTTGAAAACAATGACAAGCTTGAGATAATACATTATTGTTGGTAGATTTGATTATGTTGATAACAATAAGTCATACCAATTTCTTAAGTAAATATTTAATTTTTTAATCGTATTTAGTCTGCAGTCTTAACGTAAAGAAAAGGAAAGTCTAAAGCATTGTCTTATCTCGATGAATAATTAATCATTAATCATTAAGACTCGAGAGTCATTAATTTCTGTCAATTTGCACAGCATCTTTTATCTCACCGAGAGATTGAGCCTGAATAACATATTTGAAATAGGAAGTAAATTCGTTTTGACGCAGATGCTGAATTTCCGGTAATGTAAAACAGGTTCTTTCTGTATCGAAAAATTATTTTTACATTCGCTATACAGAAATTGAATTGCTGAGTATAGTCAGGTGCAACATTATTTCCAAGCGATGAGGTACTTAATATCCAAACAACGTTATCTGTGCACGAGTCTTATTGTATTCTACAGAAAAAAAATATATAAAATTTAAATGGTACTTTATACGAAAATTTAATTAGTACATGAAAATTCATGGTTACGTGTAACGAGATGAGTAATTTAAATACTCAACTTGTCACGTGATTTTACATTGTGGTTTGTTAAATAAATTTCGTTTCTTTTTACTGAAAATTATAATATCGTTTTGCATACAGAGGATCAGTCTATATTGAATTTGTACAGTTTATGCCTATGCATACATATGCGTTTAACGAGCGTCGAGAAACATTGAAGCGAAGCAGTTGGTAAAACTGCATAACTAAAGTTCTACGTGTGTTTAACGTTTCATAGTTCGTTGAGACACCGCCACCGTAAAATGATGGCGCTGTGTTTGCGGGAGTTGGTGATCATTGTAGGAACTACGGAGAGATACGCGCAAGCGTAGTTACGTTTTAGCTACCCATAACCTAAAGGTAAGTAGTATATAAAAGAATGTATTGCGTGAGAAAATAATACACAGTTCGCATAGCAGTTGCACAACGTCGTAAAAACTTGACTGATCAGACGTTAAGCAAAATAAATATTTTTCGCTGAACTGTAAACCGTATTAACATACGAAGTTAAACATTTTTTGTATGAAAATAATAATACACTTATAGTTCGCACTTTTTTGAGCTTTTACTTTTCTTGCAAGTTTCGTACATCCGGCCGCTCGAGACGTGCCGTAATTCACTTGACACTGAGTTAACTTTGCGCCACGAGAATAACCGCGGCCGAGCGGTTAAAATTAATTATAAAAGGTAATAACGTATTTTAAATAACTAAAAGACTTACTCTGATCAATTGAACGTGTGAGGATTCGATTGTGAAAATTTTGACTTTCACGAATAATGGGTAACGTAAGTAAGATGTCGCTACAATTTTTTCTCAATTTAAATACATAATTGGACAAAAATATCATATTATTATATAATAATTAACGTGAACAACCTCCAGCACTCTTTGGTCATAATTTATATATAATTTTATAACTTTACTGAAAATCAGAACAAAATTTATCTTGGGCAGCTCGTAACTTCAGATGTAAGTTCAACGGGGAGGGATACGCCACACACTCCGCCTTGAACTCTGACGTAACGACTCCTGGGTACTATTAAGCTTTTTCGTTTGTTCTCTCTCTCTCTCTCTCTCTCTCTCTCTCTCTCTCTCTGTCTCTCTCACTCTCTCACTCGATTCTCTTTTTTATGAATTTAACAAAGACAATAAAACTAATCAAAGCGTTATCCCTTACATTTTTGGGCGTAGGGGTGGTGGGAGGGCAGGTTCATGGCACCAAGGGAACAGTAATAAAGAGTCCAAGGGGTGCGCGTGGTTAGGTTATGGGGTGAAGGGTCTGCCGTAGGCTGTGGGGTGGTGATGAACAAAAGTAATTAGCGAGTTGGTTGCCAGAGAGAGAGAAAGAGACTGTGAGAGTGCGACAAACGATCAATGTACAAGATAGAGAATAAAGAAAGAGAGAGAGAGAGAGAGAGAGAGAGAGAAAGGGTTGAAGCCAAGAAAATTAGTTGAGTGAAACGAAAGCTGTCATCGTCCGCAAGTACATTTTGCCACGTTACTTCGTTCTGTCAGGGTGTAACCCTGCTTCTGCTTTTCCTTTTCCTCGTGTTTTCACGTGTTATATGAAGTCGTATAACAAGGGAGGTTCTGGACACAGATTCCTGCAACAACATTCACCGACACTGTGAGAGCCTTCGAAGGTTCGCATCCATGCTAAATCGATGTCGTTGGCACCTCTGATTTTGAGGAATGACGGCACAAGGATCACCGATTTCACTAATCGAAGGTTCAATCTAGGAACTTTACGTTTGATTCCAAGAATGTTACGTCCGATTCTAGGAATCGCAAAGGATCGAATATCTAAAAGGTTCTAAAAAGTTCTAGAAGCTTCTAGAACCTTTGACGGTTCGTGTCCGTGCTAAAAAAATGTCGATAAATGTCGGTGCACGATTCCATGCCCAGAAACCTCCTTGTTATCCTACCATACGAACCCATTAAGCTTTCACCGTACGTGAAATCATAAACGTTAATTGCCACGTGGGAAAGAATGGAAACTAAGTTTAAATATTCTCCATAACGATTACAAAAATATACAAAGACAAAAAAGTTCGTACATTGCGCTACGTATGACGGGTTGTCCATTTACAGGCGATTTAATACAATCCTATACTCGAAATATCTAAAAGCTCCTATAATACAGCTAGTATTAACGATAAATATCGAAAGTATTCTTAAGTGGTCAGTAAAATATAACATTTTTTAAAATACTTTACTCCACAGTCATTCTCCATAAATAATATATTGCGTCTAGATAAGGCTTCTAACGCAAGTACCAGACAAAATGGCATCAGTGAGCGATAGATTAATCAGAGTCGTATTGTAGGTAAGGAGCTCCAAGGAAAATAATAAATAAACCTGTACTAGTCGGAGAATCAATGTGGCGGCGTGGTGGCACCCAGCACTGTTCACTGTTCAGCGTTCCATTTCACTGGCAAACCTAGTCGAACTCCTGTGGATCGTGAGTTCATACGTAGCTACTACACAGAATTATACATATATATATATATATAACACAGTTACGTAGTGTGACTGGTGGTCCTCGGACCAAACTCTCCCCAATCCAAGCCCAAACAACCTTTCTCTTTGGGCTGCAGCAACGCGGGTGTTATTTACAACTGCGCGACAGCCCAGACAAGCGTGGAAGTTTTTTAACGTCCGTCGCCATTTTTTTTTAAATTCGATTTATCAAAAGCTCTCACAACCTTGGGATACCGGCGACGTGGAACGAAGACACTTTTAGAGTCCGTGTTACCAGCTAAGGCTAGCGACCGTTGCAGCAGACAGTTCCGTGGCTAATCGGACAGAAATTCATGAAAATATCACCAGTTGGTTTTTATACCTTGTTCTTCAAGTACTTTTTTATTGGGACGTTTTTTCATCTTTTTTATCCATAATAAAAAGGATGAAAAAGTTAACTGGGATTCAGGGGATCAACTCTTGATACTTGTTATGGGTCAGACTAAGTTGAATCGGTGACGTGTATGTCTATATGACAGCATATCACATGTATCGTCTATGGCAACTTTGATATGAGGATTATATATACAAATATATTTATTTTTATCTACCTTCATACATAACTACTCCTATTTTACTTGGTCCTCCATTCAATTTTTATTCAATAAATCAGTCCGACGTTCCGCGCAGAATTGGTTTCCTGCTGGACCGTTCCTGTGAATGCATGAAATATACTGGATGTCTGCGTTAACTGAGGACATCGATCCTCCATTACGGATCTGTATTACGAACGTACAGCTTTTTCGAATCGGATTCCCGTTTAGTTTTCCTTTTGCAAATTCGCATCTTTCCGATGGGTAACAGCAAAAAGTGAAAAAAAAAATTCATCGAACACGAGCATCCCCATTTAATTTCGTACATACACAATACCTTTTTCGTTTGAAGAATTCGAAAAAAAATATTTCACTCGTTGCACATATCATTTTCTTGTTACCGGTCGATTCGAATTTCGGTAAATTTGTTACATGAAATTGGCCATTGTCCGCACAGAGGCACGACCCGAAATTTAGCGGCACGGAAATTTACAATGTTCGCACCCAATATCACCAGGAGTCAGCAAGATATGGCTTTCGAGTATAGATTTCGGCACGGAGTATAAACAAAATTAAGCTTCAAAATAATTTCAATTTTTGTCAAAAAATTGTACGCGCATTTTTTTTGATCGCCCCATACACACCATACCGTAAGGACCATCGATTTACGTAATGACGAAATAACGCGAATAAATTTGACCGATAACTCACTGCTGGAAATACAATGAAGATGGTCAGAAACTAGCACAAGTAATTAGAGGTTGTTCAGTGTCTAATGGAAATACTTGATCTTGTCGTAAGCACATCCGGGAGTGGCTGTTCAGGCACTGCTCTGCATAGTTCCTGTGCCCAGCAAAGTTACATATTAACATTTGAAATGCATTGGATGCCAACTTGAAACCGTCTGCCAGAACGAGCAGTCGTATATAGACACAGTCGTAGAATATTTACACAAGAAATAGGCTAAAATTTGCAGTGGTCTTGGTTAAAACGTTTTTCTTATAAACGAGTAAAGTTTTCAGGGTCGTCGAAAGGATCCGAACTAGGGAGTAGCTGTCCTCACGAAAGATACGTTAAGGGGTCCTTAGATAGGTGGTACAAGGATTATGGCCCTAGGACCAATTGATTTTAATAAAGAGACCAGAGGCCATTTTGACTTTCCACGTGGACTGAGCAACAGATCACAATGTCAAGGACCAATGGCTAAAAGTTGAACCATACAAAATAAGTTCCTACAGATAAATACCATCTGGTCTGATCTCTTGGGTCTGATGCTAATCGGAAATCCGGTCTTGATAAACAATGTTGAAATAAAAAAATTAAATAGAGATACAATAGATAGTAAAGTTTCACTGGATCGATCAGTCCTGTCGAAGTTCGTAAAATGGGTCGAAGCAGGTAAAGGGATGAGTTTCTCATATTGTCCTGAGCGCGAGAGCGTAAAATCCGCAACGTTGTTACTTTAGCGTTGGACGATGATTCGATTCTCAAGAATTCGAAGGGGTAAGGAAGGGTTGAAGGGTTAACGCTTTGCTACGGTACACTGGCTGACAGTGTCTGACAGTGGCGTAGAATCAGCTCAAGTGAGGTGGAGGCCATAGGGAGTTGACGGTACGCCGGAGTAGTGGCGTTGACGCTAGTGCCGGTAGCGTTGGCGCTGTCTAGAGGACAGGGAAGAGAGTCGGGAGATATATATGTATACTATATATATACTATATATATATGAGTCGAAAGGGTGTTGGTTGCTCGAGTGGTCCATAAGGGATGAAGACGGGGGTGTCACGGGGTGAGAAGCTGGATGGATGAATCAGCAACCGAGCAGACAGAGGTCTCGGCTTTTGGCAGAGAGGAACTTTGAGAAAGCTCACAGAATCCAATTATTCGGCGTTGCGCTATCTGGACCATGTGAACAAAGTGATACGTATATCAGCGGTGGTTAAGTGGCGCCTATGACGGCGACGCCGTAATCGTAATACAAGAAAGTCCCACTTACATGAATCGACGTCTCACCTTTGTTCCGATAGGAGTTTGGACTCTGTACATTGTTGCCATTGAGTTAGGTTAGGTTGTGCTGAGTTGGGTTTAAGGTTAGATTAGGTTAGGTTAGACTAGGTACTATGCCCCAATGACTATGGTCCGCGATCGTTCATAATGGCTTCTAGTGGCTCCCTTTTACGTTGAGGGTGGCACATGGCAGCTTATAAGTCTTGCGATAGCGATTATAAACGACCCTTTAGATTCACTTGCCGGTGCCAAACCGCAGCGCCACACACGGGCAGACGGTGAAATATAGGAGAGAGTGGTTTTAATCGCGACAACGACGCCGACGACTTTTCTTCTTATTTAAGATATGCAAAGCGTTTTGATTCACGCGAGGAATATTTTAGACGAGTTAAAAGTCGAGCAAACGTAGCCAATTTCGTACTCGTAGATCACTACGGGTAATTCTGTGAAGTCATTCGCGAGACGCCACTAGGATTCTACGTCGGTTACGCGGAGACTGCTAGTTCCTAGAATTTACGGAAGTGGCGCTGCGATCGCGATCCCATTAGTGTTATCGCGAATTGAAAATTCAGCATTTCAATAAAGCCTTGTATCTCGACGATCGTTTGTTCTATTGTTTTTTTTTCTCGTAAAAATAAAGATTGAATTTCTTTAACCGTCGTAATCTATTATCGCTATGTTGTGACCACTAGCAGACGACATTCCGCGAAGACACGATATCTCGTCAGTCCGTCTACCATTAATTAATTATAACTTCCGATGAATATCAAACGAGTGTTGGAACGGTTTGATTTATCGAGGGTTATACTGTAATTCGGTTAGTTATACCGACACCATACATAATTCATACGATAAAGACAAATAACACGGTAAATTACTAGCCCAAGCGGAGACGAGTCAGATCCCAATCAAACGTTCCCGCGTTACGTGAGCTTTACAGGCATTGATTGGGGTTATTGGCCATTGACTTCCAATGTCTTCATCCCTTTTTCCTTGGACCTTTTTGCCAGTTTATTTTTCTTTCGACCTTTCGCCTCCTAACGAAGTAATTTCGTAGCCGCAGCCTCCAAGTTATTGGTCCACGCCCGTGATGGCACTGCTTCCTTCATATCCTTCGAACGACATAGAAATAATAAATAATAAGATTAATATCTTATTATACACAAATATTCTACGGATTATCAACGCGAGAAGAAAAATTGCAAAATAATGGGCGTTAATAATATTTAAATGATTTATAAGCCGATCAAAAAATTTTTTTTCTTTTGAAATTCTTGCCGATGGCGTTGACGGATCCGTAACGTACTGGGCGTTCAGCAGAAACCTATTCGTAGAAGCGATTGCCTAATTCGTTTAGCGTGGGCCAAAATAGACTCTCTCGTTGGATATTCTTTCACTCCGTGAGGCTGATCTTTCGCTGTTGCTTGGGAAGTGCACGGGAGGTCAAGAAGCGCTTGCGTCATTAAGTCATTATGGTCCTTTCAGGTCACAGACCGATTTTGATCTACGTAGAAGTTACCCACCTAATTCTTATAAATTCCATGGATCTTCTGGATCAATCGAAGATTCTCATACCTCATCACAATGATCAAGCAGTTTCGTCTCACCTTCGCCTGTGCCGTCTATGGCAATGGATTTCGCATGTGCCAATAGAAATTTTATCAATTGAAATTTCGATAGTTTATAATCCATAAGAAAGGTCTGACAATAACTGAAATAAAAAAATTTTACAACTTCGATTTTATTAATTTTTTTTTGTTTTATAAAATACACGTTTTATTTCTCAAAAATATACACTCTTACAGAAATTTTAATGATACATGAATGATTACCGTAATTACGCCACGTCCCACCCGGTAGTCAGTTTGTATTATACACATGTGCATATACAATACATATATATATCGACAGCATGTAAAGTTGTGTTTTGGCTTTCTCCGAAATGAAGGTGTTCCCCTTTATATTTCAAGATTTCCTATCGTTGGCCTTTATGAAGATGGGCAGACTGAAATTAAGAGTGAGGTTACTGGTAGCTCGGGGTAACAAGTGTCGAAATTCGAATAGAAAAAAAATTACACTTTACATAATCTGTAAGAAAAAAGTGTACATATTGAAAAAAAAAATTATATTTGGAATGAACTTTGTTAAGATTGATATTAACGCCTGATTTTGGAGGTTAATATTAATTAGACTACTAATTCTAAAAGATCCTTTCACAATGTACTATTCTTCATTGAAGTACGAAACGCCGAAGCGAACGTATAAGTAGGTCGGGCAGGACGGAATCAATATTTACGTCATGAATAAAGATGAACATTTTTATACATTTAATGTCGACGATTGGTACCACTGTTCATTTAGGTATATTAATGGATCGATTTTTTTTTCACTCGCAATTAGCTAGCCGGTCGTAATATTGTTATAGATGGCAGCGCCTGTGCTAATTACAAGTCAGTCGGCAATTAGTCGGGTCGTATTACGAGTACATGGCATAGTAAATGGATAGCGACAAGAAAAGAAAGGGTTACGATACCTCACCTGTCCCGAAGCACAATTAAATGTATAAATTGCTATGACTGATTAAGAGGAAGAACGGAAAAGCGTAAAGGGTGTAATAGTAGTAAAAAGATGTAAAAATCAAATTTACCAATTGTCTTGAGCGAGAAAATGGATTCGAGATAAAAAGAAATAAACCAAAAATTTGTTATCAATCAAATCTATACCAAATTAATATTTTATTTGTCATAATAAAATATACTGATAAGCCGTCTTGCATTGGCCAATGTGAGAATTGAAATTATTAATTAAAATTAAGATGCACGAAAGAATTACATTGCTTTATTTTTTTATATTCACTGTGCTCGCGTGACCTTTACGTTGCTCTATTAAGTACGAGGTGGATGAGTGAGAGTTTTTAAGATGATGTTTATTATGTCACTCCTTTTTCGTATAGTAAAACGTATGTACAGTTCGTACAAAAATTTGATAACACCTGTACACCACGCTACCTGAGAACGATGTTCTGAGAAATCAAAAAACTTAATAAATTGAAATATTCCTAATAATTGATTGAGTCTGGCGTAATGAATTTCCTTTTAATTACTTATACAAAGAAATTATATTTTACCGATACAGAATGATATACTTGGAGCGTGAGTTTAATTCTTCCTGCTTGAAAGATCAAAGGTCAGAGGTTAAGGTGTGACTCCTTTGCTCCCTATCTATATAAGACGTTGCACAAGCGGATTGTCTGTAACGTAATTATTTTTAGCCTGATTGTGAGCTATGAAAGTGCAATGCTTAATACAATCGAGATCGACTTCTCGATATAATTTTGTGTAATAAAAATTTGGATGAATTTCATAAAGTTCCTAGTATCGATAAGATTTAATATTTCTTTTGTATAAATTTCACTGACTCGCCCCAAGTAATAAGGACGCAATGCTCACGTGGATACTTGGTAGCGTCGGGGTAAACCGAATTTTCGCTTAAATTACAGCCTTATATAATCTAACGACGATTATGCATGAATTCGCTGTATTATTCCATTGTTTTCAAATGACAGATTTACATAATCAATTGTAATTGTATCGCCATGAATTCCAAGCTACGGCTGAATAACGAATGGAATATTAACACATGTAATTAATAGCAATCAAATGCATCGCTCCGAAGCCTCGTCATTGGCCATTTGCAACATCACGCTTTGTGCCATAGAAATTAAATAGCTTCCTCGTACATCTAAATTCCTAGAGTAAATGTCGATATGAAATTTAACGTTAATTGGACATCGATAAATGAAATTCCACAAGAAATTCCCGCGTAAAATCCCAATACAATAAATACATTGAATGAATGTAATTCGCAACCGTCAGTAGTCATACAACAGACTCATAAACTGTTAAGCATGTTGAATCCCAACTTTCATTTCCATCATATAAAGTGCCAATTTTTTCAAAATCAACTCTTTGTTCTTTTTAACAAACCTTAAGAAATTACTTACTACATCTATACATAGTGTCTGATATTCTAGTTCTCAACGGCCTTGCACTATAGTTACAATAATTTTTTTCGGCCTGGTCTACATCAGGTCATTACTTAACAATTCGTATGATCTTCCTCATTGATAGAACGAAAGGAGTGCCAGCTCTATATAAGTCGATCATCCATGACGTTCTTCACTCATCTGATCCTAAGCAACCTGCAACAACACACTCAACTCAATATGAAGGTAAGAATCAGTTCAGTCCACTCGCACTAAGGTAACGTATACTGATTACTCAACGTGAAAATGAAGATACGAACCTGTCATTAAATAGTCATGAGACATGTAATAAAGTCCATCATTACACACGATGAACAGAAAATAAAACGATTAATAAGGAGTATCAACGTTAATTGGAGCATCTAAATATTTAACCACGTAGACCCTATCTTTATCAACTTTAATACCATTAGCCAGTAACATCCAATTCAGCCTGTTAATCCGCCCTGTTTAAACGTTGCGGTTCCCCTAGGATGTTTTAGTTAATCCTCTGGTGCGAACCCGTCAAATAATTTATTAGCTTCTGTGCGTCAGACGTTTAGATGTTGAACGATGACTTGATAAACCTGAAAAAAAAATGTTGTATACAATCAATAATATATCTAGTTACCTTTTTCGTTACTAGAAAAGTCCCTAGTGCTCTTACCAACGCTGATTAACGTAGTCAGACATTTTTGGTTGTTGTCTCAACTCCTTGCTCCTTCTTTCAGTACTTTGTTGTTGCACTGGCTATCAGCACTCTGCACGCAGTGAATGGAGGTCGCTTGGGGAACACCTATCTTCCACCAGGAAGCGCAGCGACCGCTGGTGCTGCTGGACTTATCCGAACTCCAGGATTCAGTCAGGATTACAACGCACAGCCTGGAAGATTAACCGGTGGTTACTATCAGGGCAATGCAGGACAACATGGACAGGTGATAGCCATCACTCAGTATACCAACCAAAACAACGGTGACGGCTCCTATCGGTACAACTACGAAACCGCTAACGGGATCTCAGTCCAGGAAGCTGGAGCGCCGCACGGTTAGTACATCAATCAATGGGATAATTAATTACGTGGGAGAATTCCTGATTGAGCCATATCAATTAACCGGGGATCCTGCTGGATTCCATAAGGTCCTGATATATTTTTGAAATTTTTTTACCTGTTTTTTTAGGGGATGCTCAGACTGTTACTGGTGCATTCTCATACACTGGCACTGATGGCGCACAGTATACCGTTCATTATACTGCTGATGAAAATGGCTTCCGTCCTGAAGGTGCTCATCTTCCAACCCCACCACCCATTCCCGAAGAGATTCGTCGTGGCGTTGAGTTATCGCTGGCTGCTGAAGCCCGAGGCGAGAATCAGGACGGCCAGTACCATGGTTCAGCCAATGCTCAGACTTATTCAGGCATTCAGAATCAGTACAATGCACATGCTGGATACCGCTACTAATGGACAATTAGACTAAAGCTACTCTGTAATACCGACTGTACCAATTTTGCCATGTGAATGATTAGTTTAAATTAATAAATTTTTATTTTATATATATTTATTGTGGATATTTTTTTTTCACCTTTAACTATTGCAGATTTTTTTTTGTATTTATATTACCATGTCATTACGGAGGATGACTGGGTGAGAATTTTACGAGACTCATTTTCTTTTGTGATTATTGACTATGGTTGTATCTGGATATAAAAAATTGTTAGCTTTGATACATGAAAAGTACGTGGAAGGTATTTGGGATTTTAATTATAATGACGTTAACGGCGGCTTTTATTTGTCAATTAAAAATTACTAACAAGCATTAAGTATTGTCATTGAGTCTAGGCCTTGATCGAGTCGCGAAATTTATTAGTGTACGTCTAATGATTTGTAATCTCTAAATTGTCATCTTATCTAGGATACTATACGTTATCTTTCTACTCCTGAAGTTTCATAGGAATAGTCGTGTAAGTTTCAGAATGTTTTTAATTCACGATTTATTTTTTTTTCTTTCCCTCTTTTTCACCTCACCTCGTTTGCGAGCCGGAAGAGAGAATTTCCCGCAATTTAAAGTTTTCGCCAGTCATAAGAAAAAAAAAAAAAAAAAAAAAAAAAAAAAAAAAAAAAAAAAAAAAAAAAAAAAAAAAAAAAAAAAAATTCGTGGTAACATTGCAAATCATTCCTGGACCACTTGGCGTAACGCGTGCATAACCGTAGGTCAACAGCTGAGCATAACTATTTCATTTGTCTTAGCATTATTACAATTAGTACAAATTGAACAGATATACATATCGCACGCGTTTCCAACTCCATGTAACAATAGTAACAATGCTCCAATTAAAACATTAATTTAAATGATAAAAATTTTAGTCAGTGCACGAGGACAGACAAAAAAACAGTATTAATTAATTTCCCTTGAAATACCTGTTGCAATATGAATTTTTAATTGCGTGCAATACGAAATGAAATATACCATGTGTGCAATAACTCGTCAGATCTTAATTTCGCGGTAACCAAAACACAGAATAATTTATTAGTAACAATTTTTATCATTAAATTCCAACGAAAGATTAAATTATTTCCCATAACGTGCGACAGCATGAAAAACAGACCATGCAATATCCGTGAACAATGAAGATTCCTAGATTAATGTATGTAGAATAATGTATGTATTCCTAGTTTAATTATTACCTCAAATAAAAAAAAAAATTTATTAAACCTTAACGATAATCCTTTTTCAATTCGATTACATTCTTATTACCACATATATAAATTTACACATGCTCAATTCAAAATTACAGGTATCCTGCCTCTACGTTTTAACCTACATTTTATTAAACACCCCGTAGGTATACATAATTAAAATTAACAAGCATAGCGTCACTGAAGTCCACAGACCTTGTGTATATCCTGACCTTTAAAATGCTCCAGTAAAAGTAAAAGATCTGCCATACATTAAATCAAGATGATATAGATGCACAAGGTGAATGTCTAATTTTTTATATTTTTATTTTTATTAATTCCCCAGGTATGCAATGCAACTACGTATCTACGTAACCTGTCAACTAATTTGACATGATAATCCGATTGCGTGATCGATTTGAATTGACATTAGCCCTCTTCATTTCGAATCCATTACAATGAACCTATTTAAGACCTACATAAAACTACACTGACTTGATCCTTCAAGTAGAATTGTATTGTTCGAATCAGACGGTTCTTAATATTCAATACTATAACAGCTGGCAAGGTCGGGTAGGGACATTTGGCGCTATTTTCAAATCCGGTCAAGTATGGATGGATTGGGCCTTGATTATTATTATTATTAATATCATTTTTTCTTATAAGCCTTCGGGTCACCATCTTCTCTGTATGAACAACAACCAATATCCTGTACGTTATCTACTAAATAAATTTCGTCGGAATCTAATATCTTGTCATATTCTTTTACTGTGCGTATATGTTAAGTACGTGTATACGTATAACAGTGTGATTTGCGCAATGCGATTACATAAAGCGGATTAAGAAATAGTTATATTACATATGATATAATTAACGTGTATCGTCAGTCTCATAGGTAATTGGTAATTACCGAAATATCCGCCCGATTATTTTTTTGGTATTTATTTTTGAAGAGGATATAGAACGCGTGTGACGAGTTAGTTTATTATAATCATTTTTTGTTTATTAAAAATATTTAATTCTAAGTATTAATATATAGATGTAATATTACGGTAGAAGTTATTACTTAATGAATAAAAATATGAGGAAAGCTAATTAACGATCCTAATGATTATTCGTAATTGGAAATTAATCCTTTTGATTACACGCACGTGTAATAAGATTATTTAATCCCCATGTGGTACATATGTTTCTACATAATTTATCCATGTAGACTTGACATGTTCTGCATTGAAAACTTTCCAATGAATCTTGTAGATGTTCACGCGGAACCTTTCAGTAAGATATGCCGGTTACGTATGAAAAGACAGTACGGCATATGTGTGATACGTGAACTAAAATGTGAATCGTGAAAAGAAAATAGAAGAAATATGCACTTGTAGAAAAAAAATAATTCAGAATGATAAAAGCTGTATTCCCTTTATCCATGAGAAAAGAGAGAAATAAAAAATTAATAATCTAATCTCAAAATATTAAAAATGATCTCAGGGCTAAGATAATAAAAGTAATGCTCGTGCAGAGTACAGTCGAGAATCTTACTCTAAGAATCATAAACCTGGAATGCGGTTCCTAAATAAAAGTAGCATCGACCCGTCCATGTCCGACATGAAGAATCTTTAAAGGAGAAATGATTGCGCAACCCGTCACAACGTGTTACACGATCTCGCCAATGGGAATGGCACAATGGACCTTAAGATATTATATACGCTGGTTACTTTGCTGTAACAACGAAAATCACAATGCCGGACGCATCGAGCGGGATGGAGATGCTGATGATTTTTTTTCCAAGTTGGTAACTGTGTGAATTGTACTTAATATGCTACAGTGAATACACGGCCTATAGTTCTTGCTAAGTTTGGATGGACGTTCATTCCAATCCGGTGACCTCGTATTTTAGATTTCGGCGATCTGTATCATGCGGTTGCTTAATAATTCGATCTTCTTCTTTACTTGATGGGAGGGAGAATCTAGCTATATAAGCCGTAGTCTCATCCTACTCATCACTCGTCTCATCCTAGCTCATCTGACTCAGTTGAATTTGGGACCAAGTACAAGATATTAGTTGTACGGATTCGTCATGAAGGTGAGTTTAATTATAATAATTTTAATTAATACTCGTTTCGCTTATAAGAGAAAGTTAATTAATTGGCAAAAAGATTCAATTAAAATATTCGTCATGCAAACCATCAAATTGATACGGGATAAAGGATTCACTGATAATATCATGATGATTCTTAAAGTTTGATACAATAGAAAAAATATTTTTCAGAAATTGCAAAAAAATTCTATTGACAACTGATAATAAGTAGTATCGTTATTTTTAATACAGTCGTACAATACAATTTCATTCAATAGTTTTCCCAACAATTTTTCACTTCGCATAACCAAATCGCGAGGGAATTTAACACAGATTAAACATACGTGATAATAGTGACGATAACGGATACCTGTATAACTATTGTATAATTCGCTAGTAGATATCATCTATTATAGGCGGCCAATACTAAACCGTCACGAAAGTATATCGACAAAATGACGTTGCGTCTAACCGCTGTTTACACTCGGAAATAGGATAGACGTTGATTGATATTATCGTGTGGATTCATATTTCTGGAAATACGGATAAACACGATAAAAGAATAAATATCAGCGCTGTGCAGCTGATATCGGGGAATCTTTTTTTTTGTTATCCCGAGAAAATTCTGTGTTCATTGGCGACAACGTATTGTTGGCACTGCTGACACGTCATCCGTGCGAAAAATAGTGGTGTGGTTTGACAGATCGAAATATTCTGAAAAAAAAAGAAAAAATATATAAATACTGTGTATAAGCACGGCTAAAGTATCGAAGAAACATTCGAAAGGAGCCAAGAGAATGAAAGAAAGAAAAAAAGGAGAATCCTTTTATCTTCGTATTTTCCCCACCGCGTTTCGCATAAACAGTTAAACCTTCAAAGGACTCCCAAATCTTGCGCAAAATCTTCTTGAAGTACCTATTTGACGATTCCGCTTGAATACAAAGTCTAGAATAGAGAACAGAGAATTCATGTGGGAGAAAGTCAATCCAGCATCAAAGGAGTGTTCTCACTTTCATCTCTCATTGTCCATCCCACCTGATTATGAAATATGATGCAACTTGGTCTGTATAGTAGTCCAAACAGTATCCATGACAGGTTTCAGTGATTTCCAGTACAATTTTCGTAGACGTATAAAACCCAAATACAGTAGACAGTGACGTTAAGAGTTTTCCTTAAAAAAAAAAAATATATATATCAAAAACAAAAAGAATAAAAATAATCTCAATCTTGCAGTTCGCACTGATACTCATCGTAGCCGGAGTGGCATCCGCTGGTCGTTTGGAGAACACTTATCTCCCACCAGGATCAGCAGCATCCGCAGGAGGAGCAGGCTTCATCCACGCACCTGCTTACACTGCCGTAGGATCCAGCGGAAGACCCGGAGTATCCGGAGGCTTTGGTGGATTTGGAGGATCCGGAGGCGTCGGAGGCGGTGCTGGAGGATTCGGAGTCCACGGTGGATCAGCTGGAGCGCCTGGACCAGTCGTAGGTGGTGGTTACCAAGGCAGTGGAAATCGTCACGGACAGTTCGTCGAGATCACTAGATTCAACAATCAGAACAATGGCGACGGATCTTATCAGTACAACTACGAAGCTGCCAACGGCATTTCCGCCGAGGAGTCTGGTGCCCTCCAAGGTAAGTCCGGATGGCCTCTGAATGCCAGAGGGGACGATATACAGTAAAAAAAAGTTTCTTCGTACCTTTCCGTTGTTCTTACGTCACCCGCAAAAGATATGACGCGCAGAACAATGCTCGACGTTGCAGTTGCAGCTAAATGCAACGTACGGTGCTTCCACTGCGCCAGCAGTCGGTATTAGTGCGTGACCTTTCTTTTCGTGCCACGATATAATTCTTCTATTGTTTCGTGCCATTGTGTAATCCAGTGTTACGAAGTCGCAACGCTCTTGAATATATCACGGCAGAGAAACGAATTAGACGGAATAAAAATATTCTAACCTCTTCGCGCAACGAACTTCTCACAGTCTGGAGCAAAAGTATTATGGCAGTCGTTAAAATTTCGGTTAAAACTTCACCTCACTCTCGCTGTGCAATATCGATCGAAATCTAAACGCAAAGTTGAAGCTCGACTTTAGTTCCATAAAGAAACACCCTATCGGCATAAAGCGCGCTAGCGTCGCGTCTTGTTGCTCGCGACCGAGTCGAAGTTTGAAATGACGAATTGGCGCAGCTGCCGTTTCCAGTTTGGTAAGACGTTCGGGATCACGAAGTCTCTGTCGGGGGGACAGAGGGAGCGAGTGAGATGGAGGGAGAATAGCAGGAAGCAAATGTTATTTCAATTTCGTAGGCGATAGCGAGGTAGTCAAGGGATCCTACTCCTACACTGGACCCGACGGCGTTCAGTACACCATTCACTACACTGCTGACGAGAATGGATTCCATCCCGAAGGAGCTCATCTCCCAACTCCACCGCCGATTCCCGAGGAGATCCGTCGCGGAGTTGAGCTGTCGCTGGCTGCTGAAGCTAGAGGCGAGAATCAAGACGGACAGTATCGTCCTTCCGGTCCTCAGGGTTACAACAAGTATCAGACTTCCGGTCAAGTTGGTGCCGGTGCCAGTGCCGGTTATCATTATTGATTCAAAATTGCCATCGCCTACTGTGACTTCCGGATATTGATTTTTTCATGAATTTCATGATAAATTAATGTTCTGATAGTTGTGTAAATATACATTAACAATAAAAGATTTTACATGACACTATCTGTGCGATTCATCTTTATGCTACCTTACGTGGGTCTTTGGTATTTTTTTATACGTTTTTTTTTAAGTTAGTTATTTTATGGTACTTTTTCAATATTTTTATATTGAATTATAGTGGCTTTTTTTTTTTATTAGTTTGAATTCTGTATACGTATCTGGAGGTACTTGTATGGTTTTACATAGGTATGTATGTGCATACCGAGCACCCTGGGCTTTGTGGTAAGTTCCGTTTGCACTGGCCAGTCAGCAGTCCGTGTTCGGCTAAGTAAATACTACTGGCATTTAATTTAACCTCGACAGAATACTGTACAGAGGTAGGTTAGGTGTGCTACATACGGAAATGTTTGTAGCTTCCCCCAGAGATCGACCAAGTTATTTTAAAGCTCAACTGTTCAAGATTCAAGAGAGCCGGAAGTTCTCGTACCGGAAATTACAACGGGGAGGATAGCTTTCACAATGAAAGAATACGTTTTCTAAGTCAATCTTGTTCGAAGATTCGTTATTTCTCACAGAAACTGACAATAACATGGTTTTAGGTATTTTATGGCATTGGTTCATTTTCAGATTAATTTTTTATTCAAAATCTTGACTACATCTGAAAATTTGACGCTTGGCAAAATCAAAGAGGATAAAAAAAATAGTTACGCAAACAATATAATAACAATATCACTTGATCATAAAAAGTCAAAAAAATTACATTCGACCGAAAAAAATGTCCTATCAGCCGATATCAAGTGTTGGCATAAAATAAAATTTAACACTGCAAAGCTTTTTCATCTGGAAGAAAGCTTACGACACGCACGATATATTCGTTTGGTGCGTTTAAAAAAAAAATAAAATTGAATGTTTGATCAAACGTAAAAAAAAAAAGAATCGAGTAAGAAGATTCTAAAGTGCGAAAATAGCATTGTAATAAGTTACGGAAAAGAGGGCTAGGATATATAAGTTCCTAGGTAATGTCAGTCTGCGACAGTGGCGCCGTTGCGGCAATTTCTAGCAGAGGACGTCAAGAAAGGGTAAAGTGGATTATGCTAAACGGTTGATATTTCCCCTTAATTCGCGAGTCATTGCTCCCTACAGGATTCTCATCTTTTCTGCTTGGCTAGGAAACGACTGTATTTTCTTCTTTTTCTTGCTTACACAATTTTACTACCAGGGCAAGAGATACCTAGACTCTGTATTCCTTCTGCTTTCGTAAAGATTCACTGAAACAGAGCTCACGCTCGATTTTCTGATTCCGAGGGCGCACTGTTATCTTATGGGAAGTGCCATTCCAGTGCTATGCAGTAGTTATGCAAGTGCTGTGCAGCGCTATATACTGTCCGTTCCGTTTAGTCCATTTATAGCTGAAGATCTTTCTATCAAAGTTCCTGAAAAACATTTTTCAAGCTTATTATTTTTTATTAAATTTTTTTTTTCTAATATTTTCTGTCATACAAAACATTTCATACGATATTACTACGTTAAACCTTATTCGCGAACAATAAATAGTTACCGGTGACAGTCTACGAATTACGTACAGAGATATTATTAAGATATTTAATAATGAGAAAATGCAAATGGACCAGTGGAATAATGAATTGATAATGAAATGGAATAATAATGGGAGGATTCTAAGATCGTGGAATCCCTTGCAAACTTTTACTTGGCGAAGGTAGCTGCATTTTATTAAGATGAAAATTAATATGTATAAAATATAAATACGCCATGGAGCAACTAGGGTTAAAGGACAAGAAGTAAAACTGTTATCGGAGATATGCAAAAAGGAAGCAATTTTCTGTACACCAAGAAAAGTTACAATTCCTTACTCTATTTTATATCTGAAAATAGTATCTGTTTGTCAACTATCTATTTGTGCAACTTTTAGCCTCGAAGAAACGCTTTTCATTTCCTGCACACGTAAACATCCATTACGAGAAAAGAAAGTCAAAACGTTACGTAAACGTGCATACCGTAAAAAGAACTTTTAAGCTGTGCAGTAAATACAGAAACTTATTGATCTCTGAAAATGACTAAATATTTTTCAAATTCGAAAAAGTCACTAAAAAAATCCTTTTTTTTCATTTTTCTCTCGCACCGATAACACTCATTTCATCTTGTTGCTACATTCCGAATTTTGGTCCCATAAAAAAAAAAGTCAAAAATTAGTACGGCGTATGCAGGCGTAACTGCTTGTTTTTTGGATTGTATTTTCGAGGTCTCTTAGTGACGTGATAAATATGCCCTGAGCAAGAAAAGGTTTGCTTGGATTTGTCTGGGGTTTGTCGGAAAAGTGAGGAATAGGCGGATAGGGGAGGTGAGTGGGGTGGGAGGGGGGGGGAAGAGGAAGAGAGAAAGCCCGAAGGAAGGGAACGAATTCGCGGTCGAGGTGAAAAAGGAAAACCGTAGATCGACACCCGGGAACTGTAGTTCGGATGTCTGCCGTTCTCGCGAGAGCGCAGCTGTCTTGCCTATAAATCAAACTCAGAGCCCATAAAAAAAATCTGGGGATCTTATGCCCACGCGGCAGCCACGCTTTTGCTTTTATCCACTTCGATTCGCGTTTTAACATTTATTACGTTTTTACGCAGTTGGTATAACGCGGCATTAACGTTAGACCAGTCGGAATAATGCATTAACGTTAAGTGTATTGTACGATCGGTTCGAAGTGTTGTTTAAAAATTTTTCATAAGTTGGTATCATTTATACGATAAATAACGTTGTCAAGGTTGACAATGAAAAGTAACGTATCTGTAGTATTACTATTCGTATATTATCCCTAGAGAAATTTCCGTTCAATTTTCATACGTCGACTTTTTTTTAATCCTGTACGTCGTCTCCGTGATGTACGACCCCCTTAGATTTTCTCACGCGCCAGACCAATTTTTTTTGTACAATTTATACGCTCGTGTAAATATGTATAGATATACCAAGGAAGTTAGGGAGGTCAGTGCGGTTATCGTGATGTATTATATTTTTGTTCGAAAAATAATTTTTTTTTCCAAAATTGCACTTTTCACCAATTTTACTAATCTTTGTAATATTTTTTTATCTATGCTCGTGGCTGTTGATCTTTAATTTCTCTATCGCTGTTATTTCATGCGAATCACAAATATTTGAGAGCTCGATTGCTTCTCGTATCCCATACGCCTGGGCGTCATTCAATCAAGAAACGTGTTACGTGCTTGCTGCTTCGAAGTCCCTTTTCTCCTTTCTTCTTCTCTTTTGGGGAATCTTATACAGAGTGATAAGCCAAATGGTATACAAGGTCTTGACATTTTCGGAACGAGTGCGTTTCTGAAAAGGAAACACCAGACTCTGTCAACCCCCGGGGCTACGGAGTTATTTGGAAATAGAACGTCGACATATTTGAAAGCTTCGATTAATCGACAGATCGCGGATATTTATTCTTACATGATTCTACATGTCGTTTACTTTTGCTCGGATTCGATATTTGTCGATGATAAAAAAAAATTCGACATCGGGTCTGATACAAATTTTCAGTGATTTTTGAATTTTCGAAAATTCATAATATCCAAATTTTAATTTTTTGGTCGGATTTCCATTTTAAAAGACAACCAAATTCACAGGCAATATTCAATTTTAGAGGATCGACTGGAGCCACTGTATTGACGCTAAAAAAAATTTCGATTTTCCGAAACATCCAGGTAATTTATATACTGTGACGTGATTTTTCGAATCACGGTCCCAAGGCGGCTCCGGTTACCGATACAGATAACGTTCTCGATTTCTGGTTCCCTTCGGGTCGCCACCCTGCTCAGAAGCTACGCTCGCGGGTTGATTCGTATAGTTATGTCAAGGCTCTCGTAAGATTTCGTTATTGTTTAGTTGAGGTCGAGGTACTCGAATCTGCCGTAGAGAAATAGTCTCGACGTACCGAGTTGCCCGGCAGAGGAAAGTACCCGACGGAGAAGCCTTCACGGATTAGCTGTACCAGCTCCGGTGAGGATTCCCAATTTATTAATTGGTGAAGGGATCTCGATAGATAGTTAAGATTCGTTCTGATACGTTCTC